GCTCTATAAAATCAACAATAACGCAAAATCCTTTTCTACTATCTTTTATTTTGGCCAGGAGAACGGTGTTCTCTTCCCTTCGCAAATAACCGTGTTTTCTTCTCGGATGACAAAAGTTCAAGAATCGGGCTTACTTCTCAACCCGGATGCACTTTTGTCTCAAATTTTTTGGTGTTTAGCGTAATGACGCAACATTTTTAGTTTGTCAAAAACCCTGCAGGGGAATGGATTCGCGAGGAAAGTAGCGAAATCTTGCACTTGAGGTTGATCTTTTGGGCTTGAAGTGAATGGCAGGGGAGTCAAACATATTTTGTGTTGTAGCAATGTTGCGATGTTGGAAGTGGGTTCATAGGGTCGATAAAGCTTTTTGGACGTTGGGGGGGGGATACAGATTTTTGGACTTTGGGATTGATAAAAAGTTTTGCAGTTTGAGGTCGATCAAGATTTTTTGGACGTTGGGGTAGATGAAGATATTCGGAAGTTGGGTTCGATAGAGCCTTTTTAGGAAAAATCTAAAAATGGATTCATGGCTCATTCATTAATATTCCTTTTGAACGCCCTTTTTGATTTGAAAACAGTATAATTTGGTTGAAATGTGACTCGTTTTGAATAACTTAACGTGAAATATCAAATCACTATTGTTATTTTGAACGTTCAAGTCATTCGGATTGAATTTTGAATCATTTTTAAATTCACATGCTCTAATTTTGGTTTTTATGGCTTTAGGGGGCGTTTGGGGCGGAGGGAGTGGCGAGGGCTTTTTTTTGGTTTTCTGGTACCCTATTTTTTGGTACTGAGCTTTGTGCATCTTTTGGTATCAAGTCTTTATTTTTACTTTGGTAGTGGGTCTTGTGTTTGCTGTGGTACTAGTTTTTCATTGCTTTGGTACTTGAGTGTTCTTAGTTGTCCTGGTACTGTATGAAGTCTTCCCATAGTGTTTGTACTGGATCTTGTTATTGTTTTGGTACGTTATGATGAAGACTCTTCTCAGTTTCAGTACTGGTTCTTGCTGTTTTTTTTGTTACGTTCTGGTACACTGTGATAAAGAATTATCATAGTTTTAGTATAATACGGGATCTTGCTGCTTTTGGTACGTTTTGGTTCATTATGATGAAGATTTTTCACTATCATAGTACTGGACCTTCCTGTCTCTTTGGTACTATTTTGTACGGTGATCTCTTTTTGGTTTTTTTAAAGATCTACTTTGACGATACAATTCATATACATTCAAATAATCTCACTTCCCTCACGTAAAACATAATTTGCATCCCAAAGTATACCATGATTCGGAACACTTTTTCTCACGTGCAATTTTCGCTTCTTAAAGCAACACAGAATCCGACTGTTTATGATGTTTTTTGCAAAATTTTTTGTTTCATTTCTCTTGGTGTGTTTTTGTCGACCCTAAAGCGTATAAAAAATTGTGTTGTTTGTCGCGGGCGATCTTTCAGTGTGCGTGTTTTTAATGGATGTTCTTCCTGAAATTGTGCGGCTTAAAGTGCAGCGACTGGAACTGTTTTGATTCGGGGAATTGTGACACAGGGTTTTTGGCGGTAAGGCAGATTTTTTGGTGGTTATTTTGATCAGGGTCTTGATGTTAAAGTGATTTCTTTTGGGTGGATTGATCAGTGTTTGGATAGGGTTCATCAATGTTGAATTTGCAGATTTTTTTGAATTTAAAAATCAAAAAATAGGGGGGGGGGTGTGGTTTTCTGGGTTTCATATTGTTTTGATTGTGAAAAGGTGGGCGGATTGTTTGTTAAAGGCGATCCTATAAAAATGAGGTGTGTTTGAGCACTCGAGTTGTTTTTGATACTCTGTTATGAGTCAAAAAACAAATTTGAGCAACTTGAATGTGGGCTGATAACATAATATTCACTTTTTTAAAAAAAATATCCTAAAATTTTTAAAAAATGTTGTGTAATCCCTAAAAAATACAGAAAATCTCTAAAACTATATTGTAAAAACAAAAAACTTAAAAGAAAATCATTTGATTTTAAAAACCCTTGATGTCGAAGCAACTCATAAGCTGATAAAACAATGCACTTTTAACCCAACAACAACAAGAATGCACTTTAAAATAGCGTTGCGAGCCGAGAATAAGGTCAGGATGACATGAGGAAGTAATCGCAGCGATCAAAGCATTTCGCTATAAAATCAAAAAGACAGAGGGGGGGGGGGGCGATGAAAAAGTGGTAAAAACACTACGGAGGGTTTCGGGCTGTGTGTGCTTTTCGAAGTTGTTTTTTGCCCCTTGTTTGTGCACTATTAAGGGTCAAGTCGGATGGTACGGCGAGGAGGAACGGCGGCCGGCTGAAACGCAGGTGTTCTTTTTTGTTGTTGAGGTTTTGTGGGGCGTTTTTATACGGTCATCTTGATCGGGAAGGGGGGTGGTTTTTGGGAGGCGCGTGTTGGGAACGGACGAGCTGAACATGGCACGGGGTTTTCTTGGGGTTTGGGGTGGGTTTTTTGGTTTAAGGGATCGCTTCGAAAATTGTCAAACAATTGTGGTTCAAATGGCCAAAAGCTACTGCAATTAGAGTACTAACTTCCAGCTCAAGACTTGTCATTTGTGTGACTTAAAATTATTATAAATTTGCTCAAAACAATCCCACAATAATAACAAATTGTAAATATTGTTTTTCCTGGACGCATTTCGACCACAAAGATTAATGTTACAAACTTATTGACAACAACATCTACGGTAAATAGCTGTAGGCACAACAAATAGTGCGAATCTAGTAATTGCATAGCCGTAAAGTCAACAGTTACCGTAAATAATTGTAAAATTAGTGTTGATAGAGGTGTGGACAACAACAATATTTATATTTTAAGGTCATAAAACAAAGATTTGGCTGCTTTAGATAATTGGAAACTTAATTTTTGTACGGATTTGTATTACATTTTTCAAAATTTTTGGTTTTTCGGCCGTTATTGTGATGACCTTTTGGTTGATACCTAAAATTTTTTGTAGCTTTAAGTTTAAAATCAAATTTTACAATTACTTTGGTCAGAGTTCAAAGATAACACGACTTTTATGGTTTGATCTTAAGCTGTTATTCTGAAATCTCTATTAGTTTTGTTTTGATTGGCTTCGGCTTCTTTTGTAAATGTCGTATTTTAGCCTTTAAAAGTTGCTCATAGTCAAACTACTTTATTTTAACGGGCTTGGAAAGGTTATCTTAAAGAGCTTGAAATCTTTTCTATAGACTAACTCAATATGGTTTATATCAACCTTCTGATTTGGCTATAGAATGTTTTTGAAGTTCATGACCTTAAGTCCAAAAGATTTAATTTTATGGCTACGAGCAGTTTTAGGCTTAAAAATGACATTTATTAAAGAAGCCAAGGTTTGTGAAAACAAAACTAATCAGGATGGTTCAATGTAACAGATTAATCAAGTTTAAGACAATAAAAGTAGCGTTATCTTTGGGCTCAGATCAATTTGATCGTAAAATTTGGCTTCATACTTTTGGCTACAAAAAATTTGTGTATCAGTCAAGAAGTCATCATGCTAAGGCCGAAAAATCAAAGATTTTTAAAAATACAGTAGGAATATGTAAAAAATTTAATTTTGCGATGGTCTAAAGTAGCCTAATCTTTGTTTTCTGACCTTACAACAGAAGTATTGTTGTTGTCCACACCTCTATCAACACTAATTTTACAATTATCTACAGTAACTCTTGACTTTACACCGCTTGCGATTAACATATTTACTCCGATTGTTGTGCCTGCAGCTATTTACAGTAGATGTTGTTGTCAACAAGTTTGTAACATTAATCTTTTGTTGTCGAAACGCGTCCGAGAAAAACAATATTTACAAGTGGTTATTGTTGTGAGATTGTTTTGATTACTCGCAAATTTATGGTTTTGCAAAACGAGGGCGTGGCGTTTGCTTTCGCGGACCTTCCTTCAAGCCACGCCCACTTTTCCGGGTGGACCGGGCGTTTTGTGACGTGATGCACGTTTCAAAAACGATGATACGAGTATTATAACATTGTTTATTTTAATTCGATATTGTAATTCGGATTAGTTGGAACTTGGCTTTTTTAGGCTGGGGTGGTTTTTCTGTTTGGTGGATTTTCAAGGTTTTTGGCTTTGTTTGGACAAGAATGGGAGATTTTTGCCGGAATGTGATTTTTTTGACGTTTTAAAAACATTATTTTTAATTTAAACGTATTTAAATGTATATAAAAGGTGATTTAATACCATTTTTTCAATTTTTCCTTTAAAAAGTTTGAAAAAAATTTTAGGTAACAATTTTTTTTGTAAAATATGGATAGAATAGTATGAATTAACAAAACTATACATCATTTACTCAAAAAATGATTTTAAAACCAAAAAAAAATTTTAGGTAACAGAAATTATATTATCCTGGCTCTTTGAACCCAAGACTTTTTCCGAGGAATGTTTATAGTTATTTCATTTGTTAATCTGATAAAAAAAATTGTTTGCGAATAATTTTGAGATTAGCCAATTTTCTACAAATATTTTTCACTTTTTTACTATCCTTGGTGGTATCGTATCTTCTCGTGGGTTATTATTTGGGTTTTACTGTTTTTGACATTTTTTATGGTATATATTGATAAATTTTTTGCTTTTTAAATTAAAATTTTTATTTCATTTTGATTATTATATATTTTTATATAAAGTTTTGCAAAAAGTTTAAATGTAATGGCACTTTTTGTAAATTTGGACGAAATGTCAACTTTTTTATTGGATTTTCCTCTCACATAATTTTTTTGTGAAATTTTTGAAAATTTTGAATTGTTATTGCATTTTGAATGAATATTTTCGATTTTTATATATTTTTAACGAAATGTCACATATTGATTTTTTCAAGGGATTTAGCTTTAAACTTCTTCGTATTTTACAATATTTTTTTTTATTTTTTACGAAATTTAAACGTTACAGTATGAAAAAATTAATTTTTAAAGCTACACTATTCCGCGTCAATTTTAAAAGCTACAGTACGAAAAATTAATTAAAAATATTACAGTATGAACAACACGGAGCAATCGAATCAAGAGCCCGAGGTTCGTCGCAAACTGACGGATATTCTGGACGAAACCGATAAACTACCTCGCAAAATGTCACTAGCTTCCACATCGAATCAAAGACAGGATGAAGATGACGTTCTAGTGGATCTGTCACCATCAAATTCGGCCGACCCTTCACCTCTACACTCAGCTGATCCTTCGCCTCCACATTCGGCCAAACACACCATGAAGGCCTCAACCAGCGAAGAGTCTTCACTATCAGCCGAATCCACCAACTCATCTCACTCCAGAAAGAAGTCAACCTTATCGCCAACAGAAGCCTTCCAGCCGGTTGTCGGCAAGTTTGTGGCCAAAAACGAAAAAGGCCAAGAAGTTGTGATACCCATGACGGTGCCCAACTATCAGTTCATTGCAGCTCAACAGATCCAATTTGGTGATAATGACGATGAGGCCATCGCGGCTTCAATGCAAGTGAACCTGGGAAGTTTTGAGAATCTGGCTACACGAAAGGTGGACCAGAAGTTAAATTTGGGTCAGTCGACTTCAGGAGAAGATAGAATGGTGCACGATGGGATTCAGGAACACGGTGAAAGTCTGAATGGCGTAGAAGGGCTTCAGAATTCATCAACGATGCTTTCAGGCCTTCAGAATCCATCAGAATCAACAAAATTCAAAGTGCCGAATATAGAACAAGTTGTGGCCCAAATCCTAGCTCACCAACAGCTCTACGTTCAACAAGGTCAACAACAATATGGCGTTCATCAACCATTCGCCCAACAAGCTTATTGCCAGCCGGCTGCACCAAATACCATCCCAAAGCCGATCCCCATGGGAATGCCCCTAACTCCGATGGATTCTCCCTTCAGTACGATGGGTTTGGAGCCATCAACAGTACCATCCGAGCATTTACCGGTCGATAATCATTCATTGAATGTCTTTCCTACAACTTCGGCTGACCCAATGGTCATGGAGCAGATACGACAAGCACTACGGAGGGTTTCTGTAGAGGATTTTAAGAATTCGGGCCAAGTCGGAGATGGTACTGGTGGTACACTTTTTGGTCCTCAAGGTGGTGCTAGATTTGGAGCTCAAAGTGGTACCGAATTTCCTACACAAGGTGGTACAACCTTCCCTGCACAACCTGCTACACCTTTTCCTTCACAAGCCAGGACCAATATACCTACACAAACTGGTACTGCCTTTCCAACTTCAGGGGGTACCCAAATTTCGCTAGAAGGACCACCAAAGCTCGAAACTGTCGGTGCTACACTAGAAGTACCATCAATGATTCAAAAATCCGATACTACATTGTCAAATGGCTCCAAAAGTGAAGCCTTGGATACCGTGAACTTGGACGACTTCAGAATCAGCCCGTCGTCACTGAAGGCATGGGATAACTACACCTCGCTATTGCTTAAGGAAGATAAGGATTCTGAAGGGCAAAATGGATCAGCTGGAGCTCAAGAGTCGAAAACAATACCATCTGGAGCTCAGGACTCAAAAACTGTATCATCTGGAACCCAAGAATCAAAAACAGTATCATTAGTACCAGCTGGTCCCCAAGAATCAAAGTTAGTACTAAACGAACCAAAAACAGTACCGTCAGCACCGTTTGGACTCCAAAAACCAAGCCAAGTACCAACAGTACCATTCACCGCCCTCTCCGAAGACTACTACGAAGACTACGCTCCAGACGCCTTCAACAACTACGACGATGCCCTAGAATCTCAAAAAGAGCACCAAATCCTGGGCAACCAGTACGGTCCATGGGACAAGAATGAAACAGTACGAAGGACGTTCGCCAGAGTACGAAGATTCAATAACACAGTACCAAAGAGTCCGGTAGGAACGGCCGATTTCTATTTCGTGAGAACGTTGGGCGATGGAAGCTTTGGCAGTGTGTACCATGTACAAGATGTGAAGACGAGCAAGGAGTACGCCATCAAAATCATGAGCAAAAAGGAAGTGAAGAGGGAGAAGAAGGTGGGTTTTTGGTTATATTGAGTAGGCTTATAAGGGTCATTTAGGTTGTGATAGAAAGTTCAGGCTTAGCACACAATTTTTAGGCTCGTCAGAGCATTTTAGACCTAAAAAATAGATTTCAGACTGAGACCACAATTTTTAGGCTTAAAATACGATTTTAGGCGTAGAAAAAGGATTTTAGGTATGAAGAACAACTTTAGGCTTGTCATACATTTTAGGCTTAGCAATACACATTCTAGGCTAAGCAGCACACATTTTTGGTTTAGCAACACATATTTTAGCCTTAGCAGCACATATTTTAGGCTTAGCAGCGCACACTTTAGGCTTAGCGATACACATTTTAGGCTTAGCAAGACGCATTTTAGGCTTAGCAGCACATAGTTTTAGGCTTGCCAGCACAGATATTAGGCCTAGCAGGACATATTTTAGGCTAATCTGCAGAGAATTTTAGGCTTAGCTCACAAATTTGGGTTTAACAGCATGAAATATTAGGCCTAACAGCAGGTAACTGTAAGTTATATGACGATTTTTTTAGTTACCATACGTCGTACGTGAAAAAGACATCATGACAACATTGCAACACGGCTTTGGCGGCCATCCTTTCCTGGCCAAACTACACAGCTCGTTCAAGGAGAACAATGACAGAATTTGTAAGTTTTTGACAATTTTTGGTCGAAAAAAAATGTTTTGATGTAAAATACGTTTTCTGTTCCTGTTTGTCTCTTAAACTTTAAAATTTATAAAAATTCACAAACTGTACTTTTATGGTATAGTGGCAAACGCGTTTGACTAATAGAAAAAATGACTGGGGTTCGAATCCTGTTGGATGCAACTGCGAAAAGTGGGGTATTTTAATATAAAATGGGGTTTTTTAGATTCGAATAGTGTTTTAGACATTATAACGGTTAATCTTCAATAAAAATTTTAGAAAAAGGTTTGAGATTTCGGCTAGTAAAGTGGTTTTTTGGAAAATTTGAAAAAAAAAGGTTTTCACCTGAAAAATAGTGGTTTTTGAGCTAAAAATTATAGTTTTTGTAAGGAAATGTAGCTGAAATGCCACAATTTACAATTTTATAGGTTTACGAGACGTTAGGTTGTAGTATAATACATTTGGATTGTAGTATAATACTTTTAGATTGAAGTATAAGAGCTTTGAGTTGTAGTAATATCTTTAAATTGTAGTATTCTGTTGTTTAAAAAATTCTGTGCTCCCTTTTCAAAACAGATTTTTGAAGTTGGGGGCGCAGGATTATGTGACAAACCAAGTATAATACAAAAAAACCAAATTTTTGGACGATTTCAGCGCGACTCCACCAAATGTGATCTCTTGACCTTATAAAATCACATTTCGGAATAAAAGTTATTGACGAAAACAATTTCTCGAACAAAAATTAATGGCAGTAAAAACACGTTGCGTAACACTTTGTTTATCCCTTATCACAAAAAAAAGAAGGCGAGTCCCTTTCACAACGGTCGCTCTTTCGCTTTCATGGAACTCTCGCGTAAACATGTTTTCGACTCCAACGTTCTTTAATCCCCCTGCTGCTTATGTTTACCATTAAAACGTTTGGGTTTCACAAAGTTCGAAATGCTCAATATAAAACGTTGAGGCATTTGTTAAGTTTAATAACAAACGCCGCTGAAACAATGAATAATATTATATTAACCATGATGTCAGGGGAAAAATATGAAATTTTCTTAAAAAATAAAATATAAATAACTCAAAAACTGCATTTTTATAAACAACACTATTAATAAAGTCAAGAAAATTCAATTGTGACAAATTTTTAAAACTTGTGGTTATATGGCCGAGTGGAGGTGGGAAAAATATAGTGCAAAAAAGGAGGCGGGTTCGAATCCGGCTGGATGCAAAGGCGTATTTAGACTGATTTTATTAGGAAAAACATTAGTAATGACAAGAAAGTTCAATTTTGGCACATTTTGAAAAAATGTGTCGATATGGGCGAGTGGAGTGGGAAAAATATTGTGCACTAAAGCAGGCGGGTTCGAATCCGGCTGGATGTAAAGGCGTTTTTAGACAGTTTTGAGGCTAGAAAAAGGACGTAAACTATAAAATGAGATTTTAAAATTAATCTTAAACTAAAATAAAGTTTTTTATAATGATTTTTATGTTTATTGAAGATTCCACTTAAATCTGGATTTTTTGTTATTAAATGCTCGTAAACGGCTTATTTTGCTGTTTTAAGCTATAAAATACAAAATCTAAATAAAAAAATATTTTTTCAGGCTTTGTGATGGAATACGCGCCACATGGTGAGCTTCTGGAATGGCTTCGACGTCTAGGATCCTTCGACCTAAAAGTATCCAAATTCTTTGCCAGTGAAATTGTCGAAGCTTTGCAATTTATTCACAAGTGTGGCATCATTCATCGTGACCTGAAACCGGAGAATATCCTCATCAAAAACGACTGGCACATCATGTTGACCGACTTTGGCTCGGCCAAGGTTCAGGGCTTCGAAGGGGATGGTAAGTTGAACTTCTATAGTTTACTACAAAACTTTGGAGTTAGTATAAAGTATTTTGAATCTTTTTGCAAAAGTGGAAGATCGGGAGCAGTTTTGACTTCTTTGATCTCGTGGTGTCAACTCGTACGTATTTGAACGCAGTTGATGTTGTTTTAGATCAAAACAGACGTTTTTTAAATGATTTGAACTATAGACAAAGCTCAAACAATGTTTGTTTAGTGTGGCGGGATTAAAAATCATTTTAAAAATTGATTTTCATCAATTTTTGACAAGAGTGTCTGTGTGGCTGAGTGGAGTTGGAAAAAATATTGTGCATAAAAGCATACAGGTTCGAATCCGGTTGAATGCTATTGACGTTTTTTAGGCTTAAAGGTGTGTGAAAAGAAAATATAAGAGTTTTTTTAGTGTTTAGGCATTTTTACAGTATCAAAAAAATTTAATTTGTCATTTTAGCTTTAAAAAACATAAAAAGCGACAAAAGTCCATAGTAATCTTCTGTTTTTTCTCATATTTACGCAAAACCCCATGTTAAAAGTAGCTAATTTGTTGCGAAGATTATCCGCATGTTGACAACAAATGGCAGTTTTGACAAATTGTAATTTTATGTTATTCAAGGGTGCGAGAAAAAGTAATGTTTTCTATTTTCTCATGAATATGTAATTGCCACGTACTTTTAGTACGAATAGTACGGCGGATAAACATAAAATGGGTATACGGTCGTCTCATTAATCTTTATGTCATTTCCGTTGGGCCTCAGGGATTTTCAACTGGTTTAATGGGGGTTTTGATAGTTTTTGTAGGGTTTGTGAAGGTCTTCAAGGGGTTAATGGAGAAAATTTGGTGATTCTAGGTGTCTGGAATATTTATATAGGTACTGCGGTTGTTAAAAGATTTTTTAAAATTCTTTATTAGGTCACTTTGGGCTGTTTTGGTCATTTTTATGGCCGTTTTGCGGTCATCTAGCTCTTTCTCTAACCTGAAGACCGCTCCCTACTCGCTCTCTCCACTTCCCGCACTCTCTTGTCCCCTACGCAAGAAGCGCGCGCTTTTCTCCCTATCTCTGCCCGCTCTCTCCCCATCACCCACTCTCTCATTTCCTTCCCTCGCATTTTACCGTCTCTGACCGCTCTCCCCATTCCGCGCGCTCTCCCGCTGAATTGTTTTCGATAACTCGAAAACCCGCATTAAAAGTGCAATAACAGGAAAGTTACAATGTAAACAACAACCGTAGGGGCTGGTATAGACTGGTGCCGTCACGAAAACACCATTCACAAAAGGACAACTGACCTCTAAAGCGCGAAAACAACAAATTCAAATGAGTCAGGGGCTTCGAAATTCTCGAAATTGTACACGATATGTATGATAAGTGGTGTGAATACGAATTACGAGTGGTGTTTTTACTAAATTTGGTTTTAAAATACAAGAAATGCACTTTAAAACTTGATTTTGCGAAAACTGTGGTGTGTTGGAAGAAATGTCATATCTAGATGACAGATAGTTGAAAATGAAAAATTTTTGGCAAGGAACTAAAGAATGACCTGAGGGTTCACTACACAAAATTTGATTACTGTAGGTTTTCATAGCGCGGTGGAATGAATAAAAGTAGCAATTCCAAGGGTTCGAATCCGCGTGGATGTAAATTGAATTAACTCGATCATAGACTTGAATAACAACATAAAACCTTTCCAAACAGACACAATACACTTGATTATTTTCACAACTATTTTGCTTACTAATCACGTTGTTTGGGTACGAAAACACGCACTCGAACCCAAAACATTGAACTCGAAACACGTGTGTAAAACAAAACTCTTTAATCTTGTTTGTGGCGAACGCTCGCCAATTATTCGCGGAAATGTGCATAGTATACGGGAACGTACGCTACATTCATGTAAACACTTTTATTGTTCATGACATGGGTAAACGTAATGAATATGCTTTGGCAGACACCAATGTTTGAGATTAATTAACGAGATTAAGGCGGTAAACAAGGGTAATAAGCTCGGAATTTGTTTTTATGACGTTAGTTAGTGTAGTTTGTTGCTTTAGGGCATTTTGGAAGCAAATTTTTGAAATTTGTTACTTAAATTTCAAAAAAAAAATTTTTTTTAATTTTTTGGGAATTTGAAAAAATATTGTTTGAAAAATGATTTTAGATGATATTTTAAGCTATTCTGGCTTCATATAATTAGTTCTAACTGCCTAAAATTTTCAAAAATTAAAAAAAAATTTAAAATTATAAAAAAATTAATTTAAAATTCACGTTTCTCTGCCGCTTTTTTCGAACGCCCCATATAAAAACTTGTTTTTCAAGTACCGTAGCCAGCTGTTGCACACAAACAAGCCAATTTTCCGGCCAAATGCGTCTGGCCCCACGAAAACACACACTGACAGTTTCAATAAGTTTTTACAAACGTGAAAAGTGCATCGCTATTAAGAAACCTTTTGTCCGGATCAAAAAGTCTTATAAACAAGTTTTTTCGCGTCTAGACCACTAATGCATATTGGTTTTTGACCCGAAAAGCTAATTTGAATAAGTGTGAAATTTGTACCGTTTTGGTATAGTGGTAGTGTGTTGGACTTGCGCGCAGAAGCACCTGGGTTTGATCCCGGCGGGACTAGATGGCGAATTTGGCTTCATTTTGGGGTTTTTTTTGAAACTCTTTGAATTAGAATAAGGTTTTAAAATGATTTTGTAAGACTGTTGTTAGTTTTTAAACTACTGTTTTTACTCATTTTGGCTTAAAATAGCACTATTTCTTCGATTTTCTCCAAAAAATTTCACAAAAACACATTTTTTACCTTATTAAGCCTAAAAATAGCACAATATAATTGACAAAAACAATGTCGCAATATACAAAAATACTTTTGGGACGCTTATCATTACTTTGTTTACGTTGAGTGATAAGAATCAGACCATTTTTTTTGTCAAACTACTATTTACACGAAACTTACGACGAGATAAAAGGTCAAAACCAATATTCTTCTCAATAAACAAGTTTTGTTTAGTCTGCGGAATGTTCCAACGTGTTCGCACGGTGTTTAATGTTTCTGGAAAGCTAGAAAAACGATTGTTTGCTTTGAAAAAGGGGCAAAAAGAATGAAAATTTGGAAAAAAGGGCAGAAAAACACGAAAATTAAGAAAATTGAGGTTATTTTTTAATGTATATGCATGTTTTTGGGCTTAAAATTAAGAAAAAAGTATGACAAATATAATGGCATACTTTGTTTTTCATAAAACGGTCGAAAAATTAAGTGTGTCGGTGTAGCGCAGTGGAGCTTTGAAAGTTATTGTGCAATAAAGGTGGAAAGTTCGAATCCGCTTGGAGGAAATGGATAAAATGCGATGAATGAAGAGAGATACAAGTAAAAAAACATTTTGTAATAAAAAACAGAATAAAAATAAAACAGAAATTAACAAAAAATTTTGTGATTCAAAAAATAAACCTAAAAATGACCAAAAGAGAAAACCTAAAAATGACCAAAGAACCTTCAGATCCATCCCAAGTCCGCAAGATCATGGTACACAAGAACGGCGAGATGATGAAGAAAGAGCGTGGCTCATTTGTAGGCACTGCCTTCTACATTTCACCAGAAGTCGCTCAGTCTCACTCATGTGGACCAGAAGCCGATTACTGGGCTTTGGGCTGTATATTGTACCAAATGATATCGGGTCAACCACCATTCCGCGGCGTTAATGAGTACCAGGTGACAAAGAAGATCATCAACTTGGATTACAAGATGCCAAATGGATTCGATGAAGTTGCTGGAGATTTGGTTAAGAAGTTGTTGGTACTGGAGCCAAGTGAACGGCTGGGGCATGATGGGCCAGAAGCTATTAAGGAGCATAAGTTCTTTGAGGTGAGGATTTTAGGTTGTTTTCTTAGTGTGTTTACTATATATTATACTATACGAAACTAATATATCTACAATTTCAGGACGTTGACTTCAAAAACATCCAAACAACCACCCCTCCCGAGCTGAAACCCTATCTTCCAGCCTCAGGCAATCAACCTGCCTTCTATTCCAACTACAAGGTACCAGAGAACATGGAACCGGGTCTAACTCGCAAGACCATGGCCAGATTAATGGGCCTAGACGATATGATCTCAAGCCCGATCCAAAAACAGAATCCAGCTCAGCTTCAAGCTCAGCAGAAAGAAGCCGAAGCCAGACAACGTGAAGCGAAGCTACAGAAGCAGCGCAAGGAGAATGACTACCACAAGTTTGTGGAAGAGAACTTGATTTTGAGGTCGGGACTGATTGACAAAAAGAAGGGCATGTTTGCCAGGAGGAGGATGTTTCTGTTGACTGAAGGACCAAGGCTGTTCTATGTGGATCCGGAGCTGAAAGAGCTGAGAGGAGAGATACCCATAACACCGAGTTTGAGGACTGAAGCCAAAAACTTTCACACTTTCTTCATTCATACTGTAAGTTTAATTGGTAGGGTAGTGTAAGATATGTTAAGGTAAATAAAACATAGGGTGGGTAGGGTAGGATATTGTAGGGCGTTGTAGAATATGGTATTAACCATATTTTTATAATTTTTCACATTTTTCAAAATTTTACCTATTTGGCTCAGTGGTAGTGAGTTGGACCTTTGACTCAGAAGCTCCTGGGTTCGATTCCGCTTGGAGAAAAAGATCGAAAAAGGTCATTTTTGGACTTTTTATAAGATTTTTGCTTGATAAATTGATTTTCAAGTAATTTTGGAGGTTTTTGAAATGCATTTTTATATGTTGATAAAAGAAAAATGACATTTTTGATGTAAAATTGATAAAATAGTTAAATTTTTGTTAATTTTGAGCCAAATTTCTTGATTTTTTGATTCAAAAGTATTGATTTTTAAATTTTTAAAACTTCAAAATGAAGAAACTAATCATTTTTTGCATTTTCAGCCCACACGAACCTATTTCCTGTACGATCCGGACAGTCACGCGGACGAATGGTGCGAAGCCATCGAGAAGGCGCGCAACAAGTACTGCAATCCAGATGCTCCTGAACTCGACTTCTACCCTCGAGGCAAAATGTTCACTTCGAAGAACAAGAAGGAAAAGAAGCGAAAGGAGAAGAATACATCACCGACCAGTAAATGGGGCCGAAAGAGCAAATAAGCACCAGTTTTCTTAGTTCAACTAGCGAAAGTGGGACTAATGGAGCTTTTTTTGGGTCTATTTGGTGATTTTGAAGCAACTTTTGATGATTCATTAGAAATTGTCAAGTGGTACTAATAATACACTTTTTGGTACTAATGGTACTATTTTTTGGTTTTTTGGACAAATCCCGGTTTTGTATTACATTTGTAGCCAGTTGTACCGAAAATTTGGCTTTGGTACTACTGGTACACTTTTTGGTACTAATGGTACTATTCATATTTTTTGGTACTTTTTGTTCCAATTTTGGTTTTTTATAACATTTGTAGCCAGTTGTACCGAAAATTTGGCTTTGGTACTACTGGTACAATTTTTGGTACTAATGGTACATTTTTCTGTACTTGAAAGTCTATTCGGTTTGTTGATGATTTGTGATGTTACCTTGATTTTTAGCACCATTTTTAATTTCTTATGTTTTATTTGATACACAATAATGTAGTCTTACTGTAGCTACCGTAATTTTAACTTTTTGTAAATTTTCATAGACTTTTAACCGTGTTTTTTGAAATTTTTTAAAAATTTTGTTGAGTTGTGCCACATTATGAAAACTTTTACTAAACTCTTCTCCGATTGTTACCAACCTCAAGAGTCGTATTTTAGTGCTTTCAACTCGATATTTCCTCCCCTCACCCCCATGGTATTCCATTCTTGATATTTGCATCGTATCTTTTTGTTGTTATGTACATACAAATTGTACATTGAAGTCTTAGATTGTAGATTGTTTTTTGACTATGTATAGGAACGATATTTATACTTGTTTGTTTAATAAACAACCTTAACATACGAGTTTTGGCGAATTTTGGAGGAAAAATAGAGTTTAGGCTTACATATCTTTGGATTAGGCTTAGGTATACGTTTGAAAATCTGAATGAAGGTACTGTAGAGTATTGGTAACAAGATGTTAAAAACCAATTTTAAAAATCTAAGCCTAAAAATTAGTTATAAGCTGAAGAAATAAGCCTAAATCATAATTTTTTTTGGGAAAAACGGCGAATTTAGGCTCATAAAATTAGGCTTACGCATAATTCTGAGAATTTGTGATACGCTAGTCTAGGGTATTGGTAGCATGTCTTAGGACTAAAAAATTTATAAGCATAAGCTTAAAATGAAGTTTTTTATATAAAATAAGCCTAAACCGCTCTTTTCACAAGAAAAATCAATATTGACACTTTGTCAAAGATCAAACGTGTAATAATTTATTATAAAATTGTGTGAGATCATAAAATACTGATTATATTATACTTTTCGTTCAATGTCCATTTATCAACCAGTCGATAAAAAATTTAAAATATAAATATAACTTTACCGACCAGTCAGTACCTAAATCGTTTGCTTTTCAACCAACTCATAATAAGCTCCTTTTTTGTTCATAAGCTCTTGGTGATTACCGTACTCGATAACGGTACCATCTTTTATGACAGCTATGTTATCGGCATTCATAATGGTTGATAGTCGATGCGCGATCGTAATACAGGTACGGCCTTGGGTGGCACGGTGGATGGCTTGTTGGAGGATCTAAAAAATTTATACTGTACCATGCTTGCCCTACCCTACCGTACTCTACTCTCGCGTACCTTACCCTACTATTCCCTACCCTAGCCCACCCCAACCTACCTACCTTACTCTATCGCCCTTATCCTCAATACCACCCTATATCTCCAAACAAAACTACCGTAATACCTACATATTCGGACTCAGAATCCAACGCAGATGTAGCTTCATCGAGCAATAGTATCTTAGGGTTCTTGACCAACGCTCTGGCTATGGCAACTCTTTGTTTTTGGCCGCCGCTCAGCTGAGTGCCCTTGTCGCCGACTCTGGTCGATAATCGGTCGGGTAGAGATTGTATGACATCGTACATGTTGACCATCTTCAGAATATCATCTAAGGATTCATCTGAAGCCTCAGTACCAATTTTGTCATTTTTGGTACTCTTCTTGGTACTGTTTTTGATGTTTTGGGAAAGTGATTCTGAATTTGTACCTTTCAGTAATAATGGTGTATTATTGTCGTCGTATGTTGGTAGAGTGTGTAAATTGACATTTTTATTGTTGTTGAGATTGTTTTTAACTATACTGTTTATAGGCTTGTCTAGATTACTGTATGTTTCTGAGTTATCGGGTTTTTCAATATTATCCATGAGATCAGTAGGTCTTTGGCTATCTACTTCAATTTCTGTGCCATGTTGATGTTGAATATGTTCAATATTGCTCTTGTTGGCTTCTAAATTCTCTTGTGCTTCTATTCTATCCTCATTTGCCGGCTGGCTTACTGTAGTTTTATTATTATGACCAGTTGAACCAACCCCACTCTTATCCAAACCCCCGGCCGCTCTCTCTTCTTTGGCCCATTTCTCAACAGTACCACCAGTACCATAAAGAATATTGTCGCGAATCGACCGGTCGAATAGCACTGGTTCTTGTGGTACCAATGCCATTATTTCCCTTAGCCTTTGGGGTTCTACCGAGTTGATTTTCAGTCCATCTACCGTGATTTCTCCGTCGTTGCAGTTGTAGAAGCGTTCGATTAGACTAAAAATGGTACTCTTTCCACAACCACTTGCACCAACAAGTGCTAACGTGGTACCGGCTGGTACTTTTAGGTTAAGATTGTTAAAGATTTGGGTTTGAGAACGTTGAGGATAGGCGAAATTCACGTTGGAGAGGGTTATTGTGCCTTGAATTGAGTCCTGAAGAGAAAAGTTTTTTTTTAAATTTTAAATTTTAAAAAATGAATTTTTTTTAAAATTAAAAAAAAAGAAAAAAAATATTTAAAAAATAATAAAAAGTTAGTTTTAAAAATAAAAAAAAATTTAAAAAATGAAAAAAAAAATAAAAAAAACAAAAAACATTTAAACAAAAATGAAAAATAGGTAAAAAATTTAAAAAAATTAAAAAAAACAAAAAATTAAAAATTGAAAAAAATAAAAAAAACCTAAAAAAAATTAAAAATTAAAAAAAAAATTAAAAAAAATAAAAAATAAATATGAAAAAAATAAAAAAAACTAAAAAACATTTCAAAAAATAAAAAAAATTTTTTTAAATAAAAAAATTTTCTAAACTTATTGACCAACATCTCTAACTTTCAAAGTCAAAAACCAACCAATTTAATCCCATTCCTGGCCATATTGTTCACTTTTGGCTTATCATTCAGCATTTTAAAGATGATGCCAGCAGCCATTCTAGCCTTAGCGTACTCAGGAAAGTATGCACTTAGATGCCCCAGGCTGCCAGCTGTAAAACTGATGGCAAAAAGACACCGTAACACACTCATAGGGTCTTCATTACGATTCAGTATCAGGTAAACGCCAAAGGCAAAACTGGCGGCTTGTAGAAAGTAAAATATTGAAGAGCCAAAGCCGTAGGTAAGTGCTTGGAACCTGGCACGAATTCTCAAGGTTTTTATTGGCCGTTCTAGATGGTCACAGAACGTTTGGTAGAAATAATCTTCCAGTACTAGTGCTCGGACTGTTCGAATATTCTCCACGGCTTCTATTGCTACCTGAAAGAAAGTATCATAAAGTTTACGGTACCCAACCCTTCCCTACCCTACTCTACTCTACTCTACTCTACTCTACTCTACTCTACCCTACCCTACCCTACCCTACCCTACCCTACATTAGCCTTCCCTACCCTACCCTACTACATCCTACCCTACCCTACCGTATCCTACCGTACCCTACCTTACCCCGCCCTATTGTACCTGCGAGAAAAACTGCTCTTGATCTGGGACCCAAACCTACCCTAAAATCCACCCCTACACTACAAATCTACCCCGCCCTCAAATTGACCCCTACCCTTAGCTAGTACTCTTACCCATACCCTAAAATCTAAATTATCTTTCCTAAACGAAAGATACAGTAACCTTACTCTACTCTTATTACTTGCCCCACAAACTACCATAACCTTTCCTACCCTACTTGCCCTAAACCTAGCGTAACTCAACCCCACTCTTCCTACCCCCAAAACCACCGTAAATCCCTACCTTTCCGACATTCTCCCACTCATTGTCATCATCCTTGGCATGTCCTCTGATGTACCGTAAATGAAAAAAGTGACCAACAGCACCAAACGGGAAGATGAATGTCATCAAGATGGCCATAGCCCAGTTGTAGTAAAATGCCAATACAATGCCACATACGAATGACACAATGTTCGAGAATACCGAGCCTAGCCTGAAGTCGATGGCACTCTTAACGTTCGGTGCATCGGTCGACAGTCGGGTACATAATCGACCGGTCGTGTGAGTGGGTTCGTCGAAGTATGACAGTTCTTGTGACAAGATACGACGGAACAACTTTGACCGTAACCTCATAGTAAGTCGCTCGGCACTGAAGCCGAACAGGGTGGAATGGCAGAAGATTGAAATGGCATAGAATAGGCCTAGTAATAGACATGACAACGCCCAAATATGACCTTTACGACGCTTTTCATTCGGGTCGGTACCGGCAAATACCTAAAAATACTTGTAAAGACAGTTCTTGCAATTTTTTGTTTTGTAAAGAAAGATCTTGCCATTTTAGGTTTTGTAAAGAAAGTTATTGCCATTTTTTGATTTGGAAAGAAAGTTCTTGCCATTTTCTACATAACTCACCTCCAAAATATTGCTGAAGAACACAGAGAACATTGGGAAGAAGCATCCCTCCACAATACAGATCAAGGTACCCAATGTCAACATGACCCACTCTGGCTTGGCATACCTTAATATACTGAGAAGGCTTTTCGGAACAGCTTTTTCTTCGGCTAGCTCTTTCTGAAGTCTTTCTAGCTCAGTCTTTGGCTCTTGAGGCTTTGCCACCGATTCTGAAGTCCTTACGGCTTCATTTCCCTCGGATATTGTAGTAGGCTCTATCGACATAGGGTCTAACTTTTTGGTCATATCGTCAACATTACCCATGGTAGATGGCTGTTCTATACCTTGATGTAGAGCTGAAAGTCCAATCTTTTCATCAGTAGCATTTTGAAAAACCTGCGCATTCACCAGATTGTAATACACACCTTTCTTCTCCATCAATTCGTCATGACTTCCACTTTCGGCCACTTTGCCCTTGTCCATGGCCACAATCCGGTCGGCAATCTTAACGGTCGATAAACGATGGGCTATGATCAGCGTTGTACGACCCTTGGCAGCGGTTTCCAACGCTTTTTGCACTTTGAACTCGCTTTCAGCATCTAATGCTGAGGTTGATTCGTCCAGAAGCAGAATCTTCGGTCTTCGAATCAAAGCTCTGGCTATGGCCACACGCTGCTTCTGGCCACCTGACAGCTGAACTCCACTTTCTCCTACACATGTATCGTATCGTGAGGGTAGTGCTTCAACAAATTGGGATGCATTCGCGGATTTACAAGCAGTTTTGACTGCTTCTATGTTGTCCATGACTTGATTTTGGAGATTTTTGGTAAGATCAAGCTGGGATTTTTTAATATAGCTGTCGTGTTTTACATCCGAATCAGATGATTTTTGGTGACAACGTGCTTCAATATCTTGGCTATCGTCCTTATTAACCAGATTTTCACTTTCAGTCTTGTAGCTTTTGTCATCTTTAAAATTCGAAATTTCGTCAACTTCAAAGTTTCCCAATTTTTCTTCGACTTTCAAATTTTGACCGTATTTTACATCAGAATCCAATAATTTTTCGTCACAATAATTTCCAGACACTCCATCTTCATCAGCCTGTACAATTGTCCCATTTCCACCATTATAAACCACGTCATCATGACCGTCATCATGACACCCAACGCTAATATTGTCCTTAATGCTGATATTGAACAAAACTGGCTCCTGACTAACAATTCCAATGATTTTCCTCAACTTTTTCACATCCATATCACGTATTACAGTATTGTCAATGGATATATCACCATGGTCAACATCGTAATACCGTAGTAACAATGAACATAACGTACTTTTACCACATCCACTAGAACCGACTAATGCTACAACTTCACCAGGTTTGATGGTTAGGTCGAAATCGTCCAGAATTTTGATTTCAGGCCTACTGGGATATGAAAAGGTGACATGGCTAATATGAACATGACCTGATGTTACTGGTAATACTGATGCTTGTAGAGCTTTTTGTTGTTCTATCTGGTTTTGCTGAAAATAAATATAAATTAGTTTAATCAAAGGTATTTTTAGTGTTCAAATAAATGTTTTATTTGTCAGTTGAAAATTTGAAAATTTATTTTCCCGCCAAAACTCAAAAGCTGTATAACTTTGCAGAAACTTTGTTTACAAGTGTGAAATTTTCAAATGTAATAAAAGTAAGCCATATTAACATATTTTTATAAATTTTAAATTATCTTGGAATTTAAAAATCTTCAAATTTTGATTTTCCCGCCAAAACACAAAAACTTCACAGCTTTGCAAAAACTTTGTTTCCAGTCACCAAATTTTCATCAATGATAACTCATAATACTGTATAATCTCTCCGCACCGTATTTTACACCTACCCTATCAATAATAGCGTAAATCGAAGCGGCAGTGCCTTGAGCAGTACCAATAACCGCAAATTGTGGCGCAGCCCTAGCCAGTGCCATTGATCCCATCATGACAGCAAAAAATACAGTAATCATGACACCTGGTTTCATGCCCTGATCCACTACCATGTCAGTACCAACCCAGAATGAGAGACAGTACGATGCCATCAGTACTATGAAGAGAAGACCGAAGCCTACTCCAACATAAATCGATCTCAACTTGCCACTCCATCGTGCTCTTTTCAGCTCTTTTTCGTACCTAAAATAGAATGATACTATAATATATTGATATCTAAAGATAAATAGAAGTCTGTAGAGTAAGATTTTCAAAAACAATTTCAAATTTCAAATTTAGGTAACAAGTTATGACAATTCCCGTAAACCCACCTCTGACATTCCGACTCCTGGCCATTGAAAGCATAGACAGTTCTAATTGCGCTAAACACCTCTTCAGCCACTGTACCAGCTTCTGCATAGATTCTAGCTTCATTTGTGGATGCTCTGGCCATTAGAAATGCAATAAAGATACCTATTATCACTAGTAAGGGTACTAGTGACATCATGATTAATGTGAGTTTCCAGTCCACGGCAAAGGCTACTATAAATCCACCACAAAATTGAGCAGAATATTGGATGGCTAACGCCACTTTGTCTCCTGTACCTTCTCGCATCCGTTCTAGGTCACTAAAAAAGATTAATGTAGTTTTAAAATGTTAAGGTAAATCAATTTGAAAGTGAGGGGAATCTTTTAAAGTAAGCCAGGATTTAAGGGCTAGAGTTAAAGTTAGCGTTAGGGGTACGCTAGGAATGGGGCTGGAAGTGGGGTTCGATAAGGCTAAAGCTAAAACCAGAACTAAGATTAGGCTCTTGGCTAGGGCTCTGGGCTAGGGCTCAGGGTTAGGGCTCTGGGCTAGGGCTTTGGGCTAGGGCTAGGGCTCTGGGCTAGGGCTCAGGGTTAGGGCTAGGGCTTTGGGCTAAGGCTCTGGGCCAGGGTCACAGCTGGGACTAGAGCTAGTAACAAAGCTAGCACTGTAACTAAGACTAAGGCTTAAGCTAAGCCTAAAACTAGAGCTAAGCCTACAGTTAAGGCTGAGACTAGAGTTAAAGCTAGGACTGGACTGGGTCTTAGACTAAAACTAAGGCCAGGGTTGAAACAAGAACTAAAGCTAAGGCTGAGACACAGTGCAAACCCTCAGAGCTACGGCTCTGGGCTAAGGCTCTGGGCCAGGGTCACAGCTGGGACTAGAGCTAGTAACAAAGCTAGCACTGTAACTAAGACTAAGGCTTAAGCTAAGCCTAAAACTAGTGCTAAGCCTACAGTTAAGGCTGAGACTAGAGTTAAAGCTAGGACTGGACTGGGTCTTAGACTAAAACTAAGGCCAGGGTTGAAACAAGAACTAAAGCTAAGGCTAAGGCACAGTGCAAACCCACTCAAAAAGTTTGGTAGCCAACGTTCCAGTGTGATGGCGGTCGTACCATTCCATATCCTGTCTTAATATACTGTAGAAGAACCTTCTTCTTATCCTTCCCATCATGTTTTCACAGGCGGTCAGGAAACAGTTCACCTAAAATTTACTTTTCATTCGAAATTTTTAAAAATTTTAAAGATTTAAAAAATTTGTTACCTGAATAGCAGCTGACAAAAACAAAGCAATGCCCAAGTAAATTGACATCCATATCCTTTTCGATGTGACTTCTTTGAATTCTTCTGTTTTTGTGAAATTCACGATAAAACTGCGGTCCTTCATGTTGTTACCTAAAACATTATTATCATGTTAAAATTTTTAAAAATACAGACTTTGAAGCCAAAAAAAAATTAAAAAAAAAAATCGAAATTTAAAATTTGTTTTAAATTTAAAAAAAATACACTTACTAATAGCCATGAATTCAGTAGTAGCATTAACGAAAGCTTCTGACATGCTCCCAATCAAGAGTGCCAAACATGGTATGCCAAGCCCAGTAATGATAGAAACCGTTGAGCCAATTGCCACTAATATTAGGTCTGATCGTGATGCGAATCGCCACTGAAATTATCGAAAAATTAATTAAAAAGGTATAAAATGGCAACAACTTTCTTGACAGAATCTAAAATAGCAAGGACTTTCTTTACAAAACAAGACATTGCAAAAACTTTGTTTACAAAACATACAATGGCAAGAACTTTCTTTACAAAAGCTAAAAATCGCAAGAACTTTCTTTACAAAAAAAAGATACAAAGGTTACTTACCAATTTAAAGAATGACACTTTTTTAGGCTTTTCATCTCCTTTTATGGCCGAATAATCATTATTCTTCCTGAAAATAAAAATTTTACTACCCTACCCAACCCTACCCTACCCTACCCCACCTTACCCTACCCTACCCTACCCTGCCCTACCCTCCTCTACCCTACCCTACCCTACCCTACCCTACCCTACCCTACCCTACCCTACCCTACCCTACCCTACCCTACCCTACCTTACTCTACCCTACCCTACCCTACCCTACAATACCCTACCCTACTCTACCCTACCGACATTACCCTACCCTACCCTGTCCTACCCTATCCTAACGTACCTAATTTTAACCTACAGTATATTCCCCAGCCCTAAAATCTACCCCTATCTTCAAAATCCGCTCCCACCCATTAACATTTGCTCCAATGTCCAGCCTTGCCTTAAAACCTCTACAATCCTCCATTACCCTGTCCGCAAATCCCACTGATACCCCGGTCTTAAAAGCAACCTTTATCTTCAGAATCTTACCACACTGAATTCAACCCCCTCACACTGAAACCCTTACCTTCTCCTACTCTGCCCTACCCTACCAACATTACCCTACTCTACCGTACCCTACTTCAGCCTAACTTACCTTTTCCAAAATTTATCTCTTCTGCCTTACACTACCCTGCTTTACCCTACCCTACCGAATCTTGCCCTATCCGAGCCAGACTTACCTTTTCCAAAACTTGTCAAACAGTGGTTTCTTCGTTGAATCGACTGTTTTCAGCCCCATTTCCGGTCGATTCTCATCCATGTTTCAAAAACCAAATACCCAGGACGATACTCTGACGTCTTATCTATTACAATCGTCCATTTGTTACCTATAAACACTAGTAATCATGTTAAAATGAATTGTAAAAACGAATCGAAAAAGCGCGAAAAGCTGGTCGCCACATACGGATTTTAAACCAAAAGTAGACGTCAGAAGTTTCAGAATACAAAATACAAATCAAAAAAAGGTTTGTTTAATGATTTTTAAAGTTTTCAAGGTCAGGTTGATAAATTATGTCGGTCTGTTAATGAAAGTGAAAAAATAATTTCTTACCTAAAATTAATGATTTCCAACTTATAGTTTTTAACCTAAAGATTCAGTTTATAAGCCTAAAATTGTTTTTTAAGCCTAAAATTCATTTTTAAGCCTAAACTGCATTTTAAACCTAAAGTTAATTTTTAAGCCTAAAATTTATTTTCTAAACCTAAAATACATTTTTTGCACTTTCTAAGCCTAAAATCCATCTCTAAACCTAAAATCCATTTTCTGAGCTTAATATTTATTTTCTAAGCCTACAAAAATTTTTAAGCCTAAAATTTGTTTTTTAAGCTTAAACTTCATTTTAAGCCTAAAATTTATTTTTAAGCCTTTTTAAGTCCAAAATTCACATTTTAAGTCTAAAGTTCATTTTTTATTACCTAAAACAATATATTTCCTCCAACTTTATTAGAAAATTCCTTGTTTTCCCTACTTTTTCTCCAATTTTTTTACACACTTTTGTATTTTTTCTATTCTCCAGAACTAATTTTGTGCCTATAAACATTAAAACCACTAAATAATATCCATAAACAACAAAAAAAGCAAAAAAAAACCAAGAATTCCTCCAAAAAACAGAGAAAAAGCGAAAGAAAATGCGCGAAAACGGCCTTTCGAGAGAATCCAAAAATCCTTTTTATTCCCTTCGAAAACGAAAGAGAAGCGAATGTGTACACCCAAAGCCCGTTGAACGCACGCCATCCCGTCCGATCTGGCAAGTTAAGCAACGGTGCGCTTGATTAGTACTTGGATCGGAGACGTCCTTGGAATCTCGAGTGGCGTACGCGTTTTTGGTCTTATTTTATGTTTTTAGGTAACAAAATTATCTTTTTTTACATTTTGGCAATTTAAAATGGCATTTTTTTGCTAGAATCGAACGAAAACAAACACGCTTAGCTTAGGATTAGTAAACTTAAGCTTAGTAGGCTTAGGCTTAGTAGGCTTAGGCTTAGGCTTAGGCTTAGTAGGCTTTGGCTTATTAGGCTTAGGCTACACCAAATTGGTAGCTACATCACTCGCAGTAATATAAAGCTCTACCGGTAAAAGTTGGTATCTCGCAGTAAAATAGAGTAAGATCCCAGCACTCGCAGTAATTTGTTGGGTCGTTTTACACCGAGGCAAATATTACAAAAGTAATCAATATTACATAAGAAAATGTTGCGCAACACGGTTTCTGACAATTTCTCTAAGGCTATGTTATAACATAACAATTATACCACCAATATTAGGCAATACAGTACATAAATTTAACTTTTTTTTGATTGTACACTTATTTCTGCGCCCCTCTTAAAGGAAATTTTTGGAGTAAGGGGGCGCAGAATTATGTAAACAACCCAGTATAATGAGGCAAAAACAAAGCAGTAGGGTAGGGCAAAATAGAATAGAAGTAAGATGTTACCATGGTAAGTAAAAATTAAGGTAAGTATAATGATAAAAATTCTCAAAAAAACCATTCCTCTGACCAAAAATTCAGCCACTTGGCCACAAAAACAAAAAAATGAGAAAAACTCGGCCAAAAAAGTGTTTATTTTTGTGCCAAAATACAAACTACACTAGTGTAAAACTGCTTGAAACACTTTTAGTTTGAGACCACATGGCCTGAAAGTTGTACAGAATACAAGATATATACTGAAGGCATCGAGTTTTGTCCCCATATGTCAATGGGTAATTTTATGTTTAAGCCAAGTATTAAACTGGCCTAGAAATAGAATGGAAACTTTAAATAGCTACATTTTTTAATAAATATTATTGTTTTAGCACGTTTGGGCCGAAAAAAACAACATCGAAGAAAATGTTGAAATAAACAGTAATGTCACGGATTTTATCGCCTTTTCCAGAATTTTAAATTTTTTGTCTTGTAAAGAAAGTTCTTGCCATTTTTTGTTCTGTAAAAAAAGTTCCTTCCCTTTTCCATACCTAAACATGCATTTATACATCACTATTTATTCAAGCCAAAATACTCTATTACAATATGAAAACATAAAAGTATGAACCGACAGACGTTGTGGTCGATTTTAGTGGTTATCACAAGATTAAAAATATTATTTATCCCTATCTATATCTGTAGCTAAGCGAAATAAAAGTTTGTCAAGAAATTCAAGTGAAAACAGGGGTAAGGGGGGGGGGAGGGAGAGAGCCTGTGAGCCGGCTGTCAAATCACAAAATAAGTAAGGGTTTGATACAAGAGTACAGTAAGAGTACGGTATTTCAGACAAGAGTAGGTTACTGTATTTTTAACCAAAAGTTACAAAATTAGAAACAAAATTTGATCAAATGTTCCATTTTAGGCTTATTTTAGGCTTAAAAGCAGGTAGTTTGACTAGTTTTAGCCTGAAGTAAAGTTTTTGGGTTAAAATAAGCCTAAGTTCAGATTTAAGTTTTGTAAGCCTACATTATTCAAAACATAAGCCTAAAAGCAATATTAAGCCTCAAAATCAGAAAAATAAGCCCAAAAGTAATCTTAAACCTAAAGTTCAAAAAAATAAGCCAAAAATTAGTCATAAGCCCACAATTCAATAAGCCTAAAACTAACCTTCAACCCATTTGCCTAAAACTTCACAACAAGCCTAAAATTAGCACAAAAAACTATTTTTAAGCCTAAAACAAGCCTAAAATCCGATAATTTCAAACTAGACGACATTGAAAGTAAAAAATATTAAGGGAATGTTATCGATAAAAAATTTGCATCCAAAACGTAAGAAAAGGCGGTGTGTCGATCTAATTCGAAAACTTTCAGGAGATGTTTGTCCATTCTACGAGTCTTCCAAGTTACGGAACGAGGTCTGCATCTGCTCCAGAAGCTCGTCGTACTCCTTCTTGATCTTGTCTTCGCCGTCTTTCACTGGGTCCTGCAACGAAATTGGCATTATTTATGTGATTTGAAGATTTTTGACAGAACTTTGTTTACAAAGGATATAATGACAAGAACTTTCTTTACATAACTTAAAAAGGCAAGAACTTTCTTTCCACAGCATAAAATTGCGAAAACTTTCTTTACAAAATATAAAACCGCAAAAACTTTCTTTCCACAGCATAAAATTGCGAAAACTTTCTTTACAAAATATAAAACCGCAAAAACTTTCTTTCCACTTTCCCAAAACATTCATTTTCACTCTACTGTACACATAAAACAGTAAATGAGCCCAAAAATGTCATTTTACGGTATTATTCAAAAATCACATTTTTGGGCGAAATCCGTTCCTTTAATGCGCCTAATCCACTATTATTTGTGCTTAAAATATCATGCAACAGAAGCAATCTTTGATTTACCCCAATATAATCCTGCATTTTCACCCTTTTGAGACGCGATTCTTAATTTAAATTAAGCTTTAGAATCCGGGTAAGATTCGAGTACAAATTTGGATTCGTACTGTAATCTGATACCGTACTGTTTTTGCGAGTGCAATATGTAATGATTTTTTCATGACAACACCTGTTGTTATATTGAAAAAAATTTTAAATTTTGCAGTTCCCACAGGAGGGGGGAGAGGGGGGAAGGGGGTGGTGGTAATAAAAGAGCCTACAATTTGTTTTTCAAACTGAAATTTTCACGTTGTCATTCGATTGATTTTTCAAAAATCAAAAAAAATTTTATCCACCCCCAAAGAAATTTACCCCTCCCAAAATCTTACACCCGCATTGTATCATATAGTAACATAAAGCTATTGAATTCCTCTTTACATTACAGTAACCTTACCTTGAACTTCATAGAAGACAACTGGTACATGAGGTCGCCCATGTGGTCACGGATGGTGTTCCATGTGATTTTGTTGTCGGATTGAGCGGTGGATTCGACGGCGTGACGGGCCAAGTCGTAGAAGGAGACCCTAAACATTATTCGATATTATAGTTGCCTCTAATAGCTTAGAGTCAAAATTAAAGACCAAAAAAAATTTTTTTTTGTACTACAATATCATCTGCAACAAAACTTTTTACGCACCCTGTACTAGGCATTGACAGTCATTTTTAAAGCAATATCGAGTAAAAACTAAAGCAAACTAAAAATTAGGCCTAAAAATAGAATTTTTGTGATAATTTAAGCCTAAAAACACCAATTTCCGTTGACATTCTAAGCCTAAAATATCAAATTTCATTTTCAACCTTAAGCCATTTTTTCCAGACTCCAAAAACATAAACCTACATGTTCTTGAGCATGCCGACAGTCTTGTAGAAGGGGCAGAACCTGTCGTACGGGGTGTAACCGTTCTGTTGCAGGAAATCATCCTTGATCAGTTTGGCCACTTCCAACGTGATCTTGTCGGACTCGGCCAACGACGCTTTACCGACCAGTTGTACGATTTCGGACAAATCTTCTTCCTCCTGGAGAATTTCCTTACACTTGGTACGGAGAGCGACAAACTCGGGGTAGTTCTTCTCGTAGTAGTCGTCCAGGGCTCTCATGTACTTACTGAAAAGGTTAATGGTAATTGAAAAACTTTTTTTTTATTTAAAGCCCTAAGTTATAAAAAAATAGAAAAGAGATTAAAGTTTTTACAAAAGTTAGACAAAAAACTGTAGTTTTAGAAGTTAGAGAAGAAAAATTCTACAGCAGGTAAGCGCGTTACCAACGCCAAGCTTGTGATTTTGGGCTGAGAAGAGAGAGTTAAAAAAAGCACAGGTAGTCTCTTTTTGAGCAGAAAAAGGCCTAGTAAAACTGTAATTTCATTTAACTTAACCATAGCCTTCCATTTTCAAGTAGTTTAACCCTAGCTTTATCAACAGCAAGAAGCCCGATTCAACGTAACTCTTACAAAATGCTCTATGAAACTTGTCAACCAAAACTTGCCGTCATCATCCCTCTGTGGATCCATTTTACTAACTATTCAACTTTGAAACACAAAAATCATGATGATTTTGTATTGCGTTGTTCAAATAATTCTGTGCCCCTAAACCCGTAAATTTGTTTTGCGAGAAAGCACAAAATAATTTGAACAACCCAATAGAAACGTAAGAAACATAAAATTTTAACGTAGAACTCCTTTTACTGTTATTAAAATCATATCTCAGTTCAACAAAACACAAATCTAATAGTACAGTAAAACAAAGTACTCATCCACATGAAAACCCCCGTGGATTTCTTGCTGCTTCCCCAACATTATTCCAATTTCCTGTGTTTCAAAAGCCGAGTAATTAATTAATAACATGAATCCACAATTATACAAGATAATCACTTCGAATCTAATCGTGACAATATATAACACATTGTAAAAGCCAATTCGAATCCAGGCTTCTTGTTTGTGCATGCGGATTACCGTGACATTAAAAAATTATTATCCACTCAATTGGATATTTAGTACTTTGACACTACTATATATTTTTGGTTATTGTTGTCAACTTTCGCGTTTGTACGTCTTTTGTAATGTGCTTCTTGTTTAATTTAATGTTTTAACGTTTTTAGGCTTCGCTATTTGTTTTTGATTGAATTAAACAATCGTTTATCTTGTATAGTCGATAACTTTTACAAATGTTAGTCTTCCATTTTTTCAAGATGTTTTTTATCTTGCAATCTCGCTTTCATACGCCAAAGTTAGGCTATAACAAACCACATCACCCAAAAAAACAATTTTTTAGATGATGTGGTACGAAATTCATGCGGAAACACAGTAGCACCAAAGAAATAAATAAAAACAACATCGTTTTAATCGCTTTCCATTGTATGTTTTTAGTTTTTCTTGTTACAATTACTGTTCGCATTCACTTTATGGCGCTCTTTATGTTATTTTGACGGGATTTTTTCAAACTTTTTGCGGCCACAAGTTTGTAAAAAACTATTCAAAGCCGCTTTCCGGCATTACAAAACGAGCATAAAACGGGGATTTGTCTGGCTTATAACTTTATTGTTGTTGCAATACTTTTTAGTAAATAATATTTTTAAAATATTCGTAATGTGATATATCAAAATTACCTTAATGTGCGTTTTAAGCGTTCTTACTGTTAAAATTACTGTACCTCCAAGCAATTGACATTTTCTACTGAACAAAAGTCTAAAAACTCGTGCTTAATCTTTTGCTTATCTTTTCACATTGCGTTTAATCTGCTTGCCGTGGCAAATTTATCCGTTAATATAAGCTAGCTACTGAACAATTATAAATTAATCCGTCGATATTTATTGCTACTGTAAACCCCTTCATTGTTTCAGAGTTCTAAAACTCGTCTTCTAGAAGAAAATAGACGGCTAATCCTACTGAAACAAACGCTTAATCACACGATGTTTTATTCAGTTATTTCATAGTACTTGCGTGTGATGTGTTACCATTCCAATACAACAGCTGTCACACTACTGGCTATTGTAAACCAGTTTTGTCTTATGGTCTCAAGGACGGACCGAAACAAAACTTTTTGCGGACCGGACCCAAAAACCTGCGGACCCGGACCGAAGAAAAAGCTCCGGACCGGTCCGGAAGAAAATTTTTTTTAAATTTTAATAGAACTGATTTAAAAATTGCAAATAGAATGTATTTTTAAGTTTTTAAGCAAAAAGAAAGCAGTTTTAGCGCACCTTGCTTTTTTTAAAAATAAAAAAAAATTTTTTTGCGGACCGGACCGGACCCAAAAATTTTGGGTTTAGACCGGACCGGACCCAAAAATTTGAGGTTTGGACCGGACCGGACCCGAAAATCGCCGGACCGGACCGGTAAAAAACGCTCCGGACCGGTCCGGGCAAAACACTGCTTATAGCAAAACACTTGCTTAATTTGTAGATCACCTTGGGCAAAGCAGCTTACAACCCAATAAATTTAAGAGTATTAGTGTGCTTTGTACCAATTCGTCTTCAGTAGCTCAAAAACATCATATTTAGTATTGCCTGTCAATTTTGTTACAAATAAATTGTTTCAAAACTACCTAAAGAACCAAAAACTAATCAAATTTTCCTATTCCAATATTCAAATTTTATTGTTTTAGGTCTTTAATCTTCGAGCTGGTGCTCTCAATTATAATCTCTTCCAATTTGAACAAAATGCCGTACAGTACACATCAACGCGTGTTTCGAAATCTTTGACTAATCCAACGTTCCTTAACTCCGCCTAATCTCGGCCCTAACTTTTTACCTTATTTGACTGATTTTGGATAAATTCGAATTACTCCGTAAATCCGTTTTTCAACTTTATGGAACAAAGTTTGACAACCTTATAAGTCTTATATTTTTGAACAAAGATGTTTTTATATTACTTATTATAGAAACTCTTTAAGAACTGCCATTTTGAATACTAAGAAACTGTCATTTTGAAAAAATCTTGCAAAAACTTCGCTTAACTTCGAGCAGCTTAGAATATTTGAGTATCACCTGTCTTCGAATCATGCATCTATCATACTGTACTTCACGTAAAAAAAGTTTTACGTGAATATTTATACAGCAAACACTGTTTTACCAGGACTGTTTTCAATGTTTTATAGCATAAAGTACTTTATACTTTTGTTTTTTGTCCCATTTATTCCGTTATGCATGTTTTTATAATTCGCGTGTTATGTTATTTAATTGCGTTCTTATTCTTTTTTTTTTGTTTTTGAACGTTGCCGTGACAACTCCACACGCATCATTAAAATTAACTACAAACTTTTAGTTATCACATCGCAATTACAGTATATTTGCGTTGTGTGGCTCAAAACAACAACATAAAGCATTGGTACTCTACAATAAATGCAGAACTTCTAACGAAATTAAAGAGGTATCAATTCATCAACAAAACCAACTCAACAATCCCCAACATCGACCATACATTTCATTACAAACTACACCATCATCAACGTTCATTGTACCACACCAATAATAATACTATCATAAAGAGCACATATTTGTCCCGCTTATATCGCCAGGACAACCGGAGTCTCTGCATTAACGGCGGGTTGTTTCAGGCTGAGTAAAAAAGCCAGCGAAGTGAGCCGAAAACTTGACGACCGGTGCCGAAACGCCCCGATTCTCGCCCTCTGGCCAGGTGTGTGGAGATTTTCGGAAGTGGCCGCACGCGCACCGCTCGTTCGGCCATTCCCAAGACCGTCAGTGTTTTTGTGGCCGGTGCGACGGGAATCAAATGCAACGCTAATTTTTGGGACTTAGTGCTGGGTTATTACGACAGTTTGGCTGATAGCTTGCGTTTTTTATGCTTTTGAATTAAGAGTTTGAGGTTTTTTCTTAAAATGCCATAGTGTTCTTCGTCTTGATACAAAATTTGCCTCAAGATACAAATTATATTCTACGTACAAGCAACTTTACCGACAACCTTCCTTTTATACATAGTACAAATTTTACTATCTACAAAAAACAACACCCGTACAACGTGACAATTACCTCAACACTGTCTCTTTCATAATTGCAATTCACAAAAACAAAGTAAATAATCCTCTTCATTCTTTCTCTACAAGATTTGAACACTCCTAATTTGTATGTACAAAAAGTAAATTCACCTGCCACGCGGGAACGACAGCACGTTACTTTCTCAAGACTTCTTTTTTTTCTTCCCATTGAGAAACCTTACATTCACAACGGGCCAGCTGACAAGTATACCATTATTATCAACTGCCCATAAGACCCGCCTTCACACACACCATATACATTCGGCTTTAGCGGGCTTACCGGTTCTCCACTACCCGAATTCAAACATTCGGATTACGTAATAACTTGTGTCCTCTTGTTTGTAATAACTCGAGACTCTTGTTTAAATTTACATTCCGTAGAAATTGCCCAAGAGTTTAATTGAGTCGAACGTTCAACGAACTGTTGCGGCCACAACTCATTACCCAGGTCATTAAAGACCTGCAAAACGATTACTTTTTCGCAAAATAACCAACACCCCGTGGCCAAATTGTCGTCGTGTGTGATAGAATTCGCGGGCATTCGTGCCGTGGATGGTTGCGTACCATCATCCGTTAACCATCATACTAACGCGCTACCTCATTTAGTTGTATCGACAGCATCGGTCGAGTCACCGTACGAGTCCAGCTGTTCAGGCGCCACTGACAACGAATCTTCCAAAACCGATTCCTCGACCAGTGGCCGAATCCCAACCGAACGACGTAGCAGACGTCGACGTCGAAAAAAACCGAGCAGTCGAATCGAGTGGTCGAGTGTTTCGTCCGCCGATTCCAGTCGGCCACCCAACTATTTCGCGAATTCGGCCGCGTTGACTTTTCAACACAACCGATTCGACGATTCTTTCAAGATAGCCAGTGACAAAAGCACGGTCTTTAGTGCGCCTCAAGAAGACGACTTTTTTGTAACCTGTCATAAAAATTTTAAATATCCGGTGAGTCAGACACCTCCGCCGTTATCGACCAACAAATCGAAGCGAAAGGAGAATTCGTATTGGAAAAATAAAGAAATCGAGGAGATCGACCTCCCTTTGTCAAGCTGTAACGAACACTCATTGCATAAGTATTCAACAGCATCGACAGCTACATACGACCCTAATAATATTTATAAAAAAGCGCTGGCTGAACTTGACCAAAACGCAAAATTCAACAATTTGGTCAAAAAGTACGGCCTTGAAGCTTGCGTATCCGGAGAAAACCACCTACAACAGCAGCAAAACAGTAGTCCTGTAGATAATAGCCGTTATCTTGACAGTAGTTACGAGTGTTTACCATACTATTACCCATTTAACAATCTGAGGCGCGCACCAACCCCATTCCGTGTTGTTACCATCGAGTCCGAATTCCCTTCAACTGATCGAATGGAGGCTCAAAATGGGACCCGACCTGAAGGCTCAAACGGGCATTACGGAGGTGATGCCGTTCGCGGAGTTTGCACTATTCCAGCCCGAAAGAGCGGTGTTTTTGCATTAGGCTTTCAAGCTGTAGCATTTATATTGTGCGCTTCGATTGTCACCGTCTTTTTCTGCCACATTGGCGGCTACTCGACTATAGCAAACGGTGTTTTTCACATCGGTGTGAACAGAACGCATGTCAACAAAGAAGGTGACATAATCGGCTACTCGCAAGCGTACGCTGTAGCTGATTGGAATGTTCGGGCAAAACGACAAGCTGATGAAAATGAAGGCAATGGAAATAAGAATAATAAAAAAAATAATAAGAAGAACGGCAAAAACAAAAATAGAAAATCAGAAGAAATCGACGAGGATGAAGATAATGAGGAAGTTAATCAAGAAGAAAATCAACAGAATCAACCAACCAGAAATGATGAATCATTCCCTACGCCTATTTTAATGGATCCACAAGAAAACAAGAACGCTGACGATGAGATAGACCTTCCACAAACACCTGATGTAAGTTATAATAGCAAAATATGTGTTAGAAAACATATAAAACAACTAGTAATCCATAAATTTTAGGAAGATATTATGGTAAACGTTCCAACATCTACCGTTGCAATTCCGACAATGACTACCATAGCACCTCCGGCGTCAATTAGGCCATCAATTCCTATGGCTTCAGAAGCTGCACCAGTGCCAGAACCTACAGAAAAGTTCCCAGAAGCCGCGCCTATTCCAACTGAAGGACCAACTCAAATTTCTGCAGAAGACGATAACAGTACCATGGAAGCAATTGTAGCACCCGACGATGAGATGCTACCCATTGACATGAATACTACTGTTGCTAGCGTGGCTGTGATAGCTACAACTGAAATTGTTGAAGACGAAGAAGAGCTGCTAGCACCTTTTGAACGTATCTACGATGGACCGTTCCCACTAGTAAATGCAGTAACTCTACACATTGGTAGGATGGAAATTGAGCTGCTGAACATACTAAGGGCTTCTTGCGTGGTTTACTTGGTCATTTGTTTTATCTGGTTCTTATCGTTAATTTGTTTGGGAATGTCGTTGTACTTCGAAGTGTTAGACTTGGTCTACACCAACATATTTGTTTTGACAGTGGTGTCAATTTATACGTTGATCAAGGCGTTGTTGATTGGAATTCTCATCTTTAAACAGGTAACTTTACGTTTTTTAACCGCCATTTTCTTCAAAATTTTCGCCAATTCCATATTTTTCGAAGCCACTAATAATACGGTTGTTTCAACCCTATTGAAATTAGGTCTTTAGTGTCAATGATATTAACTTTTGAGTCCGACTCAAAAATAGCCGCTAATTACGGATGATAGCTGACGTTTGGGTAACATTAGTAATCCTATTCAAAACATTTTAAGTGCATAAAAATAGTATTTTTCGTAATAATCATATTTTCAATAGCGAAAAGATTGGTGATTAAGTTTCTAATTGCTAATTTGCCACACAAAACATTGTTAATTGTAACAACCGTACCATGAAACGTAACTTTACAGCTTAGTGCGTGTCACATTTAAATTATTGTAAGCTAATCAATTTTCTGACAAATGTCTTTGAAATTGTTCAAATCCAAAATTTAAATGTCAAAGAATAAGTTGTAAAGCACACCAATTACTGGTAGCAACCAATATATTTTAATCCACTTTTCTCAAAATCAGCCCTTTGAAAAACATGCTTAAATTTAGAAGACAATCGACTGGCACATACTCGGTGTCATTTCCGGTACCGTCGGTGTGTTAATCTTGAGCTTTATCCTCATGGTCGGAGCCATGGTGTTAATGATTGTGTGGTATCGGTACATCGACTACATGAATGGCGCTAATGAAACCGTGAGTTCTTTTCATTATTCTCGGCAAAATCTTTTGAAAAAAGTGCATTTTTGAATTTTTTAAAAAAGCTGCAAATTGCCATCCTTTAAAGTATCAAAAATGCCATTCTTTATAATATCAAAAATGCCATCCTTTATAGTACCAAAAATTATTGCCATCTTTTCAGTGCGTATGTACATCCTCAATCGCGCAGCTCATCAAACGCCGGCACGGTTCGGCACGACAGCCAAGACGACAGAACGTTGCTGGCGACTACTCCATTCCGGAGGCTACACAGCACGCTAGCCTGCCGTATATTGATGAGCCGCCGGTTCATCAGTTCAGTAACTTTTGATCGGCGCCCCCATGGATTGGGGGCCGCCTTCTTTTACCACGATGATGAGGACGACGGTCGTGTGGATTTGGGGCTTTCCGCCTTCTCTTATACGTTGGAACAAGCGCAACGGCGTTATGGGCTTTAGTCTTGGGTTTTGATCACTTTATTGCTTTTTGTGTGTTTAAAGTATTGAAATTAGCTTTGAAATCGACTCTTATATTCTGGTAGTTTTATATTTGATAAATCTTGTATATTCTTGATGTTTTTTTTTAAAAAACAGTGTTTTTTTATCAAAAATTGTATATTAAAAATTTCTTGGTTCTTTTTATCACTTTTCACATTGAGATTTTGATATTGTAGTTGAGCTTTCATAAGAAAAAATAGCAAGAACAATCTTGTCAGAAAATAACCGTGTATTTTCACCATTTTGCATTATATATAAGTTCACAATTTTGTATTTTACATAAATATGTATATTAAATTAATCACCACTGTATAACCTATAATATAACATCTATCCTTAACATATAATCCGGTTACAACTTTTAAAGATACTCAAGCTCTATATCCTTGTTTTCTCAACAATTTTTGAAGTTTTTTCGCTCAATTTCCATATCTATCCTAATTCTAACGTTTCTTTCAACTTTTAATCTTAGTTCCGTTCATTTTGTTCAAATTTCGCTATACAAATAGTTTTAGTTAAAATAAACGCAATAAACCTATATTATTCAAAGCCCACTGGCTTATTAAAGTTTTTCCATAAAATTTTGCCCTGGTTAACAATTTTTTTTAAGTTTTTCATTAAAATCCATATTGTTATAGACTTTTCCGCACTAATATCGATAAAAATTGCCACAGACAAGTCCATAGCAATATCACTTCATAAAATTTCCTTTCATAACAATTTAAATAATGCCGGTAATCCTCAAAAATCGTACTTTTTATCTCATACCTTCCCCAATCAAACAAAGAATCTTAAAAATAGGTAACAAAGAGACCAATTTAACCCAATATCCGCCCTTCAGAAAGAGTAATCCATCCTAAAACACCCTTTCTTAAATACAAAAAATACTTTTTGAACCCATAACATCACCTACCTGTAAGAGATGAGCCAGTTAATCGATGGGAAATGTTTACGTTGGGCCAACTTCTTGTCCAAACCCCAGAATACTTGAACGATACCCAAAGTGGCAGAGGTTACTGGATCGGCAAAGTCACCACCGGGTGGAGATACGCTAAAATATTGAAATTTAAGCCTTTAGATGTTATAAAAAATATCATTTGTAATTAAAAAGCTACTTTTTTATGCATAAAGCTACAAAGTTTATCATAAACATCAATTTATGTCATGGATAATATAGCCAAGTCCTCAAAAACTGATTTTTTAGGAACTGTAACGTAACTTTATGATAAAAACTCTCATCTTCTCCTCATAATTAATCTTTTTTACCTAAAAACCAACCAAAAATCCAAAAAAAACTCACGCTCCGACAATAGTGACCGAACCCTCACGGTCAGGAGATCCCAAACATTTGACTTTACCAGCACGCTCGTAGAAACTGGCCAGACGAGCAGCCAAGTAAGCTGGATAACCGGAATCAGCAGGCATTTCTCCCAACCGACCGGAGATTTCTCTCAGGGCTTCGGCCCAACGTGAGGTGGAATCGGCCATCATAGCCACGTTCAGACCCATGTCACGGAAGTATTCGGCCAGGGTGATACCAGTGTAGATGGAGGCTTCACGAGCGGCTACAGGCATGTTAGAAGTGTTGGCTACGAGAGCGGTACGCTTCATGATGGAGGTTGTGACACCATCGACTTCCATGGTCAGCTGGAGAAAGATAATATAACATAAGAGTTAGTGATAGTACCTAAAATACCAACAACAAATCCAAAAACTTACTTCTGGGAAATCTCTCAATACTTCACTCATCTCGTTACCACGTTCACCACATCCGACGTAGATAATGGCATCAGAGTTGGAGTATTTAGACAAAGATTGTGAGATGACAGTCTTTCCACAACCGAAAGCACCAGGAATAGCGGTGGTACCACCTTGCACACATGGAAACAAAGCATCCAATACACGTTGTCCACAAAGTAATGGGTAGTTGGCGGCCAACTTCTCGCTTACTGGACGAGGTTGACGTACTGGCCATACTTGTAACATACCAAATTTGAATTTCTCGCCTGAGAATTCGACTTCCAGAATAACGTCCTAAAAAATACGATCTTATTTTTAAAGCCAATCATTCTGGACTTCTTCTCCATACCTAAAACTGCCCAAAAACATCAAATTAAGCCCTTACATTAACAGTATATTGACCAGCTGGAGCAACATAAGTAACGGTACCACAAGCGTTAGATGGTACCATAATTCTGTGCTTGATCAAGACGGATTCGTGAACAATACCAATAATGTCACCTCCGGCTACATGTCCGCCAGTTCTGATGTCTCTGCTTGGCTCATAGTCCCAACGTTGTTCACGAGACAAAGCATTGACGTTAACACCCTTTGGGATGTAGATCGAGTCGGTCAGATCGTTAATGTCCTTCAACGGACGTTGAATACCATCAAAAATACTGCCCATAATACCTGGACCCAACTCGACAGATAATGGCTTTCCGGTACGAAGTACTGGATCTCCAATGGTTACAGCAGCTAAAATACGGGTTTAATGCCATTTTTTATTAAACTTATCTTAGTTTTTATACAAACCTAAAATAAAATACTCTAATAAAACTACTACAACTTAATTTAATCCCCACTTTACCCATTTAAGTCCAAAAATACCTAAAAACAAACAAAAACATAAGATAACTTACAAGTTTCTTCGTATACTTGAATAGTGGCCATGTCACCTTCAAGACGAATAATTTCACCGACCAATTCGGAGTGACCGACACGGACAAGCTCGTACATAGCAGCTCCACCCATCTTCTCAGCTGTTACGACTAAAAACATAAATTTATTTTGAAGTCTTCAGGTTGATATCTTGTGTAATATCACATCTTATTTTTATATGAATTTTTAACAGTGTATACTTAAAATCATGTTCAGTAGCTTAAAAACACTTAACTTTCAGATATAAAGAGAAAAAACTGTAATTAAATCCATTAGCTTTACCAATTTATTAAAAATCAGGTTTTACGTTATGTACAACGCACTAACTCAAATTTTAATATTAAAAACACATTACAAAAACAATCCACTACATTGAACACCTTCAGAATTCTCCAAGGCTTTTATATAAAACAAAGAAGCATAGTTATAAGCCTTCTCTTCACCAAGATAAAAAAAGCATATTATCTATGATACCTACGTCTCGAAATGAGTCAAACCTTTCAAATTTGCTTCTCAATCGTATATATATTCTTTCTATTAGTTACCTAAAGATCATAAAAGCAATATAAATAACTTACCAGGACCAGAAACTCCGTATACAAAACCATATTGTGATTCCCTGGCATGATCTCTTGGATTATTCGTTGATGATGCCATTTTTACTGTTTATACTGAAGCTCAAGTTGAAACAGCTAAAATACAACTCAATTAAACTTAATAAGTCATAAAACATCTTATTAATCTCGTATTCATCTCGAAGTAAGCATTATAAGCTTGTTTATGCGCGAAAAAAATTAAAAAAGCCGCTTTTTCGCGAAAAACCAGCATATTCCCCTCAACAGTCCACTTGAAACTATGTAAATATACATACGATAAGGTATTTTGATATCGAATATGCAGGTTCGGAATGGTTTTCGGACGCAAAACGGCCGCTGCGGGTAAAGATCAGATTTTTCGAGCCGAAAAGTGCGAAAAAATCAAAGACCGAAAGAGAACCAATATTTTTTGGTTTTCGCGGCGGGACGCAGTAAGGTAAGAGATGCGAGTTGTTTTTTGGATATAAAAGCGTGATTACAGATATCGGGTAGTAAACAATTTATTAAAATACTATTTTTAGTCTTTTAAAGCTTTTTATTTAAAAAATTTTACAAAGTAAAACTTTTTGCGTAAGTCCGGTCACAGGTAATATAAACATATATATTACCGAATTAAAAAAAAATAAAACTTTAAAAAAATCGTAAAATGAAAAGTAATTAAACCTAAAGTGCTGCTTTATCATCAAAATATTTTAAAAAATGTTATTTTGTCAACAAACAGCAATATTTTCTAAAAGGCGACATGTTATACGACGAAACATGTCCTTACCAAACTTTAAATTTCAAAAAAAATTTGAATAAAAATCACAAAATTTGAATTTTCATTTTGAAAAAAAAGCCAAAATTGAAAATTCATTCATTTTGTCTTTTCTCCCGACTGACTGATGGCTGGCCGTACTATTCTTCCGCCTAAAATCGAATTCCCGGGTTCCAGCGAATCCCTCGATGAAATTGACTTGACGACTAGTTCAATATCGTTTCGCCAGGAGCAAAATCCAATGTTGGTACAGACGGCACATGTCGTGATTTCGGATGAGAAGGTTGAGACCGGCAGTGAAACGGTAGGTTTTGGGAGGGTGTGGTAGTTTTTTAGGGGGATTTTGGAAAGGTGGGGGATGGTAGTTAAAATTTTTAGTTATGTTGCTGATAGAGAAGAATTTAGCTATCTAAAAAGTGCAAAATTTCATTTTTAGCGTTTAAGTCAAAAAAGTTATGGCAAAAAGTTTAACGCACAGTAAGCCGGTTTGTAGGTATTGAGTTTCTTGTAAACTCAATTTTAAAAAGATTGAACTAGTTTTTTCAACTTCTATTTTAGATATCAGTAACAGCTATCCTACGCTACCTAAAAAGCTTAAAACATCAGCTTAGCTTTTCCTACAACAAAAGTTACAACTAAAATTATCTTGCTTTCAGACCACCGAGACAGTCTACTTTGAGCCCAGTTATCTTCCGTTCATTGCCATTTTGCTGATTGCCTACTCGGCGTCAGCACTGCTTCAGCGTAGTTTGCCGATGGATGTGGCCTTCGTTCTTTGTGCCTATGGCATCTTCTCGACCTACTGTTTGTTGAGATGGAAGTCGGTGATGCGTTACGTTGTTCCAGCTCTTTTGGTTGTGAGTTTTTGGTTTTTTGAAGCTTGTAAAGGAAGTTTTTGTCATTTTTAGTTTTGTAAAGAAAGTTCTTGCCATTTTTTGTTTTTTAAAGAAAGTTCTTGTCATTTTTTGTTCTTTAAAGAAAGTTCTTGTCATTTTTTGTTTTGCAAAGAAAGTTTTTGCTATTTTTTATTTTGTAAAGAAAGTTATTGCATTTATAAAAAACAAAAAATTTTGGACTTTGCAGCCTGCGGGTGACATCTTATACGATGACTTTAATGCCATTTTACCCGTTAAAAATCAATTTTATACCTTCAGGCCTTTGTCCTCGGCAAAACCGTGACCGATCTGGCCAATGTGAGTGTTCAGTACGAGAAGTCCAAGTATCAGCCGGTACCAAACAAGGTGGAGCCATCTGTCTACATTATGACCTTGGCCATGCGAGTTGTCCTCTTGTTCTTGTTTGCGTTGGTCTACGATCTGCTGGGCTTTGGCATCGTGGAACACTACAAGAAACACTTCAAAGGCGCCTACAGAATCATGCTTTTCATCGTGGGATGGGTGGGAGCGCTGACGGTATCGCTGGTCGGAAGCGTCTCATTCCTCGTCTTTGCCGGCTATGCTCACATTGAATGAATAAACTGATTTTTACTTTGTCAATTGTATTAATTAAGGTTTTATTAGGTGCCGACATAAATAACCCGCCATACTTTCCCTGTAATTTCCTGTAAAAAATGGCGGGTTCTTTGTGTCGGCACCTGAAGAAAAATGAATTTGGAAAGAAAGTTCTTGCTATTTTTTGTTTTGTAAAGAAAGTTCTTGCCATTTTGTGTTTTGTAAAGAAAGTTCTTGCCATTTTGTGTTTTGTATAGAAAGTTCTTGCAAATTCAAAAAATATGTTTACAAAAATATAGAACCGATCCAGAACAAAGAAGGTCTTTTTATCTTGCAAAAAGTGTTTATAGTTAGGCCGATTTGGCCAAAAACTAAGAAGTCTCTAACCAACTAGACCGCGGATCGGTCGTATTTTATATTTTTGGATAAATAAATATTTTATATACTGTAATTTTAGCTAATAATACTAATATTCATAATAATTTTATGACATGGGGGCTCAGCCGGTGAACTAAATTATGATTTATCCTTAAGTACAGGAAAATCATATCCTACCGTAGTATTTATCTGATATATAAATAAAGGACAGTTACTACCGTATGGTAACAGTAAATTACTGTATCGAAACCTATATTAAGCTAAGTTACGTATATTTTACTGTCACAAAAAACTCCTATAAATAACGGAGGTGACAGAATATTTCAATAATCTAGTGACTAGTGTATTTTACTGTCCTAAGTATTGTTGATATTAGTCCTCTAGGTGAAGGACAAAGGTTAGTCTACTTGTTAGACTATTATTCCCGATTTCTTAAAGTTACGGTATTATAGCTAAGAAAAATTTCTAAAATTTTTGCTATTCCGTATTGTTGTTGTCAACCAGTATAAAACTTCTGGACACTTGGCAATATCAATTTTGTCGGGCTCAATTTATCCAATCAAGAATATCAAAGGGACCTGGATATCTCACCGATACAATCAGGATAGTTTACCGATCCGCAGGTGAAAATTGTTAAGATTAGTTTTACTATCTGTCTTACAACAGTTGGTTACAAACCGTCCTTTCTAAATCTTCTTTGTTTTGATTTAAGATTCCGAAATCATACTGTAAGCTTTTCTGTATCTTTGTATACATAATTTGCTTTAGTAAATCACATTGTTGTTACTTTACAAAAAAACATCCTTTTGTCTTTTGAAATTGTACGTTATTGTACTTTAAAGTATTCTGATTCTGTTCTGATCGGAAAAGACAAAGAATTATACAACAATAATTAACGTAAGACCTAAAAAAGTGCTCAGTCCCGAGGGTTGACAAGATGATGTCAAGTAAAATGAGTCGTTTATACGCCATTGAGCTAAAATGCCATTTAAGAAGTGCCAACAATATGCTTCAGAAGGCGGCGTCATCTGATGAACAACCTGGCAGAGATGACATGAAAATGTCAAACTTCAATCTCACAATGCAAAAAATAAAGAGCTGTCAAGAAAGTTGGGAAAATCTTATCAAAACATTACCAAAAGAAGATAAAGGAGAAGAGCAACAACATTTTGAGGAGTTGCATCTCAAGGTAGATGCACTCTCGATCCAAGTCAATAACATCAAACAACAATTTGACAATCAATTCAAAATAAATGAACCACTTGTTCAAAATAGAGTACGGACAAAGCAAAGACAAACTCAAGGAGTCCGCCAGTCAACGCTCGCTCCAACATCAAATACTCGAAAGAAAGAGGTAGTTGGATGCATCCTATGCTCACGAAGTCACAAAGAATATAATTGTGATGGATACAAAAGCCAAAAAGAAAGATGGCTAAAATTAAAAGCACAACATAAGTGCATTGGTTGTCTAAAAGAAGTTGCTCACAAATGTTGGATTGTGTGCATAATATGCCACAAGAAAGGACATAATTCAGTTCTCTGCAAAAAGAACAAATGCTACTCTAACTTACAAAATTCAAAAAAGAATGTCACAAAAAGATGCTTGAATTTTGAAAGAAAAGATGACAAAAAGGTGAATTGTCTTCAAAAACTACAGTCAACTCCGAAAGCTTCTACAACAATTAAAGTAGAAAATCCTGTCAAATATAGGAGTATTAAAAAAGAGTTGGAAAAAGTGAAGATGAATAAAGCCAAAGGATCAAATATTCGTACAAAGTCTAATAATTCAAATAATAATTATCAACCAAAAACATCTACTGGTCTGAAAAAGATTGTAGACTCAGTCAACAGTACTGATGAAAGATCAAAAAGAGTAAAAAAAATTATTTGATTGACAAAACATGGCTAACGCATAACTTAAACTTTCCTATGGCCCGAGTGTCGCGAAGTTGCGAGTTAAGAAATACAAAAACATGTTTACAAAAATATAGAACCGATCCAGAACAAAGAAGGTCTTTTTATCTTGCAAAAAGTGTTTATAGTTAGGCCGATTTGGCCAAAAACTAAGAAGTCTCTAACCAACTAGACCGCGGATCGGTCGTATTTTATATTTTTGGATAAATAAATATTTTATATACTGTAACTAGCTAATATTACTAATATTCATAATAATTTTATGACATATGGTACCATAAAGGCTAAAACCAGGACTAATAGTAACATCAATACCGAATCCAGGACTAATGGTACCATCAAGGAAGGATACGTCTATTGACGATTTCACGAATAAAGAATCAGAGGACTAATGGCATCATGCTCTAATTTGTACTGACGATTGGTCACCCATCCGCTCGGATGACTGAGAGCCTTGTACCAGAGGGCTTAGCTTACCGAGACAAGGAAGCATTACTACGGTAGTCTACAGTATGAGTATCATAGTTGGTACTCAACGTTGTTGGTGCTCGACATCAGTGTTTCTCAACATACTTGATGTTCGGTGGGCCAAGCAATTTGAGAACTCAAGGACCAAGCTATTGATGCCTCAATGTCTAGCTCAGCTGTTTGGATTTACATAGCAATGGGCTACAGCGAACATATGAAATTGATGGTGTATAAACATGTTATTATTAAGTTATTGTTGTTTGTTTACTTGTTCTTTATCTTTTGTATTGATTATTTTTTTGGAAACAAAGTTTTTATCACAGTGGGTTCTTTATGGTCGATTTTTATAAATTTCAAAGCAATTTTTAAGCTGTGAAGCCTGCAAGTGACAAGATATACGATGATTCGAATTTTTTAGTGTTGTAAAGAAAGTTCTTGCCATTTTGTGACTTGTAAAGAAAGTTCTTGCCATTTTGTGACTTGTAAAGAAAGTTCTTGCCATTTTTTGTTTTGTAAAGAAAGTTTTGCCATATTTTGTGATGGTAAAAAAGACTTTCCATTTTAAGTTTTGTAAAGAAAGTTCTTGCTATTTCTTTGTAAACTTATTGTAAACTTATTTTAGACTTTTGCAGTCTGCGGGGCACAAGTTATACGATGACTAGGATTTTTCGCTGTTGTAAGGAAAGTTCTTGCAATTTGGGTTTTGGAAAGAAAGTTCTTGCTATTTGTGTCTTGTAAAGAAAGTTCTTGCTATTTTTTGTTTCGTAAAGAAAGGTCTTGCCATTTTTTGTTTTGTAAAGAAAGTTCTTGCAAATTTAAGCTGTAAACAAAGTTTTAACCATATACAAGGTTATTTTTTTTTTGAAAAAAGATTTTATAATTGTTTGTTTAGCTGTTAAAGCTGCAAAATCAAATATAAGATTTATAAAATAAAAAAACAATGGTCAACACCCCCAAACGTTGGGGGTGTTCGGCCATTGTTGAAATTGAAAACGTATTTTTATAAAATTTTAAAACTTGAAAAAAAAATCTTAATTTAAAAAAATTTTAAATTTGAATAAAGTCAAAAAAATTTTTGACTTATTATACTTAAATTTAAAAAAATTTTTAAAAAATATAATTTCTTCCATTCTTTACCACTATGATATCAAAAGCCTTTCGAATATTGTTACTACTTACTGTTACCTACGTGGTTATTCTGGTTTATCATAAAATTCCACATACTGTTACTAAGACAACACAGCGAAAAACTGCGGAAAGTAAGTTATTGTCATTTTTTGTTTTGTAAAGAAAGTTCTTGCCATTTTTTGTTTTGTAAAGAAAGTTCTTGCCATTTTTTGTTTCGTAAAGAAAGTTCTTGCCATTTTTTGTTTTGTAAAGAAAGTTCTTGCCATTTTTTGTTTCGTAAAGAAAGTTCTTGCCATTTTTTGTTTTGTAAAGAAAGTTCTTGCCATTTTTTGCTTTGTAAAGGAATTTCTTGCTATTTTATGTTTTGTAAAGAAAGTTTTTGCCATTTTATGTTTAGTAAAAAAAGTTCTTATTAGTTTTACTTTGTAAAGAAAGTTCTTGTCATGTAGTTTGATCTTATAATTTTCCTATCAAAAAATGTTATTTTTGAGTCTAAAAAAATTAAACTTTAATTTAAATTTTTTAAATTTCAGAGCTTAACTTCAAGCACTACCCCCAATTTGCTAATCTATCATGCGGTCCTTTTTTCAATTCAAGTTGAGACGAGATGGCAAATTACAAAAAAATTGGCATTCCTGATCCACCTAATCTTGAAATGACATGTCAAGCCATCAAAGCTCGCCAAACCTTCAGCAATGTTATCTATCCAGAAGAGGCACACTTCCCTATTGCCTTTGTAAAGGTGGTGTACACGGTAAAAACGTTATTGGTTTTTCAGTTTTTTAGGTTAAAAACAACCTCACTATGGAAGTTCTGTTACTTTCCGTCGTTTCTTGGTCATTTTACGTTAATTTTAGGCTTTAAAACAGAATGCCAATTTTGGCGTGAACTATAAAATTTAAAGTTTTTTAAAAGTTTGGTAAGGCTTTGTTTAAAAAATGCATTTATAATAACTAGTATAGTCATAAAACTTAATTTTAGCCTATTTTTAACATTTAAAACACAATGCCAAAGTTGGCAGAAAATTGAAAACTTGAAAAAATTTTTGTAAATTGGCTATTTTTCAAACGAAAAATTAAAACCTGATCTCCGGTCTCCTTAAAGTGCTACTAATGACAATATTTTTAGAACTATCTAACGTTGGAATTCGAATTGGCTACCAATTTCAACCCAAACAACATTTATATGTTTGTGATGGACAAGAAAGCACCAAAAATGTTTCAGTACCGTATGAGGCAGTTGTCTAATTGTTTTGTAAATGTGTTGGTATCAGAAAAGACGTTTGATTTGAAGTCTTCTGGCTATAACATTTTTTGGCACAATATCACTGCTTAAAGCTGTTGTTGGAGCACAAATGGAAGTACGTCGTGATTCTGGAGGTAAGTTTTAGTTGTAGCTGCAGTGATTTTTAGGCTAAGTTAAGTTAGAAATTAACTATTGCGGTGAAGGTACGGTCAATTTTAGCCAAGTTACGACATAGTAGGCTTAGGCTTACTAGGCTCAGTGTTATTAGCAGGCTCACAGCGGGCCATAGGCATAACGTAGACTAAATTGTGTCGTCAATATTAGAGAGTACTACACTTTTCTATAAGGCTGAACTAAAAGTAGCGGGACACATTCCATTTATATTCCACTTGAAAAGTGTCTCGCACTTTTGGTTCAACCTAATGTTATAATTATGATACGTTGCCCGTTCCAGAACGATGACATAATGATAAAAAACAAACCAAGAGATGGTGAAGATACTACAAGCTTTTTTACGGTGCCAATGATGTTGGTGCTCAGAACTTGGATCATTTGCATGTGTCTAGGAAGATGTTTCCTTTGATGAATGAATGGAGCTTGAAAAATCTTGGCATTCACCTAACTTGTAAGTTAATAATAGTAATTTGATAATATTTAATATTGTGTAGTACAGTAAATTTCATGTAACGGCTTATAAAATAATGGTTAAAAATTTGAAAATCAATTTTCCCGCCAAATCTTGGCATAAGGTTTTAAGGTCAATCTAGAATTTTATAAAGTTGTTTAGTATAGATTTTAGTTTTTTATTAGTTCTTAACTAGTTTTACATCTAAAATATTAAAGAAAATTTGAATTTTTGTTTTCCCGCCAAATCTTGGCATTCTGTTTTAAGGTTAAAAAAGTTGTAATAAGACCAACTCTTGCTCTAAATTTTTGTTCTCAATATTTTTGATCAATTTTACATGTATAACTAAGCAAAATGTACTGAGAGTAAACAACCTTTTTTTTGAAAATTTGAATTTTTTATTTTCCCGCCAAATGCTGAAGTTTTGTTTTTTTTTGTTGTACATTGCTAAAATACGAAGAAAAAGTTGTTTAAAATAAGAGTTTTAGCTTAAGATTCCTCCAATATATTGCTTTATATAATGGAAATTTTGTTTTTAGTACCGGAAGCCTATCAAAACCAAAGTTTGGTCATTTCAAAGTCAATTTCTCAAGCTACTTTGTCTTTCGAAGCCGTTTATCACATGTTTAACGTAAGTTTTTTTGCAGAATTTTGGTATTATAGGTTTGGTTAGTATCGTTGCCGTTTTAAGCTTAAATTTTGCATTTTATTTACAGCTTTTGTTTAGGTATTGAACTTAACAATCTTTTTGGACACAGTTAATGGCCATAACTTTGAACATGAACTAGCGACCAGCACCTTGAACGCAAATGAAATCCTCGGGATTCCTGGAGGTTTTACAACAAGATGCTTGTTTGAAAATCCATTTGGAGCTATTACAAGGTAAAAATTTATTTTTGCTGTAATTTATTAGATATTAAGACAATTTTTTAGAAAAATGACATTTGGGTCTAAAACTTTTTTTTAGATGTTTCATGGGTGTTAAAATACTTATAGTACACTAGCCTACGCCAATTAGTACTAGTTTTTGCTCTTTGGTGCAATTTTGGCTGTGTGTTCTTGTGGCGCAGTGGTAGTGATTTGAACTTTAGAATATAAGCTCAGAGGTTCGAATCAGGTCCGATGCAATAGGCTAATTACGTGTTTTAAGGCCGTTCTTCGCACTTTTTGATATTTAAAATTGTTTAAAGCAAAAAAAAAATTAATTTTTAAATACTAATAAAAAACTTTAAATTATTTTTTATATAAAAAATGGGTAAAAACATCGATTTTGCTGAAAATTAAGCCTAAAACATAAAAAAAAGCTGTAAAAAACTGTAAAACCTTAATGATTACGCATAAATTAGTTTATAAGTTTAAGCCTAATTTATATTTATCATTGTCAGGTTTTCCAAATGGGCAATCGAACCAAAAGACAAGAAACATTGCCTTAGTGGCAATATCCGTCACGGTATTTGCATATTGGGTATGTGGGATATGGAACTTCTGACTTAACTCAACACCTTTACCGTTAATAAAATGCTACAAAACTTTGATTTTGGTGGTATCGAGTGTTGGCATGAGTACATTTGGAATCGGCAGCACGTGACAAGGGAGGTCGATTTGGATATGGCATTTTACGAAAACCTGCTTGAAGTTCGATGGAATCGGCTCAAAAGTGCCGGGAAATTGGAGGAATTTACTTGTAAAACATCTCTTTAATATATTGTTTTAAAATGGCATTTAAAAAGTTTTGTCGTTTTTGGCCTTTATAATCAATGCAAGTCAGCGACAAAACTTTTTATGTCATTTTAGTTGTTGTAAATTTGCTTTTTATTTAGTTTTCAATATATATATTTAATAAGTTGCTCAAAAATTGCGTATAAAAAGTGTTGTCGTTTTTTGTTCTTACTGCTAATGGAAATTGGCGACAAGACTTTTTTGTTTCTTTACTTGTTGTACATTTGCCTTTTGGTGATAATAAATACATTTTTTGTATTCAATTCTCAACGGCTGAAATTTATTTTTAAGCCTAAAGTTCATTTATAAACCTAAATTTCATTTTCTAAGCCTACATTTTAATTCTAAGCCTAAAGTTCGTTCTTTAAACTTACAGTTAATACCTAAGCCTGAAATTAAGTTTTAAGCTTAAATATTGATTTTCCAAGCCTAAGATTGAGTTTCTAAATGTAAAATTCATCTTTAGGCTAAAAATTGATTTTTAAGCCTAATTTTCTTTTTACACGCCTAAACTTCATTTTGTCAGCCTAAAATTCATTTTTAAGCCTAAACTTCATTTTCTAAGCCTAAACTTTATTTTTAAGCTTAAAATTCGTTTTTTTAAGCCTAAAATTCACTTTTAAACCTCAAATTTCGTTTTTCGTGTTTATTTTCTAAGCTTAAAATTCATGTTTAAGCTTAATGCTGAAACTTCTAAGACGAATGTGTCCACCGACTGGCTTCCACTTTTAAGTTCGAAAAAAAAACAAATAGTAAATGCAAATAACTCTGGCACTGTTGGAGATATAAGACCGTGAAGGATTTTCTGCATTGGCTGAAGTAGATTTCGGGGATAAATTTCTGAATTTAGATGTTGTTTTACAAATTTTTGTCTATACAGTTCAAAAACTGCGTTTTTCGAACACCTGCCATTTATTTTTGACTTCACCCACCAAAATGGATAATTCCCAAACATACAGTTTAAACCGTTTAAACAGTTTAAACCAAAGTACACAAAACCATTGTCGCTAACCAAATTTAAACCACACATTGTCAATGGTAAAAGTGCATTCAGCATGTATATATGGTTGACATGTGCTTGTTCTTTAAACAAAAAAAAATTTTTTTTTAAAAATACTATTATTGTTTATCTAGCTGTTTAAAGCCGAAAAATCGATGAAAAATTGGGATTTGTATAAATAAAAACACAAAGTTTTGAGGTTTTAAACTATTTTTGACATTAAAAAAACTATTTTTATAAAATTTTGTAATTTTAAAAAAAATTTTTGAATTTTGAAAAATTTTAAAAATTTAATTTCTGCCATTCCTTACCACTATGACATCAAAAGTCTTTCGAATATTGTTGCTACTTACTGTTACCTACGTGTTTTATGTCGTATATCATAAAATACCACACACTGTTACAACGACAACACAGCCAAAAACTGTGGAAAGTAAGTTATTGTCATTTTTTGGTTTGTAAAGTAAGTTCTTGTCATTTTTCGTCTTGTAAAGAAAGTTTTTGCCATTTTTTGTTTTGTAAAGAAAGTTTTTGCTATTTTGGGTTTTGTAAAGAAAGTTTTTGCTATTTTGGGTTTTGTAAAGAGTTTTTGTTATTCTTCAAATAAACTCTTGCCAATTATAAATTTTTAAAATCTGCAGGTTGCGGGTGACATTTTATACAAAATCTATGTTTAATGTAAAGAAAGTTTTTTCCATTTTTTAATTTGTGAATAAGGTTTTTGCAATTTAATCTGGTATCACAAAATTATTTTTGAGTCTAAAAAAATTAAACTTTAATTTAAATTTTTTAAATTTCAGAGCTTAACTTCAAGCACTACCCTCAATTTGCCAATCTCTCCTGCACTCCTTTTTTCAATTCAAGTTCAGACGAAATGGCAAATTACAAGAAAATTGGCATTCCTGATCCACCTAATCTTGAAATGACATGCCAAGCGATTAAAGCCCGACAAACCTTTAGCTATATTATCTATCCAGAAGAGGCGCACTTTCCTATCGCCTTCGTAAAGGTGGTGTACACGGTAAAAAATTTATTAATTATTTAGCTTTTTAGGCTTAAACACAAGTTTACTTTAATAGTTTTATTAATGTTTGTTATTTTTTGGTAATTTTAAGTTGATTTTAGGCTTTAAAACAGAATGCCAATTTTGGCGGGAAAAAGACAATTTAAAATTTAATTTAAAATTGAGTCTATTTTTTACAAAAAGTGCATTTTCAATACCTTCTATGGTAATGAAATTTAATTTTAGCCTATTTTTGACATTTAAAACATAATGCCAAGTTGGCGGGAAAAATTAAGTTTAAAATTTTTAAAAAAATTGATAAGATTTTAATTGAAAACCGCATTTTTAATGACCAGTATAGTCATGAAACTTAAATTTAGTCTATTTCTGACATTTGAAACACAATGCCAAAGTAGGCGGAAAATTGAAAATTTGAATTTTTACTTGGAATTGTCATGATTTTGCTCCACAGTTAAAAATATTAGGTTTAAAAAAACCAAGGAAAGTTGCTGAAAGTTTCATTTTAAGTACTAACAACATTACTTTTAGAACTATTTAACGTTGGAATCAGAATTGGCTACCAATTTCAACCCAAACAACATTTATATGTTTGTGATGGACAAGAAAGCACCAAAAATGTTTCAGTACCGTATGAGGCAGTTGTCTAATTGTTTTGTAAATGTGTTGGTATCAGAAAAGACGTTTGATTTGAAGTCTTCTGGCTATAACATTGTTTTGGCACAATATCACTGCTTAAAGCTGTTGTTGGAGCACAAATGGAAGTACGTCGTGATTCTGGAGGTAAATTTTAAATCTTTGATGTATTTACTGTAGTTTTTTATAGTTTTATAATTTTTAGGATTTTTTAGAAGGCTGTAGTGTGCTATAGCAGTTGATGCTACATTATATAGTTAATACCACATTTTATTATTATTATATTATGATGCCCGTTCCAGAACGATGACATAATGATTAAAACAAACCAAGAGGTGGTAAAGATACTACATGCATTTAATGGTACTAATGATGTTGGTACTGTTAACTTGGGACATTTGCATGTGTCTAGAAAGATGTTTGCATTGATGACTGATTGGAGTTTGAAAAGTCTTGGTATTCATCCTACGTGTAAGTTAATACATGCTTGTCATTGCAAGAAACTTTTAAACAAAATCCACTTTAAAAGACCTATTTTAAAATTTAAAATGAAATAGTACAGTAATTTTCATATAATAGCTTTAAAAAATGGTTAAAAATTTGAATATCAATTTTTCCTGCCAAATCTTGGCATGTTGTTTTAAGTTTAAAACTGGTGTTTATAATAATTTTTTTCTTGGTTGTACTATATTTTGTAGTTTGGAATTAGTTTATAAGGAGTTTTGCACCTAAACTTTTATAAAAAATTTAAATTTTTGTTTTTCCGCCAAAAGCTGGCATTATGTTTTAAGGTAAAGTCGTGGTTGGATCTCATTTTGCCCTAAATATTCGCTCTTAGTACATTTTAGTCGATTTTGCATGTATAACTAAATAAAATGTACATTCTGTGATACTAGTCAAGAAAATTTGAATTTTGGTTTTCCCGCCAAATATTGAAATTTTGTTTTTGGCCTAAAATTGGTAAAATAAGAAGAAAGAGTAGTTAAAGTTAGGTTTTGAACTTAAGATTAATTCAGATTGTTGCTTTTTATAACAAATATGGCTTTTTTAGTACCAGAAGCCTATCAAAACCAAAGTTTGGTCATTTCAAAGTCAATTTCTCAAGCTACTTTGTCCTTCGAAGCCGTGTATCACATGTTTAACGTAGGTTTTATGACTAAACTTTGTGTTTTGTAATTAGCCAGTATCATTACATTGTTTGAAGCCTTATTTTTGAATTTTATTTACGGTTCTTGTTTAGGTACTGAACTTAACAACCTTTTTGGACACAGTTAATGGCCATAACTTTGAACATGAACTAGCGACCAGCACTTTGAACGCAAATGAAATTCTCGGGATTCCTGGAGGTTTTACGACAAAATGCTTGTTTGAAAACCCATTTGGAGCTACTACAAGGTAAAAATTTATTTTTATTGTAAATTGCTAGATTTTAAAACAATTTTTTGAAAAGAAATTTTATTTTTAAAAATTTTTTAAGCTCAAAAATTATTTTTAGATGTTTTATGAGTGTAATAATATACCGGGATACGCCAAATAGTACTAATTTTCTGTTTTTGGTACAATTTTGGCCGTTTGTTTTTGTGGCGCAGTGGTAGTGATTTTAACTTGTAAACTTAAGTGGTGGGTTCGAATCCGGTTCGGCGCAAAGGTTAAGATTGGTTTTATGGCCGTTTTTCTAAATGTTTTGTTATTTAAAATATTTTTTAATATAGGTAATCCAATTTTAAAGATTTTTGGTAACAAAATTTTCTTTATTTAGTTTTTTTTATAAAAACAATTGGATCAAACGATAGATCTTGACAAAAAAAGGCTAAAACGGGGAAAAAGATACTCTAAAACCCTGTAAAACAACAAAAATTTTTAAAAAATTAGTTGATAAATTAAGCCTAATCTATATTTATCATTGTCAGGTTTTCCAAATGGTCGTTCGACCCAAAAGTCAGGAAACATTGCCTTAGCGGCAACATCCGTCACGGTATTTGCATATTGGGTATGTGGGATATGGAATTTTTGACCCAACTCAACACCTTTACCGTTAATAAAATGCTACAAAACTTTGATTTTGGTGGTATCGAGTGTTGGCATGAGTACATTTGGAATCGGCAGCACGTGACAAGGGAGATCGATTTGGATATGGCATTTTACGAAAATCTGCCTGAAGTTCGATGGAATCGGCTCAAAAGTGCCGGGAAATTAAAGGAATTTACTTGTAAAACTTATTTTTAATATATTGCTCAAAAATGGCATTTAAAAAGTTTTGTCGTTCTTTGCCCTTATCGTCAATTAAAATCAGCGACAAGACTTTTTATGACATTTTAGTTGTTGTACATTTGCTTTTAGGTAATAATAAATCAACTTCCTGTAATCAAAGCTCAATTTTTAGGTATTTTATAGTATAAAACATGAAAAAATAGTACCATACGTAAAGAATGGTACCAAACGTAAAAATGGTACCAAAAATAATAAAAATAGTACCAACCCTAAAAAATAGTACCATACATAAAGAATGGTACAAAAAATTAAAAATAGTACTAAGCTTAAAAAATAGTACTATACATAAAGAATGGTACCAAACAACAAAATTAGTACTAAACAAAAATATCAACAAATATCGTAATCTACAGTATCCTATGGTTTACTTGGCGTGCAAAAACACTTCGTGTTCGATTTCGTGTAGCATTCGCTTCTGTTTGGCCTTGGTATTCCTCACGTAGAAGCCCTGGATCTCGTTCTCGAGGCGTTGTTGTCTGTGTGGGTCGATCAGTCCCTTCGAGTCCACGTACTTACGGTAGTTCGAAGAGAAAAAGTACTGCATGTCGTGGCGTATGTCTGGTGTGGGGAAGGCGAAAAAACTAAAAAAATTAGTTTATCTAGCTGAATTTCATTTTCTAATCCTAGCCTTCGTTTTTAAGCCTAAAATTAATTCTTAAACCTAAAATTCATTTTCTAAGCCTAAAATTCGTTTTTAAGCCTAAAATTAATTCTTAAACCTAAAATTCATTTTCTAAGCCTAAAATTCGTTTTTAAACCTAAAATTTATTTTTAATCCTAAGTTCATTTTCTAAGCCTAAAATTCATTTTTAAACCTATAATTCATTTTTTAGACCTAAGGTTTAGTTTTAAGACTAAAACTCATTTTCTAAGCGTAAAATTCGTTTTCTAAACCTAAAATTCATTTTTAAGCCTACAAATTCACTTTCTAAGCCTAAAATTCATTTTCTAAGCCTAAATCCAATTTTAGCCCATACGTTGATTTTTAAGCCTAAAGTTCATTTCCTCAGCCTAAAATTCAATTTTTAGCTTAATATTCGAACGTCTAAGCTTAACATTCATTTTTAATCCTAAAACGACTAATTCAATAAAATCCAAAAACCTACTAAATAAATGTCGTCACTATTGCCAACGTCGCAGTGCCAGCCGCAAAATGCGGCCCCGCACTTCTGAAAAAGTCGTAACGTTGGCCGAAGAAGGCCTTTCGATTGGCTACGAACTTCTCCGCCGTTCGTAGCGTCGACAACCTCATTTTGATGCTAAAAGATAAGTTTTTAATTAAAAAAATATTTTTAATAAAAAATGGCAATAATTTAAAAAAAAGTGTACATTCATCCAGGGGCGTCGCTACGGATTTTGATTTTTCCTGGGGGGGTGGAGACCCAAAAAAAATTTTTTTTTGCGATCTTTTGAGTACAGTTACCTACCTGTGGAATTTTTCCGGATCGGCTCTGGGGGGGGTCCACCCCCCCCCACCCCCCTAGCGACGCCCCTGCATTCATCGCAAATTTCTAATATTGCTACCTGAATTTCAAGTTTAAAAAACCGTATTTTAAACGAAAAAACCTTTAATATTGCTCAAAAAAATCATTCTTTCAAATTTTTTGTTAAATAATTTTTTATTTTAAAAACCTTATTAAATATATTCACCATGGTAAAACACCAATATATAATCTAAGAAAACCAAAACCACTTTCAATATTTCATTTATTACTTTATTACAAAACAAAGGTCCACAAATAGTATATATTAACATAGGCAAATTTAAAAAAGGTCATTTAATTTAAAAAAAAACTATCAAATGAAAAAACAACAAAAGTTATAAAAAAACTCAACATCTATCAATTTCCATAACAATATTTAATAAAAAGTCTCTAAAATCTCTTGTATAATATACTGTACACGCATTCAATGTGAACATGTCCACCATATTGACTGGCTTTCACTTCTAAATTCGAAAAAAACACAAAAAGTAATAAATAACTCTGACACTGTTGGAGGTGTGGACCAAGGTGGATTTTCTCAATGGGTTGAGGTAGGTTTTGGGGGTGGATTTCCGAATTTCAGTTTTAGTCCAATCGGGGATGGATATTTGATTCTTGGTTCTCTTGGGGATAAATATTCGCATTTTAGTCCAATTAGGTGTGAATACTGGCATTTTGGTCCATCGGAAGCAGGTTCTGTTCAATGAGAGTAAGTATTCAAAAAATGAAGCCGAACTGAAGCCGTTGCTTAAATTCGAACCCATGATTCAGTTTAAAGCCATTTCAAGCCAATTCGGAGCCCTTTTACAAGTCGACCTGATTATAGTACCACCATCATACTGTGCCACTTAACACTACTGTACTGAGCAATATTGTACCCATCCTCCTTCATCGTCATGGCTTAGGATTAAACGCTACAGAACTACATGCAAATCCAATACTTCCATCATCCTACAGTATCATCCTCAACACCAGTAAAACCATCTTCATGCTGTACCACTCTCAGCGCCAGTACCAACATCACTCTACTGTACCTCCCTCAAGATCCATCCTTCAGTACCACTCTCAGCACCAGTACAACCGTCATCCTCCTGAACCATTTTCAGCACCAAAACCCCCATCATCATCACGCACCACTCTCATCACCAGTACCAACACCATTCTCCTGTACTTCTCTCAGACCATTACCACCATTCATCCTTCAGTACCACTCCAATCTACAGTACACCTATCATCTTAACTACAAAAAAACGCTCCATCTCCTACTACTGTATCACCCATCATACTGTAGTTTACGAGTTGGGGACCTTCAAGTTGGAGTATCTTCTCAAATCGACCACTTTTTGGCCGTTTATTTGATCGATTTCGACTCCTATCGTCTTTAGGTAATCGGGGAGTTCGGTGCGCTCGTCTATGCTTAACATACCGGCTAGCTGGGGTAGTGACAAGGTGGGGCGGAACCTGAAAATTCATAATTTTATACAAATCAATAAGAAATGTAAGCTTAAATTTAAAAATTTAAGTCTTTGAGCCTAAAATTTAAAAAAAAATTAATAAATTCAAAACTTACGAAGCAATGATGGCCTGCATGTAGCGATTCCTTTCTCGTTCCACAAAAAAGTCCATCAACTGCTTGATTACCGTGTCCACCTGGCCGTGCAGTTTAAAGAAGATGGTGTAATTCCGAGTGGCATAGGCCATGTAAACGTCTTTTGCCATTTTCATTTCCTTGCTTTTCTTGAACGCTTCCTTATGTTTCTGCATCAGTTCAATCGCATCTGAAACACAGAAAAATTAGGCTTACATAAATTTCTGACTTAAAATCAATTAATATAAATCAAATATTAGGCTTAAAAATCAAATATTAAACTGAAAAAAAATAATTTTTAAATTAAAAATCGAAACTTAGGCTTAAAATCAAATTTTAGGCTTTAAAACCCAACTTCAGGCACCCAGATCAAATCTTAGGCTTAAAATATAAATTTTAAATTTCCATTTCGACCTTCAAGTTAAAAATTTTATGCTTATAAATCAATCTTTAGGCTTAGCAAATAAACGTTAGGCTCAAAAATCAACTTTTAAGTTAAAAACCAAAGTTTAGGCTTAAAACAAAATCATCCCCCCCCCCCTCCGAAACCCCCATTTGAAGTCTATATCAACCTACCCAATTCGCTCTCAACATAAGCGTAATATATCAATCGGTACGCAGTGAACTTCCATCGATTCACAGCAGATTGAATGTTCTCGTAGAGAACTTTGAGTTGATTTTGAGCTTGATTAAACTCCTCTCGATCCTTATGTTTTATGGCCAATAAAGCATGTTGTTCATAGACGTCGATGGCAAACTCGTTTCGAATGTCTTGAGTCTAAAAATAAAAAAAAATTATTGCCGTTTTTATTTGTAAAGAAATTTCTTGCATTCTTTTGTTTTGTAAAGAAAGTTCTTGTCATTTTTTCAAAAATAACCAAAAACCCACCAAAATATCTTGACGTATGCTCTTGAGCTGATCATTTGCATAATGATAATCATTTTTTTTGTCTCTGTATACTCGTAGAACGTGATCTAGTGCTCGCCTTAGTATATGATATGGTCTGACTTGAGCTGGATCTGCTTCCTAAAATAATATACTTCATTAACACCTTTATTAATGGTTTTTACGGCTTTAGGCTTAACATGCTTTCAATTATATTGCTTTAATCATCAAAAACTAAGCCAAAAAACCTAAAAACTCACCGTTGTTAACCTAAAATACGGTTTCTCCAATGTCGTACACGTCCCCACAATCCGTCTCCTTCTTTTCAACGAACACTTCTCAACCAACGAGTTCAAATTTATCCGTCCGTTCTGTTTTCTTTGCACTGAAAAACCCCTTTGCCCCAAAACCGGTTGATTTTCCGACCGAACTCTAATGTTGGCTGATTGAGCCGATGTTGAAGAAAACCGTTGTGCTCTGGCTAGCTTTTTCTTATCATCTTCTTCGTCGATCGTCTGATATTTCGATGGTCCATACGACAATTTCGCTGAAACTTGGACCGCCGCCGTTGCTGCTTGCTGTTGTTGACGTTTGCGCTCCTTCTTCTCGGATTTCTTCGACTTCTGAAAAGAAAATTTTTGTAAATAGACAAAAAACACAGCCTATAGCATCTTTGGTATCATATGCTTTCGTTGTAGAGCAGTCAACACATATTCTCTTACAAAGAGACGAAAAACTATATTCCACTTCCTTCAGATGCAAGTGTAATATAAAATCTGTTATTTACCGAAATTTTTAAATCAAAAACCTAAACAAGCTCTTGAAACACAAACTACAGTATGTTTTCTATCATATTCATTCATTTCCAACCCCAATCTAATGAATTTTCCATCAAAAACACCAAAACGTATATTACACTTCCATCAAACCAATGAGTAATATAAAACCGTTGAGACATCCTAAAAACAAAACTAAAATAAGAAAAAACTTACTTTAGAAGTTGAAGCATGCTCGGCATCGTATTTATCAAAAACATTTTTGTCAAAGTTCAACGGAGTAAACTTTGGCAGACCTGATTCCATCGCCCGCTTTCTGCTACCTAAAACAATATAAATTAGTATTTTTAGTTTGCTCATTGAACTAAACTGTCTAAAATATACTTTTAAATAACCAACATAATACTCTTGATTTTCTAAAAGCTTCTAAATATTATACGCCTTCAAAAAATATAGTTATTACCTAAATCAATAGAAATCGGAGCTGAATTTGAAGAAGCTGTTGGTTTCACAGCTTGTGATGGTGTCCATTGCATATTGAGCTGGAACTTTACTTCATGTGGAAGCTTTTCAGCATTCCAATTAATTCTTGTAGCCATTCCTGAGTCCAACATCGGTGAGATCCGCTCTTTTAAGTAATACTTTACCTGTTTTTCCTCATTTGGAGCTGCTGCTATCGCTCTATCACAATATTCTCTGAAAAGTTAGTGATTAAAAGGCTAATTATAAATTGTAAAACATAGAAATAAGTATATTCTACCTACGCTTCAAATATCAAGCAAGATTTTAAAGAATTAGCTTGATAAATATTGCTTTAACATCGAGCTAACCAATAAATCATGTATAACATCCGAAACCGCCTAAAAACAAAAGAAAACAAACAAAAACTTACTTTACACTAATAGGAATCATTCGACAAAAGAACTCGGAATACACGAACGTCCCTTGATCGCTTTTCACTGTCACCACCGGCACTAAAACAATATCGGTTTTTAGACGTATAACATAATATTTTTAGTAAAATCCAATAAAACCGTGCTAATTTCAATGAAAGTTAATAAGAAAAAGTAAGATTAAAACTTCCTTAAGTTGTTTGATGTAACAAAATCAAGATTTTTAGTGAATTCAATCTAAAAACCAACAAAATATATCAAAACCCTTACCTTGAGTAGGAAATTGAGGCCTGAAAGCCATTCGATTGACCGGAGCGCTTCCACCAGCCGGTCGGAAGTTTGGATACATCATGGCCGAGTTCCCCGACGGCCGGACAAATCCAGTTTGATAAGCTTGACTCAACCTGGCTCTAACAATATTCGGCGGCGGACCAAATCCACGTTGTTGTTGATGAATAAGCGATTGATAAACCGGGTCATGAACGGCCTGATAATGATGCACTGGCTGAGATGGTGGAGTTGTGATCTGAGCAAGCTGTTCTTGAGCTTTGGCCCAGAACGGATTGCTCGGATTTTGGGGCTGTGATGACGGAGGTATCGGGATGGAAGACAGGTCAAAGTCTGACATCTTACTCGTATTTTAGCGGCTTTAAAAGCCAAAAAGATGCGTTTAAGTTCAGAAAGAAAATTTATGGCGTTGTCAAAGGTTTAGATGTGATGAAACTTCTGAATCGTCCAACTTTCAAAGCTTCAAACCCGTCTTAACCTTCGTTTTCTTCAAAAATTTGCAACCAAATCGTAAAAATAGACCTTCGACTCTTCAAAAATCCGTTATCACTCCTTCTTGATCCTTTACTGATCGTTCAACTTTTCAAAATTCGACAAACCTTCTTTATCTTCCACTAGACCTTCAGTTCTCAAAACCTTCTAAAAACGCTTCAAGTTCTCAAAACCTCTGATCTTCACCTTGGCAAAACCTCGAATTAAAAGCAAATAAACGGTGTAAAGCAACCGACTTGAGAAAGCCAAATTTCAACAATAGAAATCGTCAATTTCTCAACGAAAAATGCACTGAAATTGTCTGCCGAAAAATCTTTTTCGTTTGAAGCGGAACGCCAAACAACAGGTAAGTCCCGCAACGAAAACGTTTTGTTCGGGAAAGCTTCGAGATTTTGGTCGGATTATCTTCAAGATGCTTTTAACTTCGTATATTATTAATAGTGTTAGCGTGTTGGCTGTAAATTGGTTAGATATTAGTTGATTTTGACGATTATATTATACTAGACATTAAACTTGGCTCTATTGGCTTAAAATTGGTCGATTTTGCTGGAACTTGGTCGATTTTAAACGGAATTTTTATTGTAACTTGATCTAGAGATTCTAGACTACATATTAGATATTAATTTTGGCTTTAATTTTGAGTTATAATTACTTAAAATAAAAAAGTTTGAAAAACAGTCGATTTCCCCTAAAAATCGACTGTTTTTGCTCAAAACTACTGGTATACCTTTACCTGAAAACCTAAAAATTTGACATAAAGTCATGATAGACTATCTGAGTCCCATAATTTCTTGGGCTCAACGTGATAAAGTGCTGTATCTCACCGTGCGAGTCGAAGATATGACCGTAGACGAGCTGAAAGTGGATGGTAATCAGTTTTTGATACGGTAAGGGGCTGGATACTGTAACTTTGACTCATAATTATGTAAAATAAGCTTAAATTTGTTCAGGGGATCGAGTGGAACAAAGAAATATAAAGCTGAAATCGAGTTTCATGGGGAAATCGAGAAGAATCAGGTACGACAAATTGGTACCAAGAGGCATATCGAGTTGGTGCTGGGCAAAAAGGTTCACAAATGGTGGCCTAGGCTTACTAATAAACAAGTTAAGGTCAGTGTTTAAATGTTGTTCGATTTTTTAAAAATTGTTTTGAAAAGGTTTAAAAAACGATAGCTTTCGTATAACATGTCACTCGCAGCCTGCAGGGTCCAGAACTTGCTTTAAAATAGGTTAGAATTGGGTAGATAGGTAGAAGATGGCAAGAACTTTTTTTACAAAATAAAAAATGGCAAGAACTTTCTTTACAAACTAATAAATGGCAAGAACTTTTTTTACAAAACAAAAAATGTCAAGAACTTTCTTTACAAAACCGTATTTTAGCTTCCTTGGCTCAAAGTCGACTTTGATAAGTGGGTAGATGAAGATGAACAAGCTGAAGAAGAAGATCCTTTTGATTTCACGGCGCTACAAGAGAACTTAATGGCCGAAGATGTTAATATAGGCGAACTGGATGGCTATATTTCGGATGACAGTAATTATGACGACATGCCTAAGTTGGAGTTGATTGAGAATGAGGAGAACAAGGAACCCAAAGAATAATATTGTCGTACATTTTGGTAATAAAATTATTTGAATCGCAAGAACTTTTTTTACAAAACAAAAAATAGCAATAACTCTCTTTACAAGACATAAAAAATCCGAGTCGTCGTATAACTTGTCACCCGCAGGCTGCACATCCTTAAACTCGCTTTAAACTTCACAAAAATCGGCCTAAAAACCAACTATGATAAGAACTTTATTTCCAAACAAAAATAATCAATAAAACCAGATAAAGAACAAGTAAACAAACAACACAAGTTAACAATGACATGTTTATTCACCAAACTCATACTGCAGACTACGGTAGTGCTGATTCCTTGTCTCGGTAAGCTAAGCCCTCTGGTACAGGGGTTCAGTGGGTATCATTTAACCGGTTGGGTGACTAATCGTTGAGTACAAGTATGGTACCATAAGTCTTCGGTTTAACCTTCATGGTACCATTAGTCATCATTCGGCTCTTATAGTACCATTATCCTTCTGATTCTTCCCTTGATGGTACCATTAGTCTTCGATTCGTTCTTGAAGCCACCAATGATACTGTCATTCTTTGGTTCATCCGTAATGGTACCATTAGTCCTATGATTCTTCCTTTGTAAGGCCATTAGTCTTGTTTGAACCTTATCCTGTAGAGTAAGGCTATTCCGGCTAGTATTCCATAATGGTACCATTAGTCCTCAGATTCGTATTTTTTGGTACCATTCGTGCTTAGGTTCTCCTTGCGCTTCACGAGCCTTAGACCGTTGTTTTGGCTTGGACTTGTGTCGGTTGGCTTTGTTTTCAGTCATATCATACAAACTCAACACTTTTGTAAACCATGCCCCATCTCGAGCTGATTCCCTGGCATTCTGACCCAGCAACTGATACTACGGTAGTGCTGATTCCTTGTCTCGGTAAGCTAAGCCCTCTGGTACAAGGCTCTCAGTGGGTATCGTCAGAGCGGTTGGGCAACCAATCGTTTAGTACGAATCGGGGTATGGTACCATTAGTCCTCTGTTTCATCTTTTATGGTACTTGTAGCCGTGTAAATGCTACTTTGGTACTTTTAGCAAATCGCTTCCCATTAGTCTTGTATCCGGCCTTGATGGTACCATAAGTCTTCGATTTGATCTCCATGGTACCACTAGTCCACTGATTCTTCCTTGGTGGTATTATAAGTCTTCGTTTCAACCTTGATGGTACCATTAGTCATAATTCGGCCCTTATAGTACCATTAGCTCTGATTCTTCCTTGATTGTACCATTAGTCTCGGATTCGGCCTTCATGGTACCATCAGTCTTCTGATTCTTCCTCGTTGGTACCATCGTTCCTTGGTTTATCCATTATGGTACATTAGCCTTAGGTTCTCCTTGCCCTTCAACAGCCATGGACCGTCCTTCTTCTTGGAAACGCCTGTTGGCTTCGTTTGATAGACGTATTCTTTCTTGATGGTACCATTAGTCTTCGATTCTTTCCTGATGGTACCGTTAGTCCTGGATTTGGCGATGGTACCATTAGTTCTGGATTTGGCTTTGACGGTACCATTAGTCTTTGCTTCAACCTTGATGGTACCATAAGTCTTCGGTTTAACCTTGATGGTACCATAAGTCTTCGGTTTAACCTTGATGGTACCATTAGTCATCATTCGGCCCTTATAGTACCATTAGCCCTCTGATTCTTCCCTTGATGGTACCATTAGTCTTCGATTCGTTCTTGTAGCCACCAATGATACTGTCATTCTTTGGTTCATCCGTAATGGTACCATTAGTCCTCAGATGCGCATTTTATGGTACCACTTGCTTTAAATTCTCCTGGCACTTCACGAGCCTTAGACCGTTCTTCTGGCTTGAACTTGTGTCCGTTGGCTTCGTGGTATGGTACCATTAGTCCTCAGATTCGTATATTATGGTACCACTTGTCTTGGATCCTCCTTTTCCTTCAACAGCCATGGACCGTTCTTCGGGCTTGGAAATGTCCATTGGCTTCGTTTGAGTTATTTCCGTCATATCGGACAAACTCAACATAATGTTGTCCTTTTCTTCCCTGAGGCCATTCGAAACCAGACTTTGTAGTTCCTTTTCCGCGCGGCTCCGTATACCTACTTAGTGGTACCATCAGCCGTCGTTTGGGCCTCTAGAGCTCTTGCGATTTGGCGACCATTTTCTACAAATTTAAAAAATTTAAATTTAAAAATTAAAATTTTAAAAATTTTAAAAAATTTCAATTTAAAACTCACCTCGCGTTGCTAAATGCAAGTGACTTGGAGTCACAATGGTACCATTAGTCCTGCGATTCTCACTACATAGTACCATCAGCGGATTGGTTCTTTCTTGGTGTTACTGTTCGATTGGCTTTTCATGGTACCATTAGTCCTCTGATTCTTCCTTGACGGTGCCATCAGTGGAAAGCTTCTTTCTTCATGGTACCATTAGTCCGCTGATTCGTCCTTAATGGTACCATTAGTGATCTGATTTGTTCTTCATGGTACCATTAGTCCTCTGATTCGTTTTTGGGCCGATTAACTGACATTCAGTCTTTTTGGTACCATTGATCTAAAAAAATGTTTCATCGTATAAAATGTCCCTTTAGCAACTAAAAAACCTCAGGAACCATAAAAGTATGTTAATTTACCCAGCCAATCTGCACCTTCTTGCATTAGAGGTACTGCACATGGTGGGATCGCTGTGAACGTTTCTCCTGAACCATCCAACGTGACCCACCGTTCCTGAGGCAGTCAAACCATTAGCGATGAGTTCATGATGACCAACTCCAGACTTGTGACGACCATAGTCTTGGCTTCAGAAAGAGATGAAATAGCAGTTCACAGTAAAGTTAAGAGCGTTCTTGCTTCATAAAGAATGGCAGCAGAGTCACAGCGGTAGAGTCAGGCGTGTCAAGGCGGCGATCTTCGAGAAACGACCGAAGAGTTGGATCCGACCAGCTTGAAGTGAGAAAGCGGAGCAAAGTGCCACGTCGACCACATACGGGAACAGAGCGAAGGAATTGGTACCGACCTTCTTCTGGGCTGTGGAACTGATCGAATGACCAATTTTGACCGTTTTCGGCTCACGAAGACTTTGAAATTGAAATATGCAAATTACGAAAATTCGAGAAAAATATTTTTTTTTGGGAAATTTCTAAAAAAAATTCAAAAGTATTAAATTTAAAATTTTTTTGAATTTTTGCCAGAACTTTCTTTACAAGACACAAAATGGCAAGAACTTTCTTTACAAAACAAATAATAGCAAGAACCTTTCTTACAAAGCATAAAATGGCAAGAACTTTCTTTACAAGACACATAATGGCAAGAACCTTCCTTACAAAGCATAAAATGGCAAGAACTTTCTTTACAAGACACATAATGGCAAGAACCTTCCTTACAAAGCATAAAATGGCAAGAATTTTCTTTACAAAGCATAAAATGGCAAGAATTTTCTTTACAAAGCATAAAATGGCAAGAACTTTCTTTAAAAAACAAAAAATGGCAAGAACTTTCCTTCCATGGCTTGAAATAGCAAAAACTTTCTTTACAAAACCTAAAAACCTTTAAATTTGAAAAAAGCCTAATAAATTTTGGAACTCGTGAAACAAAATTTCAACTTTTCTCAAAATCTAAAAAAAAATTTTTTAAAAATTGATTATTTAAAAAAGTCAAAATTTCAAAAATTTCAAAATCAAGCCATTTTTCAAGATTTTAATTTTAAAAAAAAAAAAATTACAAAAAAAAATTTAGTTTTAAAAAATTATAAAATACTTTTAAAATTTCAATTTTCTATTTTTTCCCCAAAAAATTTTTTTTTTGTAAAAAAATTTATGGAAAAATTTTGGCGTTTCTAAGTTTCCAAAACTGGTTGACATAATACTTGTTGACATTTGTACTGACTTTTCTATACTTTGATTTTAAAAATTTTCAACTGACAGTTTAAATTTTAACTTTTGATGGTGACTATATGGACTCCAATATTTCCTTTGCTTTGTTGTTTGTTTTGTTTCATTGGAATTGTCTCTGGGTGAGTTTTTAATACTTTTTTTGTTAGATTAGGTGCCGACATAAAGAACCCGCCATTTTTTCGGTAAATTACAGGCAAAGTATATACGGTAATTACAGGCAAAGTACATACGGTAATTACAGTCAAAGTATGGCGGGTTCTTTATGTCGGCACCTACTACTTTACTATCTTCATTGTGTAACAGTACTAAAGGGTTGACTAGTAAAAAAGGCGGGCCTGGCTCACTTTTTTTGACTGTGAAAGGGGAGGGCCTGTCTTTTCAGCTTGGTTACTAAAATTTGTTTTGGCTCAGTCTTGGTAGGGCCTAGTTTGCTTCTGTTAGACATGAGAAACGGGCCGGGCCGGGCCCAATTTTCAGGCTCGGCCCAATCGAAATTTTGCTCAAGGCCGGCCCGGCTCGATTGTAGGCCCGGGCCTAAAATTTTTTTTACGTGGAAACGGGCCGGGCCCGGCTCATTTTTCAGGCCCGGTCCGATCGAAACTTTTCCCAAGGCCGGCCCGGCCCGTTTCTCATGTCTAGTTTCTGTTTGTCCCTGGTCGTGGCCTAGTTTGCTTCTGTTTCGCCCAAGCCGAGTCTAGTAAGCTCTCTTTCAGGTCTACTAAAAAGAAAGGGGGAAGTAGAGAACGAGGTGAAGAGATAAGAGGAGAATTTTCAAAATCAAAAATTGAATAAAAAATTTTTTAGATATGCCATTGGTGTTGCACTAGACCACTTGCTCCCGGTTTTGCCAATCATTAGTGAAGGCGGGATTCTAATTCCAGAAAGAGGCGTTTTTGGAACTTTCATCAATTATTCAGCGGTTTTCTGTAAGTAACTAGCCTTAGCCCAGTTCCTTAGTCTAGAGCCTTAGCCTAGAGCCCTAGCCCAGAGCCCTGGCCGAGAGCCCTAGCCCAGAGCCTTAGCCTAGAGCCCTAGCCTAGAGCCCTAGTTTAGAGACCCCTGAACTCAACCGCTAACCCCGATCCTCTTGCCAGTCTAGAGTCCAAGCCTTAGATTCGGCCCCTAGACCCAACCGCCAAACCCGACCTTTAGACCATACCTCCTTCAAAGCCCTAGCCCAGAACTTTAGCTTTAAGCCTTGTCTTAGTCTCTAACTCTAGCCTAGCTCAAGCCATATCCCAGACTAACTTGATTATATTTCAGGGTTCTTTACAAACATCTGCCTGTACCTCCACATGAAAGATCACGTTCAGCAGCACAAGCCACACTCCAAAGTACGGCACTTCTTGTACGTTATGTTGTTCCTTGGTATCTTTTCCGGCTTTGGCTTCACTCTGTTGGCCAACTTTCAACTAAGTGAAGACTTAATGGTACACGGTCTTGGTGCTATTATGATGTTTTTCGGTGGCTTGGTCTTCTTCGTTTGTTACATCGTATTCACATTGAAAGAACGTCAGTATACGTCGCTTTGGATGACCATCATTCGTATGATAATTATCGTACCGGCTGGTATTTGCGTCTTTTTGCGTAAGTTTTTGGTTTTTATATTTGGTTGGGGGGGGGGAGAGGAAGGGCAGGGGGTAGATAGGCAAGGCAGATAGGTAGGACTATAGTAAACACGGCTAAGGTAGGTAAGATTACGGTGGAAAGATTACAGTAGTTAAAGTCGAGGTGGGTTGGACTACGGTAAGAACTGGTAAACGACTATAATATGTACGACTATGGTACTGTAGGCAACACTACGGAAGTTGGACTACAGTAGGTAAGGCTACAGTATGCAAGTCTACGGTAGTTATTACTACAGTAAACAAGACAAGGGTAGGTAAAATTACAGTAGGCTACGGTAGGTAAGACCTTGGTAAGTAGGGTCATGTTAGGTAGAACTGAAGTAGGTAAGGCTATAGTATAGGTATGATTACGGTGAAATGTTTAAGGCTACAATAAGCTACTCGTACAGTAATATCTTATACAACAGCTTTTTTATCATGTTGTACACCAGCCAAAAATTTACAATTTCAGAGCAGATTTTTAATGACAATGCCATCATCGTAGTAGCAGTCAATGGTACAGTACCTCCTTTACCTGAAAAAGTAGATGGAATCAACCGAATTGGATTTGGTCAGCCGGTAAGGGCACTTCTAGACTTACATTAGGATTACTGTAGTCTTACGGTAGAATCACTGTAGAACTTCTACCTATCTTTTAATCATTGAAATTTTACTGTACGTTCAACGAAAGTAAGGTAGAACTACAGTAGGTAAAGCTAACTTACTGTAATCTTACCTACTGTACTTCTACTTTACCTACTGTAGTTGCAACATACTTTCTGCTTACTGTAGTTCTACTTCACTTTCTGCTTACAAAAGCCTAACCGTAGTCGACTGAATTTTCATTTTTCTTATAAGCTACTACAGTAATTTCAGTGGTGGTTGAATCACTTGGTATCATCGTCTGCTGAATGGACAGTAGCCTTCTTGTACTTGATTCTGGTTGGAAGTCTAGCCTACGATCTATTAGGATGCTATATTGTGATTAATCTGAATGACTATGATCCAAGAAGAGTTAAGAGAAATGTCAAATCATCTGATAGTGATCAACATGGAAAAGGAACCGATAAAGTAGACACAAAATCAGAAGAGAAGGACGATCAATCATCGTACAAAAGTTCATACTGAATTTTGAAATCTCAAAATTTTTAAATTGACAAGTAAACTAACTTTGAAATAACCTAGATCATGATAGTAAGGTAGAATAGGGTAAGGGGTAGAATATATTCTACAACAAAGTTAAAGTAAAGCAAGGCATGACTGCGATAGAACAAAGCAAGGGTAAAGTAGACCAAAGCAACAGTAAGGTAGAGCAAGACAAAGGTAAAGTAGAGCAAGGTAAGGGTAAGGTAGGGTAAGGTAGAGTAGGGTAAGGTACAAGGCAAGACCAGGACCAGGACCAGGACTAAGCCAGAACCAAGACTAGGACCAGGACCAGAACCAGAACCAAGACCAGGACCAAAACCAGGACTAGGCCAGGACTAGGACCAGAGCCAGGACCAGGACCAGAACCAGAACCAAGACTAGGCCAGGACCAGAACCAGGACCAGGACTAGGCCAGGACCAGAACCAGGACCAGGACCAGGACCAAAACCAGGACCAGGACCAAGACCAAGACCAAGACCAAGACCAAGACCAAGACCAAGACCAAGACCAGGACCAGGACCAGGACCAGGATCAGGACCAGGACTAGGATCAGAGCCAGGACTAGGATCAGAGCCAGGACGAGAACCAGGACCAGAACCAAGACCAGGACCAGGACTAAACCAGGATCAAGACTAGGACCAGGACCAAGACCAGGACCAGGAAGGACCAGGACCAGAACCAGGACCAGGACCAGGACCAGGACCAGGACCAGGACCAGGACCAGGACCAGGACCAGGACCAGGACTAGGACCAGGACCAGGACCAAGATCAGGACCAGGACTAGGATCAGAGCCAGGACGAGAACCAAGACCAGGACCGGGATTAAGACCAGGACCAGGACTAGGCCAGGATCAGGACTAGGACCAGGCCAGAGCATGGGTAGGGTAGGTTAGGGAGAAGTAGAAAAAGGTAAAGTAAGATATTTAAGGTCATTTAAATTTTTTCAAAATTTTTAAAAATTTAAATTAAAAGAAATATTTTGAATTTTTTAAAACTAAAACCGGTTGATATTTCTCAACTTTTATCGACTACTTTTCCCAGAACTGATTTTTTAAAATTTTTAACTGATAATTGTACTTTTGATGGTGACTATATGGACTCCAATATTTCCTCTCTTATGTTCGTCTACTTGCCTGATCGGGGTCTTATCAGGGTAATGTTTTAAATAATTTTTTTAAATTTTTTAAAATTTTTTTTTAGCCGTTTTAAGTAGAGTACGGTAGGTCAGAGTACAGTAAGGTACAGTAGAGCAGTGTATGATAGGATGGAAATTTTTAAAATTTTTAAATTTAAAAAATTTTTGGTTTTTGTAAATAGAGCAGGGTCGGATAGGGTAGGGTGGGGTAGAGTAAAAATTTTAAAATTAAAAACAAATATTTTTAGATACGCAATTGCAGCCTCCCTAGACCACGTCCTTCCATGGCTGCCGATCATTAGCGAAGGCGGGGTTTTGATTCCAGAAAGGGGTGTTTTTGGAACTTTTCTCAATTTTTCTGGGCTTTTCTGTAAGTTTACTTTCTTTTTAAAAATAAAAATATTTTTTTTATTTTTTCTTTTTTCTCAATCTCTCTGCTTTGCTTCGGTGACTTCAGAAATTGATCCTTTCAGACTTAAACCCTTTGTGGAGGGGGGAGGGAAGGAAGGGGTATTTAGGTGATCTAACAAGGAAAGTACCCGTCCTGCCCCGCTCTGATTGACTTCAAACTTTTTATTTAGATAGATCTTGTATATATAAGACCTTCGGCAAAATATTAAATCGCTCTTTCCTGTCAATCTCGACAAAATCGACATCAAGAAATTACGTTATGAATTTCCCGCCAATTTGACATTGTGTTTCAAGCTTATAAATTTGTCATTTTTTGACTTTTAATCATTTTTCTTGGATATACTAGTAGAATACCTTTAAATGAACTTACAATTTTAAATTTGTAAGCCTAGCTTGTTTGAAAAGCCAAAAAAGTGCTTGAAACACAATGCCAAATTTGCCAAATTGGCGGTAAACCAAAATAATTCAAGTTTAAAACTCAAAAGTGCGGGCTAAAATTTTTTGTGGGTACTACTGGTGTACAAGATATTCATATAAAAATTTTGAGCTGGTTCTGAGCGAGGCAGGTAGAGTACTTCTTTGTTAATTCAAGACTGCTCCTACTACAACATACTCACTTACAGGGTTCTTCAACGGCATCTGCCTCTACATTCACATGAAAGACTATCTTCAGAAGCACAGCCCAAAGTTAAAGCTACGCTACATGTTGTATGTTATGTTATTCATTGTTGTTGAATCGAGTTTTGGCTTTACGTTTGTGGCCAATTTCCAAGTACACCATGGCCTATTGATACATGGGATTGGTGCGGCAATGATGTTCTATGGTGGTTTGATCTACTTTGGTTGTTATGTCGCATTTTCATTGAAACATCGTCTGTATACGTCGCTTTGTTTGACTGTTGTTCGGCTTGTACTCATCGTGCCTACAGCTGTTTTTGTTTGTCTACGTAGGTTTGAAGCCTTATGTAAGGGGGGGGAGAGGAGTTGATACGGTAAGGGGGGGGAACTTGAAACGATAAAAGAAGGGGGGGGAAGGGGGGGAGGGGTAGTTGGAAGGGTAGGGGGGAGGGGAGTTAAGACTTACGCTTTAATGTTTTACAATTTCAGACAAACTCTTCCTTGACACTCCTGTTATTGTACCAGCCGTGAATGGGACGGTTCCTTTTAAACCTCATAAGAAAGTGGATGGAATCGACCGAATCGCTTTCGGTGAACCAGTAACTCCTTTTTTGTTGATGTTCAAATCCTTGTTGAAGTCATACCTTTGGTTTAAGCCTAATTTTAAGTTTTAATGTAAACCTAAGCTTTAACTTAAGCTTGAACCTTATAATGCTTTAGCTTGAGCTTGAGAAAGGGTTTGAGCTTAAACTTCAGCTTAAGCTCGAGCCTTAGCCTGAGTTCGGGCTTGAGCCTTAGCCTTGGCCTTAGCCTTAGTTTTAGCCTTAGCCTTAGCCTTAGTTTTAGCCTTAGCCTTAGCCTTAGCCTTAGCCTTAGCTTTAGCCTTAGCCTCAGCCTTAGCTTTTAGCCTTAGCCTTAGCTTTAACCTTATCTTAGCTTTAACTTTAGTCTTAGCTTGAGCGTGAACTTTGCTTAAGCATGCGCTTAAACTCAAACCCGATCTCAAGTCTTAGCCTTAGCCACAGTCTTAATCCTAGTATCAATTTTAGCTCAAGCATCAGTCGTAGCCTTGCTCTTAGCATTAGCCTAAGCCTGAATCTAAGCTTTGAGGCTGAGCCTAAGTCTACGCGTAAAACTATGCCTTATTGTTAGCTTCAGTTTTAGTGTAAGCCTGAAAGTTAGCCTACGTCTACGCTCATTCCTTACTTTGAGCTTAACCTTAAGTCTAAACTTAAGCCTACGGCTAAGCCTATCTTAATATTAAGTCACTTTTTAATCCATATTTTAAAATTAAACTCTATCTTAATGTGCTGTGTCTAATGCAACTCTTTCAGTGGTGGTACAATCACTTTATATCGGCGTCTTCTGAATGGATCGCCACCTTCCTCTTTCTGTTTATAATTGCCACTCTTGCATATGATCTACGAGAGATGTACGTTACATTCAATCTTTATGACCATGATCCGAGAAAAGTAAAGAAACGTGCCGAATCATCCATTATCGACCAAAATGGAAAATCGACGGAAAAAGAGGACACAAAGTCAGAAGAGAAGGGCAGCAAGACTTCGTGGGAGACTTCTAACTGATTTTTGAAATTTCAAAATTTTTAAATTAAGAAATAAACTAACTGACATTAAACTTATGAATGTAGGGCAGGGTAGGGTAGGGTAAGGTAGGGTAGGGTAGGGTAGGGTAGGGTAGGGTAGGGTAGGGTAGGGTAGGGTAGGGTAGGGTAGGGTAGGGTAGGGTAGGGTAGGGTAGGGTAGGGTAGGATAGGGTAGGGTAGGGTAGCTTCAGCTTAGTTTCCTTAGTTTTAACCCAGTCTTCGCCTTAGCTTTAGCTCTAGCTATAGGACATGAAGAACGAGCCAGGAGCCAGGCCCGAAGGTTAAGCCTGGTCTGATCTAAACTTTGCTCAAGCCCGGCCCAAATTTTTTTGATGTGCAAACAAGCCGGCCTTTTCTAACCGGGCTTTCCGGGCCTTGATTTTTAGGGCTAGTCCGATCTAAATGTGGGGATAAACCGGCCTCGCTTATTCATCATGTCTAAGGGTGCGCCAAAAGTTCTGGTACAAAATTTTGTAACAGAACTTTTGGCTTTCTCTATGTTGCGCTTTGTCCGTACAACACGGCACCAGAAAGTACGTAGCAATATGATAAACAAGAGGATAATTGAGTACGGCATTTAACTCTGACAAGATTTCATTTTACGATTTTAGGGTTTTTTATAAGTTTAACATTTTATAATATTTTTATATTTTTATTCAAATTTCACCTAATCTTTATAAAATTCTTAATTCGCTGCTTTCCCGTTGTGTTTGATCCAATTCGGTGTGAATTCGCTATCACACTCTTTAGACGAGTGTTCTTTCTTATAATTGCCAATCTTTTTTGGTTGTAAATGTGCCAGTTCGCATAGACCACAGCTCGCTTCGGTCGGATCAAACATTTGTCGCAATTCTGGCGTTTGAGACCAACGGAGGTAACTAAAATGGCCTTAGTAGAAGCCTTACTCCTAGCCCGAAGCCCTAGCCCAGAACCCTGGCCCAAAGCCCTAGCCCAGAGCCCTGGCCCAGAGCCCTAGCCTAGAGCCCTAGCCCAGAGCCCTAGCCCAGAACCCTGGCCCCAAAGCCCTAGTCTCGAAACGTAGCTCAGAGCCCTGGCTAGACATAAGGAACCAGCCTTTACCTAAATTTAAGTCGGACCGGGCCTGAAAATCAAAGACCGGCCCGAAAATCCCAGCCCGGTAACGTAAAAAAATTTGGACCGGGCCCGGCCGGCCCTGAACAAAATTTTGGACCGGGTCTTAAAATTGAGCTCGGCCCGTTCCTTATGTATAGCCTAGAGCCTTAGCCCAGAGCCCTAGCCCAGAGTTCTAGCCCAAAGGCCAGACGGAGCCTTAGTTCGGCCACAATTTTTTATATGTAAGCGGGCCAAGCTTTTCAGACCGGAATAAGCCGGGTCTTAATTATGTTTTCAGGCGTCTATTCCAAAGCCTTGGACCTATAACTTTAGTCGTGGCCCAGAGCCCTATCCCAGAGCCCTAGCCTAAGCTCTAACAGTACTAAGCCTTACTTTTTGTACAATTCCTTATCACCAGCCACTTTTTTCAAGAATGCCACGAACTCTTCAGTTGTGTCAAAGTCATCCATGGCTATATAGTATTCATCTGGGAACTCCTTGTAGACTACTGAACGTTTGAAGACAATTGGTACTACAAAGTGTGTGAATCGACCAAACTTTTCAGTCGTATATTCATCACAAATCTGGTTTTCAAAGGCCAGGTAGAAGAAGTGGGATTCTGAAAGAATGGCAACAAAGATTAAAAATAAAAATTCATACCGGTTTCTTGTCTATAACAAGTGTCATTACATCTGTCTTTAGTAAACGTCTTTCCCAAAGCTGTGATATTCATGTAGCCTTGAAGGTACCTAACCATGGTCTCTCTTCCAGACTTGACATTGTCATGAGATGAGAAGATCAGTGCCAACTTAGACTTTTTGGCTACAATTTCATCTAGCTAAAACTGAAATTTTAGTAAGAGCCTAGTTTTACCCTACCCTACAGTACCCTACCGTACTGTACCTCACCCTACCGTGCCTTACCGCGTCCTGTTTCATCATACCCTACCCTACCGTACTCTATCGAACCCTACCGTGCCTTACCGTACCCTGTCCAACCATACTTTACCTTATCGTACCCTACCGTACCATGCCGTACCTTACCGTACTATACCCTACCTTTCCCTACCACACACTACTCTTTTCGTTACAGTAAAACTGTCTTTCTCTCTACAGTATACTTTACTACTATCTTTTGCCCCTACAGTATGCTTTTCAAATTCAAATCATACAGTATGCTTTAATTCAACTCCTACAGTACCCTTTAACTTACTTTCTACAGTATCACCTAACTCAACTACTACAGTACCCCTTACCTCCTCCTCAGTCCGATTCATATTCTCCGGCCACCACGGTGTATAAGGAAGTCGTACATCAGCCTTCGTACTGTATGTCATGGTGTAGTTAAAGTAGTCTTCAGGCAACGTACCACTACGAAAGTAAGACAACCAAGGCGGCTCTTTACTGTAGAATATTTTTGGTACAGTCGTGTTTGGTGCCTCCTTGGCTTGTATGTCTCTAGCATGAAACAAAATCAATGACGATTCGGCTAGTTTCGACCGGTCGTATGTTTGATTACATTTGTAGGTACAGTTGTTTGAATTAGGTATATATTCGTATTGTTCGTTGTAAAAAGAAGTCCATATTAGTACTATTTTGGTGTTTTTATAAAAACAATTATTTTAGGCTTAATTGTGATGTTTAGGCTTAATAATTAAATTTTTTGATGCTAGATGAAGTTTAGGCTTATAAAGTGAATTTTAAGCTCATAAACTGAAATTTAGGCTTTCAAATCAAATTTAGGTTCAAAAATAAAAATTAGGCTTACAAACTTCATTTTAGGCTTATAAATTGAAATATGGGCTTATAAATTTAATTTAAGGCTTAAAAACTTCATTTTAGGCTTATAAATTAAAATATAGGCTTATAAAATTAATTTTAGGCTTATAAACTGAAAGTTAGGCTTATAAACTAAAATTTAGGCTTACAAAATAATTTTTAGGCTTAAAAATGAAATTTAGACTTACAAAATCCAGTTTAGGCATATAAAATAAAGTTTAAAAATTAAAACGCAATTTAGGCTTATAAATTGAGTTTTAGGCTTATAAAATAAATTGTATGCTTAAAAATAAACTTTAAGTTTATAAAATGAACCTTAAGCTTAAAAATAAAATTTAGGCTAATGAATGAATTTTAGGCTTATAAAATAAATTATAAGCTTATAAATGAAGTTTAGGCTTAAGAATTATGTTTTTAAATTATAGATAAGTTTAAGACTTAAAAACGCAATTTTAGGCTTACAAAATGAAATTTAGGCTTATATTTAAAACGAATTATAAGCTTAACTATGAAATTACTTTTTAGCCCTATTACTTACATCTTTGTTGTCCCACAACTCTCTTTTATACGTTGTAATACTGTTTTCAATGTGATCGTAGTAATATATAACAACTATTATTACAACCAATGGTATAAACAATAACAGTTTACTGTGGTTCATTATAATATAGTTAAAAATTTGCAAAAGTTTTCATACTAGCTTAAAATGGCATAATAAAAACTGAATTTGTAAACATTTAGTACGAGAAACGAATTAGTAATGAAAACATTTACAAGGTGATTCAACAAGCTCTTTTCGAATGCTAAACATGTTTTACATCGCGAAACATAACTTTGATTCAAAAAGTTATGTTTTAAGAATGCTATTGTTACCACGAGGGCCGGGCGCGAGCAGGGGAGAGAAGGTCAAGGGGGGGGGGACGGAAAGAAGGGTAGTCAAAATTTTCAAAAAAACTTGAACGTGGCCCCCCCCCCCTGTGGACTATTAAAAAAAAATTCGAAAAAAAAATTGGCACAGGCAGCCAACCTGTCCCGATTTTTTTGACCCCGCCCCCCAAACCAAAAGTCCCCGCCCGGCCCTGGTTGCAACTTGCAAGAGAGTAGGGCATGGGAGAACCAAATATGGCAGAACAGAATAGGGTAATTCAAGGTGAAGTGTAGGGTAGAGTAGATTATGGCAGGATAGGGTAGGGTAGGGTAGGTTAGGGTAGGGTAGGATAGGGTAGGGTAGGGCAGGGTAGGGCAGGGTAGGGCAGGGTAGGGTAGGGTAGGGTAGGGTAGGGTAGGGTAGGGTAGGGTAGGGTAGGGTAGGGTAGGGTAGGGTAGGGTAGGGTAGGGTAGGGTAGGGTAGGGTAGGGTAGGGTAGGGTAGGGTAGGGTAGGGTAGGGTAGGGTAGGGTAGGGTAGGGTAGGGTAGGGTAGGGTAGGGTAGGGTAGGGTAGGGTAGGGCAGGGTAGGGTGCTATTTTTTCAAATTTTACTATCAGTATCAGAAGTTCTGTTATATTATGAAAGGCTCCTTGTATAGCTTTAACAACATGTTTAACAGCAAGCCGCGTCTTTTTTCTTTGAAATTAACATTATTCATGAAAATAAAAAGCAATTCCTGAATTTGTGATTAATGCAACATGTATTCTATAAAATTTTGTCACATATACTATACACAACATATATTTTTAATTTTACATTATAAAACCTTAGCTATAGTAACTAAACATTAGTAATGACAGTAGACCGTCAAGTATCTGTGAAGCAATGGTCCATTGCTTCGATCGTACTATTGAATTGCATCCTACTATTTAGTACTATACCAATATTATAATAGTAAAAATGTTTATAGAACTTTAAGTACAAGCTCCAAAAATGTTACAGTAACCTTGTGCAACTTGCTTGAAGTTGATCCATGGAATGCAGAAGTCTTACCCTATTTAAACCCAAGTGGCGATTTCACAAAATGTGAAATTAGTTATCGACAAAGAAGCACGTTGAAGAATGGCGTGCTGTAGATGGAAGAGTGTGGCAATGACACTTGATTTTATCGGCAAATTTTTAAATTTTAGTTTATTGTACCATAGGCTTGAGCTAGGACAGAAGCTAACATAAAGCTAAGAATAAGGCTAAAGCCCTGAGCCAGAACTAGGGCTAAGGCCAGTGCTGACGCTGTGACTGGAGCTGGGGCTGATGCTAAAGCTAGGGCTAAAACAAACCAAGCCAAAAAATTAGCCTTAAAAATAAGTCTAAGCTAAGCCTAAAGCTAAGCCTAAAGTAAAACGTTAAGCTAAGCCTTAAACTCAACCTAAAGCTAAGCCGGAACCTAAGCCTCAAACTAAGCCTAAAGCTAAGTTAAAAATTAAGCCTAAAGCTAAGCCTAAAGCTAAGCTTAAAACTAAACCTAAAACTAAGCCAAAAACCTAATAAGCTTAAAGTTAAGCCTAAAGCAATGCCTAACAAAATTTTAAAACTAAGCCTAAAATTAAGCCTGAATCTTACGGTTCAGGCTAGAAAAGGTTAATTCAAAAATTCCAGATGCCTAATTCCAACCACTGATGTAAAGTACGAAATGGCAGATTGGGTAATCATTAATGGCACAGCCAAGCGTAACTGTGATGTTGTTGAAGTAAAATGTGAAGATACAAACAAGAACCAAACGTACCAGTTTTCTCATACTCAAATTGTCAAAAAGTGAGTATAAAAAAATTAAGCCCAAGATAAACCTAAAGCTAATCTTAACAATAAGACAACTCTAATCCTAAAGCTAAGCTTAAGCTAATCCATAGCTAAGCCTAAGCCATCTGTAAACTAAGCCTCATCTAAGCCTAAAGCTGAGCCTAATGCTAAGCCTAAGCTAAACTAAGCTGAAACCTAAGCCTGAAACTAAGCCTAAGCTATGTATAAAACAAAACCTAAAGCTAAACCTAAAGCTAAGACTAAAGCTAAGCCTAAACTAAGTTAAGTTAAGTCTAAGCTAAGCCTTAAGCTAAGCTTAAAGTGAAGCCTAACCCACGCATTAAGCTAAGCCTAAGCTTAAGTTAAGCCTAAACAAAGCCTAAGCTAAACCTAAAACAAAGCTAAATTTAAACCTAACGCTGAGCCAAAACCTAAGCCTAACGCTGAGCCTAAACCTAAGCTTAAGTTAAACTTGATGCTAAGCCTAAAGCTAAACCTAATGCTAAGTTTAACCTAAGCTTAAGCTAAGCTTAAAACTACTCCTAAAAAACCATCTTTTAGGCCTCCAAAACAGTTAAAACCTCCCCCAAATGCCAAAAATATTCACCTTCTTGTACTCGACGGTGTAAGCCGAAATCAATTTCGACGCTCGTTGTCAATGACCGAGCGCTACCTCGAAACTGAGTACGATGCTATCTACTTTAACTATCTAAATCGTGTTTCATACGGTAGTCGACAGAATGCTTACGCTTTTCTACTGGACGAACGAGCCTCGAATATAACAGCATCACCATGGCATCAAGAGTTCAATAATGGCATGGATGACATTGTTTGTTACAGTAATATTTCAGACTACAATTATATCGGATTCGAGTTTGATAAACAAGGCTACTGAACCTTGCTTGATCTGTATTCTTCGTACGATATCCTTGATTATAGAAGTTGTAATGGGTTCGGTTATGTGCCTACTGATCACTATTTAAAGTAAGTTGAAAAACATTACTATGATCTACTTTAACAAACCTTATTCACTTAAAGTACTCATAAACTACGCCTAAACATAAGCTAATCTGAACCCAAAGCTAAGCCTAAGCTAAGCCTAAAACTAAGCCTAAAGTTAAGCCTGAGTTAAGCCTGAGCTAAGCCTAAGCTAAGCATAAAGCTAAGCCTAAAGCTAAGCCTAAAGCTAAGCCTAAAGCTAAGCCTAAAGCTAAGCTTAAAGCTAAGCCTAAAGCTAAGCTTAAAGCTAAGCCTGAACTAAAATTAAGCTAGTTTTAAATTAAGATTAAGCTACGAATAAGCTAAGCCTAAAGATAAGCCTGAGCTAAGCCTAAATTAAGCATAAAGCAAAGCCCAAAGCTAACCATAAAACTAAGCCTAAAGCTAAGCCTTAAGCTAAGCCTTAAGCTAAGCCTAAAGCTAAGCCTAAAGCTAAGCCTAAAACTAAGCCTAAAGCTAAGCCTAAAACTAAGCCTAAAGCTAAGCCTGAGCTAAGCCTAAACTAAGCCTAAAGCTAAGCCTAAAGCTAAGCCAAAGCTAAGCCTAAAGCTAAGCCTAAAGCTAAGCCTAAAGCTAAGTCTAAGCTAAGCCTAAGCTAAGCTTAAGCGACAATGGGTAGCACATGTAAAAAATCTTAACTTGCGGTTTTAAGTTTTAAATTAATATATTTAAATTTCCCACCAAGTTGGCAAATTTGGCATTGGGTTGCAAGCACTTTTTTTGATGTTTTAGAAATATAGGATTACAAATTTAAAATTGCAATTTTATTTGAAGCTTTCCTATCTTTATATCAAAAAAAAATAGTTAAAAGTCAGAAAATGACAAAGTTAAAATGCTTGAAACACTATGACAAATTGGCGGAAAATTCAAAACGTGATTTTTTGATCTCGATTTTCTCAAGACTGGCCGCAAACCGCAATTTAGAATTTTGCATAAGATCTTATACTTACATGATCTTTCAATTAAAAAATTTTGAACGAAATCTGAGCGTTGCAGGTCGGGTACCTTCCTTGTTAGCTTTAAAAAATAACGCGCTGTCTTCAAACTTGCAATTTTGTTGTAATGACACAAAAACAAGCCGACCACCGACGCCAAATGCTTTATATTGGCACACAAAATCATTTTATCCCAGCCCCGCTTATATCGCATTTCGATAAAGCGACCATTTTTTCGTTTCCCTAAAATCTACCCCATCCCACCATACCCTACTCTACCACACCGTACCCCACCATACCGTACCCTACCGTACCCAAACCTACTATACCGTACCCCACCCTACTATACCCTACATTCCACCTTACCCGAAGAGCCCAGCCCTACTCTGTACCACCTTGGCCTGAGCCCTCAGTTTGATCGGCTCGAGCAGCCGACCAAACTGAGGGCCCAGCGCCAAAATGGTACATTTTGGGCTGGTCCGCGCCGCAACTGTTCCAAAAACCAAATCGCGAATCCGGTCACGCCATCACTGCCAAACCCTTTCTACACATCCGGCACAGACGGTGTATTAAGCTGCTTTCTGAAGGCAGCGCCAAGGACACCTTTGCCGAGATCAAGACATGGGTTTTGGAGGTATAGGCAGACCAAAGACACAATTGGTTTTTGGAACACGCACCACCCGCTCCCCGCGCTCAGCGACTTCAGAAGTCTCGCTAAAGTCTGGACTTTCGGTCGTTTTTCCTTGAGATACTCAGCCCTTGGAGCAGTGTATACTCAATCATCGTGGGTCTATCGGTTTTTGAAAGTTTTAAAGTGAAAAAAAATTTTTTGGAGCAAAAAAATAAAAATTTTTCCAGCCAAAAATCATTTTTTTTACAAAAAAATGAAAAAAAGTTTTAAGTAACAAAAAGATTGACCGAAAAATAGTGATAGACCCACGCTGACCTTATTCTAGACTAAAGCAATTTTTCTGGTTCCCTACTCCCCCCCCTACTTACCTTATTGTTCCTCCACACCAGTTCTCTCGCTTCTGATCCACCAGTTCTCCCTTCTTCTCAACCAGTTCTCTCGCTTCTTCTCCATCGTGCTTCTTCTCCATCTTCTATAAATAAAAATTATTAAAAAATAATAGATAACGACGCGTAATTACATGTTTACTGCTCGAGTGTAATATAATCAAATAAAAACGTAAATAAAAAAAAATAAAAGTTTTAAAAAATAATAAATTTAAAAAATTTTTTAAAAAATTAAAAAGTAAAAACATAAATAATTTTAAAAAAATTTTTAAAAAAATAAAAAAAATTTTAAAAAAATCTGAAAAAAAAATTTTTTGAATAATTTAAAAAAATAAAAAAAACTTAAAAAAAATTTTTTTAAAATTTACAAAATTAAAAAAAATTATTAAAAAAAATTTTTAAAAAAAATTTAAAAAAATATAAAAAATTTCTAAATAAATAAAAATAATAAAAAAATAAATTTTATAAATAATATTAAAAAAATTTTTTAAAAAAATTTAAAAAAATAAAAAAATAACTAAAAAAAACTTGTAAAAAATTTTTAAAAAATTCCAAAAAAAAATTAAAAAAAATAAAAAAAATTTCAAAAAATTTTAAAAAAAATTAAAAAAACCAAACTAATAAATAAATAAACTAAAAAATTTTAAAAAATCCCAAAAAAATAAATCACCCCCTTCCCTTCCCCCCCCACCTCCCCAAAAAAAATAGACCCAAATATATAGCCACCTTACCCCAGTAACTATTCAATTAAAAATAAACTATTTACTAATTATGAGTACGTAATATAGTTAAGCGTTGTTTTAATAAGCCTAAGCGTTGTTTTTCCTGCATACTTAAGCGTTACTTTACAATTTATGTGCAGCTTAGGCTTATTTTAACAGCACATATAACCTAAGCTGATAAGACACTTTTGTGTGTTACGTAATTCAACGCGTCTGTTATGTATTATATTGTTCATTTGTGTATTGTGCACTACTACGGAAAGGTTGTGCAGTATTTGTTTATCCATGTTATTTCAGCACTAGGTTTAGCATAACATACCCTACCCTACCCTACCCTACCCTACCCTACCCTTCCCTCCTCCTACTCTACCCTACCATACTCTACTTTAATCTCCTCTTTATACTTTACCCTAACCTCACATTCAAAAGATTTATCCTACTGTACTTTCAGTGGTTTCTATAAATTGTTTTACAAGTACGAATGGAACCAGCTGTTTGCCAATGTTTATGCCAAAGTATGTCAAGAACCCCATCTTATTATGATGGAAAATTTAAAAAACTTCGTCGCAACTTATAAAGATGAGCCAAAATTTACAATTTCATGGTTTACAAGCCTTGGGCACGACTTGATTAATAGTGTTTATCATGCTGATCAACATTTCAAAGAGTTTTTCGATGACATGAAGGATACGGTAAGTATGACAAAAGATTTTTTTAAACTAAAAATGTGTCATCATGACAAAAAACTGTCATTATGACAAAAATATGTCATCACAACATAAAAAATTTCATCACAAGAATAAAAAATGTCATCATGACATAAAAAATGTCATCATGACATAAATATTTTATAGCTAAAAAAAGTATGTCATAAAGATAAAAAAATGTCATCGTGACACAAATACTTCATAAAAATGTCATAATGACACAAATTTTTCATAGTTTAAAAAAACACGTCATCATGAGAAAAAAATGTCATCGTAATACAAATATTTCATAAAAAATGTCATCCTGACATAATTTTTCCATAACCTCAAACATATGTCACTTCAAGATCATTGCAGCTCAAAGACTCCTATGTGATAGTAATGGGAGACCATGGACTACGATATGGTGGCATTTTGAATACAAATACCGGTCGAATTGAATCAAATAACCCTACTTTTATGATTATGTTACCAGAAGAAATGAGAAAAAACAAAGATTTGATGGAACAAATGAAAGAAAATTCACAACACTTGATCGGACATCATGATGTATATGCTACATTATTGGAGTTGGCTACGGTAAGACAATGGTTTTTTAAAATTAGGCTTGAAAATGTAGTTTAGGCTTATAAAATAAATTTTAGGCTTATAAAGTAAAGTTTAGGCTTGAAAATTAATTTTAAAATTGTAAAGTAAAGTTTAGGCTTAATAATTAATTTTAGGCTTATAATGTAAAGTTTAGGCTTAATAATTAATTTTAGGCTTATAAGGCGATTCGAGTGGTACCAAGTGGAGGGTTGTATGACAGTTATTTTAAAGTATGCAGTTTTTATTTAAAATGATTGTTCTGGGTTCAAAAACGTTTTTTGAAGGTCTTAGAGAAAATCCAATACCAAGTAGACGAAATGTAAATTTTTCGATATTAAATTGACGAAATGTCACACTTGATTTTTGGCTTTATCTTTAGGTTTTCTAACTTATTTAATGCATGCAATGACTTTATAAAACAAAATATTTTTTCCAATATCATGTAGACGAAATGTCACATTTCCAATATTAAGTGAACGAAATGTCACATAACTTCCCAGATGTATTTGCTTATATTATAGTAGGTTTTAGACTCCCAATTTATAGTAAATAGAAAAAAAACTAGCTATAATCTATTTCCAATAGCAAGTTAACATAATGTCAACTTTAATATTTTTTAAAATTCCACATTTTAGGTTAAAAACGACAAGATCATCCCATACTCAACACAGTTCCCCCGCAAAGACAGTTACAAAGACCAGGCAAAATGTATACCATTAGGAGCGTTACAAAATTACTGTTATTGTAGCAACAGTACTACTAGTATCACTAAGAGTAATTGAAAATATAAAACAAATTGTAGCTATTCTGATGACTTAGCTAACACTAAACAGAACTAGCGCCAAGGAATCTTGCTCAGTACCAGTACCGAATAATACTGCTGAGTACTAGCACCATACAATACTGCGGAGTACTAGTACCAAAGAACACTGCCTACAACTACTACCACAAAGATAAATTGTACCAGAAAGACAATACAAAAACAAAAATACTAATAGTACCAAACAATGTTAAAGAGTACCAATTCAAGCTTGTAAAATCAGTTTATTTCCAAAACTAGTCCCAAAATCCGACTGGACGAGTAGTACCAAAAAAGCAGTAAAAGAAGTACCAAATGTAAAAGGTAGTACCAAAAAATCAGTACCAATCGACTACTTTTTAGATTTTTTCTCGTTCTTGCTCTTGCCGTCCTTCTTCTTGTCCTTCTTGCTGTTCTTCTTGTCTTTCTTGCTGTTCTTCTTATCCTGCTTGCTGTTCTTCTTGTCCTTCTTGCTGTCCTTCCTGCTCTCCTTCTTGCCCTTTCCCTTCTTCGACTTGCCCTTCTTGGATTTGGACTGAAATTTTAAAATTTTAAAACGTAGAAACTAATCAAAAATAAAAATTTTAAAAAAATTGAAAAGTCCCAATGGTACCATTAGAACCAGTAGTACCATTAGGACCAATAGTAATATTATGATCAATAGTACCATTAGGACCAATAGAACTATAATGGCCAATAGTACCATAAAGAACAATAGTACCATTAAGAACAGTAGTACCATTAGAACCAATAATACCAATTTTTTTTTTCAAATTTTAAGCCAATTTTGACCCCCTTTAAAGCCTTAAATTTTAAAAACAGCCCAAAAATCCCCACCTTGTTACTCTCCAAGTTGGTGTCACTGCCGGTTCGGGACGAGCCTGGAGGTCCATCCTTCTCGGATTTTCCTGATTTGCCTTTCTTGTTGGCGTTCTTGATGGCACGGATACGTTGATCGTTCAAATCATTGGCCTTCTTCTTGTACACCGAAAAAGCGATGAAGAGGATGCACGATGATCCAAAGCATAAACCGCTAAAATTTTAAAGTTAGTACCAGTAGTACCATTAGTACCAAAAATGAAAATTTGTTTTAAAGCCAAACTCTAAGCTGTCCTAATTTTAAAATCGATTAAAATAAACAAAAAAAAATTTTTTAGTACCATCAGTACCAGTTGTACCATTAGTACCAAAAATAAAAAATTTTCAAAAAACCAAAAGTTGAATCACCCTAATTTTAAAATCGACTAAAACCAGCATAAATACTCTCAATAGTAACAACAGTACCAGTAGTACCATTAGTACCAAAAACATTTTTTTTTCAAAAATCCAAAATTTAAGCTACCCTACCTTCAAAATCAATAAAAGCTATCAAAAAATCAAAAACAGTACCATTAGTACCACTTGCACCACAAAACCCACAAAAACCCACCAAAACAGAGCCAAAATGAAGGCGATCCAGCACCACACACACTCCCAGCCATTGTAAACATCAACACCCATCAAATCCAATGGGATCAAATGCGGAACAATCACGTCCGGGTCGACCAGGTCGCGGTTGATCCAGTAATGGTTCATGAGTTGCATCTCAAACGGCACTTCCGACTTAATGCTGAACATGTACTGGCGCACGTCTTCGTACCATAGCTGTGTGTACAGGTTGTACAGTTCAATGTCTTCCAGCTAGAGGTATTAAGTTAGTACCAAAAAAAGACACATAGTACTTGTAGTACCTACCAAAAAATATGACTAGTACTAGTAGTACCAACTGCACCACAAACACCAAAAGTTAAAATTTAATGGTTAAATAGCTTAACCTCTTAATTATAAACTCACGACTACTTTTGAATACCAAAAAGTACCAACAGTACCAGTAGTACCATTAGTACCAAAATCCTCTTTTTATACAAAAAATAATTGCAACACCAACAAATTGAACAAATACTAAAATTTTTTCAGTACCAGTAGTACCAACAGTCCCAGTAGTACCATCAGTACCAAAAAACAAAAATATCGTAAAATGACACAACTTACCCTGTGCACATCCTCATTGGTAATTTCGTACAGGCCGCTTGCATTGTCACTGGTATGTGCCATTCCGTACACAATCTTGCCTTGGAAGAGCTGAAGGAACAAGTGCATGTTCTCGTTTTCATCGTCCAAATCCAACTTTTCAAAAATAGTTTTTCGACTGGTCTCCGTGGCTGAAAATGGCAAGAATTTTCTTAAAAAAACAAAAAATGGCAAGAACTTTATTTACAAAACATAAAATTACAAAAACTTTCTTTACAAACCAAAAAATGACCAAAACTTTCTTTCCAACGCCAAAACCCACCTCGATCATAGTACTCGATGTATAACTTGGATGTGTTGGTTTCATAGCCGAGCTTGGTGTTGTAGTTGATGTCGTCCCAAGCGGAGATGTACTCGCCGATCACCAACGGGCTGTCTCCCAAATCGGCCGGCTTTCCAATCAAAATGAACTCCAATCTGGAGCTGTTGATACTGCTGAAGGCCTCCGTGTACAGTTTGGTACATTTGGAGAGTTCAAGAACACTGAAAATAATTGGTTACTGTAGATACGGGAGTGCATGTAAACATATCATTGTTACGGTAATTTACGACTAGAGTTTTGCCTTTAATTTAAGCCCAACATTACTGTAACCAAAGCAGGATTACTGTAGCTACAAGTTTTTAAACTCTACAGAAGCAGACATCTATTAGCAAAATTCGCAAATATAAAGAAAAGAATAGGTTACTGTAGATATGCTAGTAGATATATGCCCATTATTTTTAAAGTACTATAAGCCCAGAAACTAGTGTTTAATACAAGACTAAAATTATTATAATCGAAGCAGTAGTACTGTAGCTACAAACTTTTGAAATAGACAAAATCAGGCATCTTTTTCAAAAACTTTCAAAAATAAAAAAAGTTACTGTAGGTACGATAGTAAATATAAGGTCACCATTTCTACAGTAATATAAGCGTAGAGTCTAGGGTTTAATATAAGACTAAAATTATTGTAATCGAAGCAGTAGTACTGTAGCTACAACGCTTTCAAGTGATCAAAGTGAAAGCTTTCCAGACCTTTTCCAATCATTTTTCAAAACCTTACTACAGTAACCCCACCTTACTCCACAGCAACCCCACCTTATCCTACAGTAACCCTACCACAAATACAAACCCCGTTACCACAAAAAACACAACTCACATCGGGTAATCCTTGACACGACATTCATGAGCGAAGACAGTCAGTAGGGCCGCCGTAGCGAGAAGCAAAATCAGTGTGGGTCGTACCATGAAGACGACCGTTCCGTGAGGCTGCCGTTCAGTCGAATGACCGGATTTTCCATTTTTTCGACCAAAATGAAAATTTACTTTTTTTAATAATTATTCTAATTTTAAAAGGACAAGTTTTCGGTTGGTTTTAGCATTTTTTAAATAAAAAAGTGATTTTTTCGTATGTTCGGCTAAAATAAGAAAGTACTGCTGCCCCACTCAAAATCAGGCCAAAACTTTTATATGAATTCTTCGTACCACCAATAGTACCCACAAAAAATTTTAGCTTCCGCTTTTGAGTTTTAAATTTTAATTATTTTGGTTTCCCGCCAATTTGGCAAATTTGGCATTATGTTTCAAGCACTTTTTTGACTTTCCAGACAAGCTACGCTTACAAATTTAAAATTGTAGGTTTATTTAAAGGTATTCTACTAGAATATCAAAGAAAAACGATTAAAAGTCAAAAAATGACAAAGTTATAAGCTTGAAACACAATGCCAATTTGGCGGGAAATTCAAAACGCAGCCTTTTATCTCGATTTTGTCGAGATTTCCTGGAAGCGCGATTTAGTACTTTGCTGAAGGTCTTATATTCAAATGATCTTTCTATATAAACAGTTTGTGGTCGATCAGAACGAGGCAGATCGAGCTTGTTACTAACAAGTTGTTAATCAAAAACTCTCTAGGAGCTCCTACATCATCAACATAATCACGTTTTAAAACGTTCAACTTTTTATGCTTTATAAAACGTACATCTTACAAGAAAAGTGCCCAACCTGCTGCGCTCTGATTGACTTCAAACTTTTTATAAAGAAAGATCATGTAAATATAAGACCTTCAGCAAAGTACTGAATCGCGCTTTCCAGGAAATCTCGAGAAAATCGAGATTAAAAAATGACATTTTGAATTTCCCGCTAACTTGGCATTGTGTTTTAAGCTTGTAACTTTGTAATTTTTTGACTTTTAACTATTTTTCTTCGATATACTAGTAGAAGACCTTTAAATGATCCTACATTTTTTAATTTGTAAGCGTATCTTGCCAAAAAAGTGCTTGAAACAAAATGCCAAATTGGCGGGAAACCCAAATAATTTATATTTAAAACTCAAAAGCGCGAGCTAAAATTTTTTATGGGTACTATTGGTGGCACAAAGAATTCATATAAAAATTTATAGCTGATTCTGAGCAGGGCAGGTAGGGTACTTTCCTTATTCAATTTAAAAAAAATTTATGCACATACTTCAGAAGTATAGAGTACGGTAGAATTACTGTAACTTTTTCAAATCAACAAAAAAAAACTTTTTTTGCAACTTTATTGACAAAAAGAATATTGTACATCACAAGAAATAGTCAAGCCTTGCTCTTTTAGTTTCAAGAAAGTTATATTCAAGTCGTCATGTCCCATTTTTTATTGCCGCCACTGTAAATCCTTCTTCGTACCTTCATCACGCCCCATTTGCTGATTAGAACTGTCCTTTTGAACCACTTTGTTGTTGTTAAAGTCTCTTCTGGCCATCGTGTAGCTGTCCCATTGCTTTCTGGCGTTGTAATTGTAAAAAGTGGGTGGATTCGGGTTCGGCGTGGTATTCTTGAATAGTTTTTGCTTCAATGCGTCATAGCGGGTCATATTGCCTTGACCTCTATTATTGATTCTTGCTTCATTCATCACCACCTTTTGATCAAACACATCATTCTTAATCCCTTGTTGATCAAACATATCATTCTTAAGCCCCTGTTGACCAAAAACATCATTCTTTATCCCCATCCTTCTACGATCACCTTCACCATCAATACCATTGTCTCCATTCTTCGTGTTATTCACCCCACCTTCATCTGAATCCTCGTCTTCTTGATAGATTCCGCTTTTCTTGACTTCCGATTTGTATCGAATAGTGTAGAAGCTTTCCTTTGGCCATTCCATAAACTTATCTTGGCTCCATTCAAACTCTTTTTGGGGTTGATTTCCATAACTTCTGGACCAATTATTGCCATATCCAGCTCTTCGGCCTCTGTTAGCGTCTCTTCTATCATGGTTAACATAGTTTTTGTCATGTCTGACAGGGTTTTGGTTAGGATAATCATCTTTTCCAGCATTGTACTTGCCTTTTCCAAAAACCTCGTTTTTAACCTCAGAAACATGGTTTTCTTTGCCAAAACCATCATCAGCTTCTCCAAATACGCCATATTTTTCAAAGATGATATAGTCTTCTTCGTCAAAACTATCAAATTGATCTAGTTCAACTTCTTTTTCGTCATTATCATCTTCTTCTTCTTTAATTTTAGCGTCTTTCAGACCATTTCCATCATGTTTTTGACCTTTTTCATCACGTCTTTGGTCGGTTTCTCTGTTGTTGTGGCCAAAATAATCGTTTTTAGGTCCAAAGCCACCAACATTTCGGTCTTTATCGTCATCGGTTTTGCTTTTCTGGTCCTGAGCATAATGTTTTGAAGTATAAGGTTGGCTCTTCAGGCCCCACATCCCTTCACCTTCAGCTGAAGTTTCTTCTTCTTCTTCATCATCATTTACTTGGCCATAAACATCGTTTTTTCGGCCATAATCTTGACTTCTATACTTGTAACCATCGTTTCTTGAGCAGTAACCACCATTTCTATAGCCAGCACCACCAACTGATCCATTTCCCTGCCCCAAATCCCCAATTATGCCACTCCAATCATCCTCATGGCCAAACATTTCGTTTTCCATTCCTGGTGATAAACATAGATCACGGTCGAAGATACGTTCCGTGACTTCCTCCAAGAATACCACTTTTTTCCTCGGAGTCTGTTGGCGATCTGCTCCATAATCATCTTTGAAATCGACTTTGCCTCCCAGCTTCTCCCACATCTTATTCACTTGCTGGACCCTTGCATACTCCATTCTCCTCCTTTCAATATCATTTCGACCGTACTTGGGCTTCACAATCGGTACATCATATTCTTCTTCAGAATTCGGCAGTTCTTGGATTTCTGGCCATGCTTCGCACAGTCTGATCTTGGCTTCATTGGCTTGGGTTTCAAGTGTGGTTGCTGTCAAAGGCTTCAGGATATGTTTGGCAGGAGGAGGAGGTAACGGTGGAAGTGACAATGAAGGTAGCAATGGTGCGCCCATCGTGTTCAGACTGCCAAAAGGAGCTAGATTGGAGGCGTCAGGAACTCGTTTGATGATTTTAAACCGATCACGTGTATGTTTGGCCACGAATTCCTCAACTTGAGCTTGGCGTACTTTGGGCTTTAGATTCTCTGGGTCTGACTGCCATTTCAGGGCTTCCTAAACAAAACTTTTTAAAATTTTTAGGTAACAACAAAGAAATTTCAACGTTAAATGTCATCACTATCATAATATAACAATTTGATAAGTTAAAATGATTAAGATTACGCCATTTACTAGCTGAGAACAACAAAAACTACCTATTTTATAACTTTAATATCAATAAAAACTTACCCCAATCAAGTTTCGAATCATATTATAATCAATATCATGAATAAAGTTCATTCCTTCCAAGTAGAGACCAATCTCGAAGAATGGCATGGGCATTACTTTTGTAAACTTTTCAAAACCAAAGAACTCTTTGCCTTTCAGGGACACAATCTTTCGTTCTGGTTCATCCCCTAGCCACGGCAAGTCTCCTTCCATCATGTCCACTGTGCTGAATAGAAGGGCTACCAAATCATCACAAGGTGCTGGGTCGCAGTTCTTGTGAATCCTCATGGAACTGTACCGAGATGTACCTAAAAATGGAAACTTGAAATTTCTAATCCATTTTCACACCATATTACACTTGATCTTATCATGGATAATATCCAAAGCTCCTAAAAACCAAACAATAATATGAAATAACCTACCACGAAAAGCCACAAACTCTCTCTTTTTCTTCCTGGTACCATCGGCTTCAACATAACATGTGGCTAGCCCAAAATCAATAAGAAACACCTTGTTTCGGACACTTGGCGTATAGCCAAGACAGAAATTGTTGGGTTTGATGTCCAAATGCAAGTACCCAGCTGTGTGCATAGCCTCAAGGCTATCCAGCAGTTGTAGAAAGATGTCACAACAAAAGGCGACGTCAAATCGTTGATTCTCCATGCACTTCTGTAGATCGTAAATATTCACCCCCAAGACAGGCATTACCATGTACGAGAAGTCGGCTACAATGCCAGAATCCAACTGAAACAAGATCATATTAACTTTTGTAATTTAAAGATATATCAGCAGCCTTTACAAAAAGATTCCCAATAATATGTAGGCGAAAAAAAGAGTTAACATGAAATAGGGTATAAATCCAGTTTTGCCATGAATAATATCAGAAAATCGCTAATTTTGACTTAAAACTCAAAGCACTGTAAATAAAAATTAAATTACCAGATCTGGAACCCCTTTGACATGCTTTAGCAACGTCAATAACTTTGCTTCATTGCCCAGTTTGTTTTGATGATCGCGTGGTTCAACTTTCACAGCCACAACTTGCTTTGTCTCCTAAAATAATTAATATTCAATAACTAGCCATTAAACTTCCGCAAAACCCCACAAAAATTTTTTAAAATACATAAGTCAAGCTATCACATCGTTTTATTACCTAAAATCCAAAAAAATATCAAAAACTTACCAGGTTCTTCACCTTGAACACTTGACCGAACGCGCCTTGTCCAAGCAGATCTTGTATTTTATACTTGTAATCCAAGATTGCTCCATACTCAAAATACGGCGGCGCGTCGAAGCCACGAGCAAACTTTGGCTTAAAACTACGCAATGTCTTCTAAAAATTATCAAAAATATTATGTTATCCATGAGAAAAGCCACAACTAATTAAAACTTTTAAATAAATGCATTATGGCGTACTTTAGATATTGAAACACCTTAAAAACAAAAAAATAAGACAATAGGTACCTAAAAGACAGAAATATCAAAGAATGAAGGAAAATATACTTAAAATTGCATGTAAACGTTACACTTACCTTGACTTTTGTCATATCAACAACATAAGAATAAAATTGCGTTATATAAAGGGTATAATATTAACAAATAATAAATTGGAGCTAACAAAAATTGAAATTTCAGAATAAACAAACTTTTACAGATTTTCGCAACAATAAAATTGGACGATTTTCCAAACCTTTAAAAAATGTGTCATTACAATATTTGATTTTGCTGAAGACCAATTATTAAATAAAGTGGTAGGGTATTGTCAAAGCTGATTCGTAATATTTTGGATAATTTCAAATTATTTTACTTTACTTTTCGTTAATTGCAGTATATTCAATGACATATTTTTTGAACCGACCGCAAAGTGCGATTTGTTTTTTCGACGTTTAGAAAACTCGTCATCAATGTTTCATGATTCTGTATATTTTCAAGAGTTCTGTTGAACACAAATGCTGCCTTTAACTTTATTATCATAATTCATCGCTTATGTAATGTATGTTATTATTTTGTATTTTTTGTTCGTTTAGATGCCGAATTTGTCGGAATTTTTACAAAAATTTTCAAAATCAATGTAAAACAACTTCAAACCAACTTTTATTGTGATTTATCACAAATATATTATTGTACATTACATAATCGTTATAAAAAATATTTAGGCTAATTAAAGTCGCAATACGGCCAACATTGCCCAACATCGTTTCGATCCAGAAATGGTATAACTCGACTGACGTTTGGTGCGTCGTAACCCGACTCGAAGCTCCGCAGATGTTGTTGGACTTCAGTACAGGCGACACGCTTGTTATTTCTCCAGTACCATCCTTCATAATGAGCTCCACATTGGCTAACATTCACTGGTCTCTGGAACATGGCTAATATTAGATGTCGCCTGGGAAAACTACGTATAACTTTGTGGAAGCTTCATGGAATTTGATGAAATTTTCAAGAAACGTAGGTTTATGTTTGTTCTTGCTGTTTGTTTGATGTTTAGATAATATTTAGAAGATTAGCGATAAAATTGGAAAAGTCTGCTGGGTACTGATATCAGGTGAAGGTGTGAACGAAATTATGCGTAAATGGCGATATTTTAAGCAAATAGGTTGCAAAACATAATTAAAAGATTATGTAAAACGTTTTGCTTATTTTTATAATGCGAAAGAATTAACGGATCATGTTAACTTGAAATTGCAGGCAAATTTAGGTAAAAGTTTTACTTTTTGTTATACAAATTGAGGTTTCTCAGTAAAAACTTAGTAATGTTGGTATAAAATAAAAATAAACTACCTTTATTAGCATTTAATATTACCTAAACCTTACCTCAAAAGGGCTTTCCCAGCCACCCTCACCGATTTCATTCTGTTTATGGCCGTGAAACATGAAATCGTTGTCGCAGAATTTGTCGACGGCCAAAAACCCGTCTCTGGCCATGCCGAGACCACGTTTTAGGATGCGTATTTTACCGGGGAATAGTCGATTCGCTCCTAACATGTAGCGGACACAATGAACGTAGGCTAGGTATTCGTCGTAATCTTTGCCTTCACCCCACATTTCGAGACAGGTCGCGATCTCGGGCTTCGCCTGGGGCAGTACTGTTTCGAGAACGTGGATCTGAAAAGTTTTTTTTTGTAAATTAGGTATAAGAAGCCATTAGAGAGGAAGAAATTGCAATAAATTTCTTTACAAATCATAAAAGGGTGTTATACTTACATGTAGTGCTCCATTGTCGGCCGCATTGAAGCTGTTTGGCTTTTTATATTGATAATCGGCCCATCCCATAAGGAAATCATGGCCGAATTGGGTATTTTTGACCTGAAAATTTGGAAATTGTTTTAAAATGGCGAGAACTTTCTTTACAAAACAAAAAATGGCAAGAACTTTCTTTACAAAACATGGAATTGCAAAAACTTTCTTTAAAAAACAAAAAATGGCAAGAACTTTCTTTAAAAATCACGAAAGGGCAAAAACTTTGTTTACAGTGCCCAAAACGAATCAAAAATTCGATTCTTCGTACTACATGTCCCCCGCAGCCTGCAGGGCTCCCAAAAATTAAAAATAACCCTCTAAAACAATATAGGAGCTCACCAAATAGTTGGCACTCATAATTTCATGGTTAAAAAACCGGTTGTACAATATGACATTGACCCGTTCATCGATATACTCCTCGATACAATGATTTGGATTGGCAACCATCGTATCTGCATCCAACACCAGTAACCAGTCGACTTTTTTCAAATACACAGAAGCTGCACAGTGTTTGAGGAAGAAAATCTCCTCATGATGACAATGTTTTTGGACTTCTGGATCGTCGAAGATTTCGACGAAGAAGGCTTCGTAGTTGGTGCCTTTTAGGTAACAGTGCAACGTATCTTGAGCTATCTTGTATTTTCTGAAATAGTATTGTTGTTTTTAAGAGTTGTAAAGAAAGTTATTGCCATTTTATGCTTTGTAAACAAAGTTCTTGCCATTTTATGTTTTGTAAAGAAAGTTCTTGCCATTTTTATTCTTGTAAACAAAGTTCTTGCCATATTTACTATTGTAAAAAAAGTTCTTGCCATTTTAACTTACGTATCATACTGTGCCTTCCTGAATGCCACAAACACGCCAACTTTGCCATAAATAGGCTTACATTCACCCATGTCATGTCGTTTGCCACTTCCAAATGGTAATATAACTTTGTTTGAGGACTTATCCATCATATAAACAACATTTGGCTGTCGAAAGTAGAGAAGAAGGAGAATTATTAAGGACAGAATTGAGATCACTACATTTTTATAATTTGAGATCCAGGCGTGGAAAATACTGTAAAAATTATGGGTTTTAAAAATGAAAATTGGGTTTACAAGTTAATATTAGTTTTTAAGACTGAATTTTAGGCTTAAAATTTATCATTGGTTTAAAAAATTAGCTGTACGATTAGAATACAAATTTTAAGCTTGCAAAATAAATTTTAGGCTTATAAAATGAATTTTAGGCTTATAAAGTAAGTTTTAGGCTTGAAAACATTACGTTTAGTCTAAAACAAGTTTCCGGCATAGAAACTAATGTTTAGGCTTAAAAAATACGTCAGGCTTAGAAAATGACCTTTACGCTTCTAAAATGAATCGTAGGCTTGTAAAGTGAATTTTAGGCATAAAACAAGAATTTTAAAAATTAACTTAAGGTTAAAAAGAACTTTAGGTCTGAACACATTACCTCTGGGTCATGAGTCTCATTTTTAGGCTTAAAATTCGTTTTTTTGAGGCTTATAAACTAAATTTTTGACTTTCCAAAAAAGGAAGTTTATGCTTATATCAAAGCCAATTTAAGTTTTTGAAATGAAAAAGTCACTTTTAGTTTTAAAATTAAAAAACCATGTCAATATAACAAAAACAATGTCAACAAACCAAAACACAAACCCCAAAAAAACAATAAAGTCACTGCAAAAATGACTTACTTTCGCATTGTGGCCAATATTTTGTATTTCCATTTCAAATTGATCGAAACCATGGCCATCACAACATTAACAACCCTAGGCTTATTAGAAACTAAATTGAAATTGATAATTAAAACGGAACTAATAATAATAAAAAAACTGAAATACAATTGCACTTGATAAAGTTTGAAGCAGTTTTCGGATAAACAAAACGTTCTTATGTCAGAAAGTGGATAAAATTAGAAAAAGAACGTCACAATTGGGTTTATACAAATATTAAAATTTTTGGAGCAGCCAAAAATGAATTTTTGGGGATATTCTGACAAAAAAAGTGACAAGGACTTTCTTTGTAACTTGAAAAATGGCAAGAACTTTCTTTACAAACCGAAAAATAGCAAGAACGTTCCTTACAAAGCATGCAATGGGAAGAACGTTCTTTACAAAACAAAAAATAGCAAAAACTTTCTTTACGAAACATAAAATGGCAAGAACTTTCTTTAAAAAACAAAAAATGGCAAGAACTTTCTTTACAAAACAAAACATCGCATGAACTTTCTTTACAAAACAAAAAATGACAAGAACTTTCTTTACAAAACAAAAAAAGGCGAGAACTTTCTTTACGAAATATGAAAAATACAGATCTATGCTCAATCGTATAACATGTCAACCGCAGGCTGCATGTGACAATAAAGTTGCTTTTTTGACTCGAATGACAAGAACTTACTTCACAAGACAAAAAATGGCAAGAACTTTATTTAAAAACAAAAAGCGGCTAAAATTTTTTTTACAGAATGAAAAACGGCAAGAACTTTCTTTACAAACAAAAATTGCAAGAACTTTCTTTACAATAAGAAAAACGTTGCAAAAACTTACAGTACCCTACCGTATCTTATCCTACCCTACTTTACCTCGCTTTACCCTACCCTACTTTACCTTACCTTACCATACCCTGCTTTACCCTATATTAGTCTACTCCACCCTTTGCTACTTTAATATAAAATTTGAACTTTCATAACTAACAAAAGGCGTCACTTTCCAAGCGTATTGACCGAGACTATCCCTTAAGAGTGAAGATTTTAAAACGTAATAGTTAAGATGACTTGTTTTAAGTTTTTTATCCTCTTAACGCATTATCATATAAAATTTCGCGTTTTTTCGAATTCTAGGGGTCTTAAAGTTTTTCGAATTCTAGGGTCTTAAAAGAAACATCAATACTTATCGTATTGTATTCCACTTCACAACTACATGAATCACTGTGAATGAAATTCGCTGACAAATTCTTTGATCTCTTTTCTATTTTGATAAAAAGAAATAGATATTTGTCTTGTAAAGAAAATTTTCGGTTTTCTGTACTCCACTGTGTCAATTGTTCATAACTAATTAATGCTATTTTAAATTAATTTTTAATATTGTTGTTTATTTCTTAATGACCTTTGAAAGCTAATTTGTAAAGAAATTGCACTTTTAATTAGGTTTTGCAGTTCGAAATTTAGTCAAATGTTAAATTTAGGCCTAAAATTTAAAAAAGAATATAATTGAATTACTAAGCCTAACATTAATTTTTAAACCTAAAAATCTTTTTATAAGCTTAAACCTTTTTATAAGATAATATTTGTTTTATAAGCCTAAAATTCATTTTATAAGCCTAAAATTCATTTTTAAGCCTTAACTTTAATTATTAGCCTAAATTTCGTTTTATAAGCTTAATATTCGTTTTTCAAGCTTAAACCTCTGTTTCTAAACCTAATCTTTGTTTGATAAGCCTAAAATCTAACTCCTATGCCTTAAATTCGTTCTAGAGTCTTAAATTGGTATATAAGCCTAAACTTTATTTTTTAAGCTTAAAATTCACTTCTTAGGCCATACCTTCATTTTCTAAACCTAAGACTCCATTTAAAAGTCTAAAATCCAAAAATCTCCAAGAATTATACTTGTACTTATTTATTTTCAGTACATATGACAATTATGTACATTAATATAGGTAGTGAGATAGATAACAAATGGCAACAAACGTTAATAAATGCGCTTCAACTTGAGGAAAAAAATGAAAATACCCAATTGTTTGTTATGAAATAACAATGATTGATACAAAATTGTCGTGTTAAAGCTGTGAATTTGATATCATTGTGGGTTTTGTGGAAATTACAGAAATTGTGGCATGATGACAAAAAATGCGTCATGATGACACATATAAAAATTTAAAAAGCTTCAGAAAAGTACTACACAAAAGCTAACCCAAATTTTGGCACTTCCAGAAAATGTGTCATCATGACTTTAAAAAACCGTCATCATGACATTGTTTAAAAACCGCACAATGATATTCGAATTGTTGTTGTTAAAATGCTAATAAAATTCTGTAAAATAATTAAAATTTGCGAACAAAATCCTATAAAATACGTTGAGTAATAAAGGAGACGAATAATTAGTAAGGATAATATTAACATAGTCATTATTACAATAAACACCCGAGTTTTGTGAATTTAAAGACTTGATCCTGGGCTCATATTTTGCTATATTATGCTTTTACAATAAAAATTTCAAAAAAAACTCAAAAATCCCAAAAAATTTAAAATTCCAAAAAATGTGTCACGATGACGTTAAACGCCTAAAAATGAAAAAAATAGCAAAATATAAACCTAAAAAGCTATGAAATACTGAAAAACTATAAGAAAATCGCCGGTAATGGTAGAAATACGACAAATGGTGCCATTTCGTCCAGTGGTACTAATCGGAAAATAGTACCAATAGTACTATTTGAAAAACAGTACCAATAGTACTATTATAAAAATGGGCTAAACATGAGTTGAAAGCCTAGAGGCAGCTCGTTGTAGATCGTCCTGAGGCGTTATGATTTCGGGCAGCGTATCTAATGGGGCTACGTTGAGTTGGCGTACTGTAACATTGTTACGGTGAGGGTAGACGCCGACACAGACGTCGTTTCCTAGCACTGAAATTGTTGATATCATTAAAATGTAACAAAAATGCTGTAAACATGAAAAAATTTTTATTCCGTGGTACTACAGTAGCCTACCTTACCGTATACTAATGTAATTTTCAATACCGTAACTTGAAGTACCGTACACGCGGGTACCCTATCCTATAAGACATTGCACTACCCTGCCATACCCTACCCTACGATATCCTACACCACCCTATCCTACTCGACTTTACCACACTACCCCAAATTACCCTACCTTACCCCCACTCTACCCTACTCCGCCCTACAGTACCCCCTCCCCCCAAACCAAAAACATTGCCTTACCCGGACTCTGACTATAGCTGCCATAAGCACTGGGTTCTATTCGAATCGGCTGTCCATTATCGGCGTAGTCGTATGTTGACTGGTAGTAGCTACCGTATACCGGCGGGGGTAGATAGTCGAGGTCGGGGTTGCTTTGTGGCACTGAAATGTAATCCTTTCGCAAAATCTCGGATCCTGAGTGAGGTGAGGGGAAGATGTTGGTGAAGTACTCTTGAGCATCCTCGTCCAGGGCTTCGCAACGTACCGTGACATCGGAACAGTCTGAAATTAGATCGAAATAAGCTTAAAATGTACGAAAATGTGCCAAGACTTAAGTAAAAAACTAAGCCTAATGATTAGAAGCTAAGCCTAATCATTAAAAAAATGACATACCACTAAACTTGGTGGGCTTGATGCTTTCGGATGATTTGCACTTTCTACAGCAACAACAACATCTCCAAATGAGGCAAATGGCCAGTAACAGTACGATGGTGGCCATGAGTATGATCCAAACGTACCATGGTACTGCGACAAACCATGATAATAGGGTTTTACCTGAAAGATGAAAGTAAAATTACATTGTGTTATACTTAAATATGCCGAAAATAACATTATTTACTAAAAAACGCATCCCGATGACGCATTTTTTAGAAAACATGTCATGATGACATATTTATGGAACAGTCGAAATTTTAAAAAATAACTTAAATACATATGTTACGATAGTTAAAAAAGTCATAAAGTAGTATAATTTACTAAAAATGTCACCAAATGACCTATTTTTTGAAAAACATGTCATGATGACATTTTTTGATAAAATATCAAAATAACATATTTTTAGGGAAAAAATGATTTTAGGTTAGCTGACAGGGCCTAACATGGCATTATTTATCAACAAATGTCATCAGATGACGCATTTTTTGGAAAATATGTCATGATGACATCTTTTATAAAAACCTTCCGAAACGCTCAAACTGCCATAAAAATCCAAAATTACCCCCCTAAAACACACTAAAATCCTCCAAAAATGTCTAACAACCGCAAAAACCCTACCTATATTCTCCCATATGGTATGATGTGTAACATGAGTTTGAGCCGAACTCATGCCAAACTGATTCCACGCCGTACAATTATAGAATCCGTAGTCTTTTGCGTTTACCCTTTTGATCGTGAGTTTACTTTCCATGCCATATTCGGTTTGAACTTCGTCTAGGCCGAGGCGGTCTTGAGCGATATTGTAGTTGAGTTCTTTGCCGTCAATGTACCATAACACCTTTTCTGGGGATGGTTTGGCTCGGACCTGGAATGGGGAAAGTTGGCATTGGAAAGAGTGATATTTTATTCGTATTTTACGATTAAAAATTTTATAATATCTCCTAAGATACGGCAGATAAAAGCTGTTCCCCCGCACTAACATAGAGCAAGATCCCAGCACTCGCAGTAATTTGTTGGGTCGTTTTACATCGAGGCAAATATTACAAAAGTAAACAATATTACATAATAAAATGTTGCGCAACATCATTTCTGATGATTTCTCTAAGGCTATATTATAAAATAATAGTTATATCATCAATATTAGGTAATGCCGCAACAAGTTGTGCAACCCTCTAGCCGAAAAACATAAATTTTTCCAAAAAATCAATTATAACTTTGCCATTTCTAACTCACATTAACTCAAACTTTATCAAAATGTACTTCAGAATCTCCTACACCATTCACAACCATCAATTTTCCCCCAAAACTTACTTTACACTTCAGTTCAATCCGTTTCGCCGATTGAATCGGCTCCTCCAATGTTACTATCGGTGGTCCTTTCAGATGCAAATAGTGTACCAAGGTGGCCGGCTTGAAGCCAGGACTTTTAGCCATACATTCGTACTCTCCAACATGCCATTCATGCACCGACTCCAATGTCAATGTATTACCGCTAGCTATAGGTACACTGGTTTGAGTTGTGTGGATACCTCGACGGTACCAGGAAACGGTCGGTGGTGGGTTGCCGATGGCCTCACATTGAAATGACACACTGTCACCTTTTGGTACGACTTGAGTTCGTGATGTTGACATGATTTTTGGGGCATCTGAAGTTTGGAAATTTAAGAAAATGGCAAAAATTGAGAGAAAATGATGCTATCCATGGTAATTTTAGTGTTTTTAGACAATTTTTAATGTTTATACCTAATTTTTCTAAATGATTGTATCATAATAGTTAGCACTACATCTTGAAAGTATTGCCACACCTTTGTCAATACCTAAAACAATCTAAAAACCTAAAAAAATCATCAAAAAACCTATATTATCCATGATAATCTTGATGTTTTTGATAATTTTTTAATATTTAATGTCATTTTCAGTATCAAACTACATAGAAATCAACAAAAATGGTCCTTCCAACCCTAATTCACCCTCTATTATACCTAAATATTCAAAAACCAATAAAAAACTTACAATGAATGCTGATATTCAGGCTACCCTGACTTCGGCCGATCTTATTCTCCGCATTGCAAACCACACGATTCGCATGATCTTCCATGCTCAAGTTCTCGATGACAGCCGTGTTCTGGTTCAGCTCCTTGATTCTATCACCATATTTGCCCCAATAAACTCGAGTATCAGCTGGTTGGGCATCGACATGACACTTGAACATGGCTCGGCCGCCCTCTCTCAGATCCGACTGTTTTTCGTCCAATGTTACAGTAACCTTTGGTTTGTAGAGAACATTCATTTGCCTGGATTTTGTGTGAGCTCGGCCACCAAAGGTTGGATGAACGGCCATGCAGACTAGGTGTTTGCCTCCGTCGAATTTTGAGGGGTTGAACCTGGAAATGAGCGTATTTTAGGAACAGTGGTTGTTGAAAAAGTTTGAAAATTTGACGAAAGCTTCTTAAGACTATAGTAAATTTCATAATATATACAGTTTATAAATCTTTTTTGTCAAAAAGTCTATAAAATAAAAAAAAGTTGGTAATTTGTTACATTTTTGGTCATTTTCGTTTCCGACGTAAATTCACGTATTTTACGAAAAAAGTAAAAACTGTAAAAACGTGAAATTTTGACAAAACAGATTTAAAAACATAGAAAAGCATTATGGTTATCTGTTTTTACAAATTTTTCAATTTTAACGACAAAAAAAATAAAAAAAGTTTGTTACCTAAAATTTTTTAAAAAATTTCTGAAAGTTCTTGACCAAAAAGTCGCCCAAAATTACTTTCTTTATCTAATGTTACTACAGATTTCATTTTTCTAATAAAAAAAAGCCAAAAAGCAAAAAAAAATTTTGTCACCTAATTTTTTTTTTCAAAAATCTGCAATTATTGATCATAAAATCGTTGAAAATGCCATTATTTAATCGTTTCCTACACCGTATTTTACCCTCTGTCCAACCGAATAAACTTTTTAGAAATGAACCCCTGTAGGGCCCTACTAGAGCAGTAAAGGAACCGAGCCGGTCCCCCAAGTTGTCGACCTAACCGCTTTAAAATTTGCTTCAGCCCTGCCCAGTTCAGCCCAGCTCAATGCCAAGTCTAGTAAGCCCTTTTCAGGTCAAACCCCTACCCCAAAAGGCACCCAAATCTACCTAATAGTAGAAGTGATTCCAACATATCCATCATCATCTTCCTCCTCATCACCTCCCTCTTCATCGACGACCATTTGATAGGTTTTCTGATTCCGTACTGGTATATTCCCGTACTCTTTCAGTACCTCTTCAGCGTTATTGACGTAGGCAGCGATTCTTCTCGCATCCTTATCCATTGCCACAACCCACACGATTCTGGCAGCCGGTTTTCCATGATTTACCGTGCATTTGGCTTCGATTGGAATGTCTTCGATGGCTTCTATTGTCTCCGAGTTCTGGTTGGTTACTGTGAGAAAGGGGCCGCGAGGGGAGGCTGAAAGAAGTGATTTTGAGTGAAATATACCTAAAGTTCATTTTTAAGCGTAAAATTCGTTTTACATGCCTAAAATTCATTTTTGAGCCTAAAGTTACTCATCAAGCCTAAAGTTTAGACTCAAACCTATAATTCATTTTCTAAGCCTAAAATTCATTTTTAAGCATAACTTTCATTTATAAGCCTAAAATTCATTTCTTAAGTCTAAAATTCATATTTAAGCCTAAAATTCATTTTTAATTCTAAAATGCATTCTCTAAGCCTAAAATGCATTTTAAAGCCTAAAATTCATTTTTGAGCATAAAATTAATTTTTTAAGCCTAAACGTCATTTTTAAGCCTAAAATTCGTTTTCTCAATTGAAAATTTACTTTAAGTCTAAAGCAACTTTATAAACCTAAAAACCATTACTAAACTCAAAAACCTCATATCCTTACCCAAAACCTGTAGATGGGCTTTGGCCGACACGACGGCCGGATTTTCATCGTCGGCCCATTGTAGCTGACACTCGTAAACAGCATCGTCATCCAATGTGACATTTTTAATCTGAAGGTGGTATTCGTTGTTATTTCCCTCCATTCCCATTCGATATCTTTTGAAGGATTTCATTTCACGATCGGCCCCTAGGCCAAACCCGTCCTTTGTCCATTGAACTTGTCCTTTCTAAAAGTTCAAGAAATTCAAATTTTGTAAAATACGGTCACTTTTATGCAAAAATTTGTAAGTAAATAAACGAAAAAATATAATAAATGTCAGTTTTAAGCCTAAAATGTCATTTTTAAGCCTAAACTGCACTTTTAAGCCTGCGGCATAATTTTTAGCCTAAAAAGACATTTTTAAGCCTAAATGTCCTTTTTAAACCTAAAATGACGTTTTTAGGCCTAAAATCCCAATTTTAAGCTAAAAGTTAACTTTTAAGCCTACAACTGATTTTTAAGCCTAAAAATTCAATATTAAGCGTAAAATTTATCTTTAAGCCTAAAAATTCAAAGTGTAAGCCTAACAATTCACTAGTAAGCCTAAAACTCATTCTCTAAGCCTAAATTGTCATTTTTAAGCATAAAAAAATAACTGTAAGCCTACGCATCATTATTAGGCTTACTATTACTATTAATAGTTAAAAGATCATAACAAAATATCACTTTTAAGCCTAAAATGCCATTCTTTAACCTAATTATCCCAGCTGATGTTTTTACAGCGGCACATCTTAATAAGCATTACCAAAAGATGACGGATTGTTTATATTTGACAGAGGGGGAAGGAAATGATCGGCGCCATTTGTTTTCGTATTTTATAGGCCGATTGCGTAACAATGTCCTTTTACGGAAATTACAGATCAATCTCGCACCAGATGGAACTTTTTAACCCAAGCTGACATTAATAACTGTTTGTTACACATTGTTTACACAAAAAATACAGGCTTACAGCACCTACTACAATATAATGTCATTTTTCGCAATTTTAAAATTTCGAAAAACTCTAAAATCAAAAACTTGAACTGTATTTTACACTTGCAATGTCTATCGACCCATTTTAGTACTTTTATGTTGGTAACTTACTTACTTCAAAAAATTTAATATTTCCAAAAATTTTCCGAAATTTTAAAGATTTTATGGTTTCAAACCCAAAATTTGAAACTTTTTTGACGTCATTAACAACAAATCGCATCCTGAAGATTAAAGCCAAGCCGAATTCTTTGCTTTTAGCTATTTTTCAACTGTGTAATTTGCATAAAACGCCGCCAAACGCCGACTTTTTTGCGATTTAATCGTCGGAAGTGAGGAAAAGTGTGTAAATAACATTAATTTTCGGGTTGAATACCAATCGAATTTGTGTTCAAATAGTAGACAAAAGAATGGAGAAGCTTTTGAGTTACTGTTTGCCACATTTAAAGTTGATTTCCTTAGGTTTTTTTGGTTCTTTCGCTTAATTTCTAGGACTTATCGCAATACTTTGGAAAAAAACTAAAGTTTTAAAAAGTTTTAATTAATCAAAACTTTAAAGTTAAACTGCATAAGGGCCGTTCACGTATTTTACATTCAATCAACTTTTCCATCCCAAAAAACCCACAGAAATTGTTCAAAAACAGACTTTTTCTTAAAATTTTCCCAAAAAATCACGATTTTATGAAAATTTTTAGTTGTAAACAAAAACCCTCAGTATAAATGTACAAAATCTACTCAGTAACTTACTTGATCTTCCACTTGACATCGTAGTAATGCAGTTCCACCCAAATTCACTGTCGTATTTACCGGTTCCTGGGATATCCTTTGAGCTGCCCAACTGTATTGAATGCAGACCAGCAATAGTGGCCATAGGGCGTTTTGGCCCATCCTGAAATTAAATTTTGGTTAGATTTTCAGAACATATACAGTTCGGTTATGTACACGTAAATTGGTCGCGGAATTCGTAAAGAAAATGTAAAAAAATCCAGTAAATTTATATTATAATAGGTATATTGATGTACAAAATTAGTGCTAATGACCGGGAAAGTAGTCAGAATGCTACAAAATCAATATATCTAAACTCACAAGACTCTTGCGCATATAATCATACCATATACAAGTATATATGTTACATGTTTACTGAGTTATAACCAAAAAACAACTACCTGCCAAACCCATATTATCATAGGTAAGTTGATGTAGAAAACTAGCCTCATTCGCCTTTAAACTGAAGCAGAGTAGTACAAAATAGATATCATAAGATTCACAGAACCCCACCAATTCCAAAAATACCATCCCCATACGAATACAACATTCATCGACCAAGATACGACCAAAAATCCCCACTCCCTGCTCTCATGTGTAATATCAGCTAATGTAAAATGCAAATCCCCAAAAGACGCCACGACGTTTTCAGCTTGACTAGGCCATGACAATGCGCCTGAAACAAGATTAAGCCACATATTTAGCGGATTTACAGATTAACAAGACAATTTTTAGGGAAGAAAGAGGCGAGTAATTTTTGACAGACCACCCAACAATTAATCTAATATATTATGAAATTGTGTTTGTACATGTTTAGCAAAGTAATGGGGTTATGAAACTAGTGTCATGAGTAATGGTTTTAATGAATATTGTCTAAGTTTGTCTTTTGAGTGTTATGAAATGACACATTTTTACAAAAACAAGCAAAAAATTGAAAAAGTTCAGGTTAAGCTCAAACTTTTTGATGTACCAAAAGAACCAGTTGGTCCAATACTATAAAAAATGGTACAAACAATCTTCAAAGTATCCTGTACACTATACTAGTATCACTTTATACTACCATAAACCCCTAAGGATATATAGACTTTTAAATATAAAGGTATCCTAAAAATTTCCAAAAAATTGGTCTTGTGATCAATATTTTTGTTGTACCACACGAACCAGCTAGCCAAATACTATAAAATTCTGTACAAACATTCTAAAAAGCATCCTTTACAACATACTAGCATCTCTTTATATTACCATAAGCCTCAAAAACATATTGACCTTTAACTTAAGGCGATCCCAAAAATTTTCAAAAAATTGATGTTGTGGACAATATTTTAGCTGTAAAATTAAAACCAGATGACCTAAACCATGACATTTGGCACGAAAAAGCTTCAAAGTATGCTGTACAACATATTGGTACTGTTTAGTACAGTGTGTAGTAAAAAAAAAGTTATGACCATTAAAAAGTTGCTCTGAAAGGCGAAATTCACAGCCAAGCATTTGATCAAAAAGTGCCATTTTAAACCCTATAAGGCATCAAAAATAAGTGCTATTCCACCAAAAACCTCTTCATACTAAACAATATCCATCCCAAATACCATATCCTGAATACCGTATCCATATCTTAACCTTCTGTTTTACAACTTCTTGGATTAACAAAGTCGTGCCCGAATAACCGGAATATTTGCACTGTTTCATCCCGAAACCCCCCTAACACCGGATGTTTTTGTGCGAACAAATTAATGAACTGGTCGATTTTCGAGCACTTTTCGGTTATAAGTCGACGCGCAAATATTAAGAGCTTCAGACAATAGGGTGATGAACATGTTCGTACACCCTTAATGAGTCCAAGTTTAACAGTGCGCTAGGATTTGTAGAATTGAAGTGTAAAATACGACTACCAATATTATGGCGACGAAAAATTTTTAAAATGAAGTTTAGGCTTATAGACAAAAATTTAAGCTTCAAAATAAATTGCAAAAATACAAACGAATTTTAGGCTTAGAAGTAAATCTTAGGCTTAAAAATAAAATTGAAGCTTGAAAAATCAATTTTAAGCTTAAAAATGAATTTTAGGCTTAGAAAACAAGTTTTAAGCTTGATACTGAATTTTAGGCTTAAAAAATGAATTTTAGGCTTATAAAATAAAGTTCAGGCTTAATAAAATAAAATTAAGTATAAGCCTAAAAAGTAAATCCGTTAACCTTAAAAACCATTTCAATTTCCAAAACAACCTACCAGCCCTACCCATCACCCTCCCTCCTACTATTATAAAACCCAGCCCATCTCTAATCTCCCGGCCCACCATCACAGCACCCTGCCCATGCTTAAGCCTAAAATATAATTGCGCAACAAGTTCCGTGTACCCGAGTCAATCCCTTAATGGCGCTTAAAAGTGCGTTAAATTTGCATAAAATATGATCCGTCCGGCTCTCCCGCTGACTTTGTGGCCTTGTTCTACCTTGTTTCGCGAGATATTGGGTAGCCAAATAAAGCTGCCAACATACTTAAGAACCGAGACAAATGCGCAAGAAGTTTCAGAGTTTGGGCTGATTTTGAAGCTAGAATAACAAAAACTTTGTTTACAGTGGTCGAAATGGCAAAAACATTCATTTTAAAACAACGTCCGCGTAAGAATCGAACATTGGTCAGACAGGGGCGATGAAAAATTTTAAACTATTTTAAAACCGCTCATTTTTTGATAAGAGGTAGCACTTGGGTATAGAAATGCAAAAATATAAAAAAATTTAAAAAATTCCGGTTACGGTAGGATTAGGGTAGGTTTTAAGATTTTTTTGTAACTGTTGTACTAAATGTCAGAATGGAATGGGACTTTTTTTAAATTGTTTTTTATTATAAGGCAATCATTTTATCTGTTGACAACTTTTTTTTATTATGCCCGGAAGGCATTGAAAAAAATTAAAATTTTCAAAAAAACCATCAAAATTTTGAAAAATTTAAAATTTCTCGGAAAAAATTCACTATGTAACAAACTTTTGACAACAGATAATGAAAATACATGCTCTTACGGTTTTAATGACACCACGCATGGGTCATCTTAGCGGAGCCTGCGGTAGCTACGAATTTTCAAAGTTGACACCCTAAGGTCATTTAGCACAGAATTTGACTGTAAGATGGTTACAAATGGTTAAAAAAGATGCATGGCGCATATTTAGTACAACAGTTACAAAAAAATCTTAAAACCTACCGTAATCCTACCGTAACCCGAATTTTTAAAATTTTTTTATATTTTTGCATTTCTATACCCAAGTGCTACCTCTTATCAAAAAATGAGCGGTTTTCAAATAGTTTGAAATTTTTCATCGCCTATGTCTGATTCTTGGGCGAACCTTGTTTTAAGAAAAAAAGCAAAAACTTTCTGTACAAAACACAAAATGGCAAGAACTTTCTTCACAAATCAATAAATGCCAAAACTTTGTTTACAACCCAAAATTTTTTAAAATTCGTATTTTTTTAAAAATTTTAATCGCTTTTATAGCCAAACTATACTTTACCGAGTAGCATAAACAAATTTATGAAAATGGACACAGGTGAGGGAACGAAATAAGCCCCTCCAGGCCCAATGTTTTAATAATAAAACGGTCCGAAACGTGGGAATTTGCATACGAAACATAAAAGTAATAACGCAAAATTACTTTGCGGTAAATTTTAGTATAAAATTTACTAGAATTTTAGGTTTTAGAAACTTATAAATGATAGTTTAGGCTTAAAATCAGCAAGGACGTCAGGAAATTTCAAGTTTTTTTCTGTTGTAAAGAAAGTTCTTGCCATTTTTTGTATTTTAAAGAAAGTTCTTGCCTTTTTTTGTTTTGTAAAGTAAGTTCTTACCGTTTATTTATTGTCAAAACTTCGAAAACCCTCAAAAATTCCCTTTGCAGCCCGCGTCCCACCTTCAATTTCGAGTTGCAGCCTGCACCCCAAAAAAATATTAAAATTACAAAACCAAGTTAAAATGACAAACAAATAGAAGACAAACAGCATTAATTCCGTATTTTACAACAAAAAAAACAATTCAAAAAATTGGCTGTAAAACCAAGATTATAGAGGAATTAAACTTGGCAACGACTTCCGATCAACGGTAATTAGCAAAAGAAGCTCCGCCCACTTTTTTGATTTTCAGCTTGAAAATGAAGACATTAAGCCAAAAAATGACGAGAACTTTCTTTACAAAACAGAAAATAGCAAGAACTTTATTTACAAAACAAAAAAACGGCAAGAAATTTCTTTACAAAGCAAAAAATGACGAAAACTTTCTTTACAAACTACAAAATGGCAAAAACCTCCTCTGAAGTCCATAACAGTACCCGTCTTCCCCTCCCCAGAAGTATGCTATAAAAATATCTTTGCGCGGTTTGTTTACCCGTTTCTATAAACAAAGTAGCCTTGAAAAGTTTTTTTTGACATATCCTTCCATAAAAATGATCTGCCGGAAACCCCTCCCGCATCTCATCTTGGCTTTTTTATATACGGGGGGCCGTAGTAAAAGCTCCCCGTCTTCCGGACATTCATATTGTCCATAGAAACAGAGTGGACTGAAGTTACTTTTACGGCTAGGTCATTATTTTTGGGATCGGGTGACATTTGAGGACAAAATTTTGAAATAGTAAAGAACGTACTTGCAATTTTTTGTTTTGTAAAGAAAGTTCTTGCAATTTTTTGTTTTGTAAAGAAAGTTCTTGCACATTTACATTAAAAAATAGAAAATAAAGAAACAAAGGTCCTCAAGTGAAGTATACATCATGAATAATATCATTTGACCTAATCAAAATAAATCAATTTTTCTAAAATTTTTAAAAAAATGAGACAACATAATTAACTTACTTTCAACGCTAAATGGGAATCTACTATACCAAACGAAAAATTCTTACAATAATTTTAAGTTTGACCATCTACGACAAGGTATGAACCGCATAAATATCGTTATTTCTATATCTCACCAGCAATATACCTTTTTGAAATTTTAACATAACGAAAACAATATAATAATCTTCCTATTGATCAGTATTAACATCATTAAATATCAAAACCAAATATTCCCCATCAAATTCACAAAAAAACATCCCCATCAGCTCGTTTCCACAACATAAACAACATCATCTACCCCACCGAAACCC